GTCATAGTTGCTCAATGTTTTAAAATAGTGTTTTAAATTTTGCATTGAAATGTTATTTTTGTATTTTTGTCTTTATTGTAGAAATTGCCCAGAGAGCATCAGCTGTTGGGTGGTATAGAAATGGAATAACTGGATTAATGGGCTTCTGCATGTGTATGTATAATATACATACAAGAAGGAGAGAACTCGGGTGGTAAAGTGGTTAGAATGCTGGGCTGGAAACTGGGAAATCCAGGATCTGTCCCCATTTAGCCGGGAAGCTCACTAATCCACTCTCTCACTCTCACTTTTCTTTCTGATAGTCACTGACTCTTAGGTAGGGATGTTATTGTGAGGATAAAATGGAGATGAGGACAACCTTCCAACAAATCAACTTGGGTTCCTTGCATGAGCATAAATGGTGAAAGAAAAATTAATGTAATAATAGTACTAATAAATGCACTGTGGCAGGGCAAGCTGCAATTTGTAATCCCACAGATCTGGACAGCACTGCAGATTTCACCATTGCTCACCTCATCATTCCCAATGAAATATGCCTTAGTTCTGGATTAGTACTTCTGGCCGAACCTAAAAGCTGGGTTGCGGGGCTTCTTGGCACCATGTTTGAGAACTCAGCCACCTGTCTTCTGACACTCCTGCTGAGGCCCTGTGGGTATGTGGCCTGGCTTACCATTGAGTCAGCAATGAATGCATTTGAAGAATGAATCTGCCCAAAAGAACGGGATTCCCCAATTGAGGAGGGAAAGGAAGACATACTTGAGTGATGTGCTTAAGGACTAGGCATATACATTGCCCCAACACTTGTTCACAGACTTGCACCCTGGCACTGAATCTTCTGGGTCTGAACAAGGAATGAACTTAAGGATTGTGACCACTGGAGGGCACTCTAGTGTTTACTAAGCTGAGCATCCCTTGGTGTTTGGCCTACTCAGATGCTCTGTACCACCGAGGAGATGTCAGAAACTCCCACCCAGGTCACGGCATCTGCCGGCTGCCTTCCATTTGTCCTGTGCCAAAAGGTCACCACTCAACTGGCACAGTCTCCACACCTGAAGTGCACATTTCTCGGTCAAGGGACAACAGCTTAACCAGGTTAGAATTCCACTGGCTTCTTAAGTGTCATCATATTTTAATCAGTTTGCACAAGAAGGCTGGAAAACGAGGCAATGAAATGTGGAAGAAATTCCACTGTGCTGATACCAGCAGAGTGTCGTTGCCAGTGTGTAGGACTGGAAGCCAAGGGTTTGGTGTTCTGTTCCCCACTTGGCCATGAAACTCACCGGGTGCCTTTGGGCCAGTCACTGACCGAATCCCGTTTCACAGGACTGCGTGAGGATGAAATGGAGAAGAGGAGAAAAGCTGTCTCAGTCTCCAGGGAGAAAGGATGCGATGTCAATATCATGAAGAATGAGAGAAAAATAGAAAATGACTTGAACTCACCTGTATTCATGTCCTTCACAAAATACTTGCATCCATATTTAAAATGTCAGTTGCTCACATTCATCTGAGGTGCACATTCCAATGCCAGTTCAGACACATGTGGCTCCAAGCTAACCTGTGTTAATAAATAGCTCATACAGGCTTTCTGTTAGGGTGTTGGGTGGCTACTTACAAATAGCCCGTTCAGAAGAAATTCATCACCAACATGGTGGGCCAAGGAGGATGCTGATATCTAAAATGTGTATATGCACATTTACAGGTAGAGATGCAAATTTAGAGATAATTAGTAAGGGTTGGCTTTGCCTTCCTTGAGAGGAAGGGAGCTTTCTCAAGAAGGGCTCCACTTGGGGAAAGTCTCTACATGCAATTTGGGGGTCTCCACCCTCAACAATTCAGGGAGTCTCCTGGAGCATTTTGAGAGGGTTGGTGGGCCTGTTGTGGGAAGGAACCTGGCAGGAGGCCCAGTTCCACTAGTGCATCAATCTGGATCTAACTATTTAAGTTTTGAGAGAGACAGTACATCTCACCAAAGCTTGGAAGGTTGTGGCCAGACATCCTGTGCGCAACACCTTTATGTGTCCATAGACCAGAACTGACTAGGACAGCCTTTCAAACAGGAAATCTCAATGCTCTGCTGGCACCAGCAGAGTCCAAGTCCAAAGCCATGCCCAAAGTAATGTCCAACATCAGGGTGCAGGGAAGCCCAAAACAGGCAGGAGAGGCGAGACGGAGGAAGCTTGCCAGGCATAATCTTGCTCCCTTGTTTACAGAATATCAGGTGGCCACAATCCCCTTCCACTTCGTTGGGCTGCCTGGCAGTGACGGTTGGTGGCTCAAAGTCGGCCTGAATTTCAAAGGAGCTGCGCGTGATGCTGAAGCTGGTTTGAGGAAAGGGTTCAATTGATATAGAGGGCTCCTTAAAAGTACAGACAAGACCTCAGATGTTTTGTCTGCCACACTGACATTGAATATGCAGAGTTCATGAAGTTCACATCTAAACGTCTGGGTTTTTTTTTTTTTTTTGCATTTTTTAAATCTCTGTCCCCCATCCTGCTTTCTTGTAACATCCTGTCTGACTTTGATTGGTCCTCACCGGGGTGGGGGGTTGCTTGACTGTGGAAGCTGCAGGACAGAGATGGTTCACACATGTTTCAAGGGAACCCTTCCATGAAATGTGTTGTGAACTTCAGCAGTTGTGCTGCTCTTTTTCTTGGGGTTTTTTTTTTTTTTTTTTGACAGATCTAAATGATTCACTTTGTTCATCTGCCCTCCCACGTAATTTAAACACATTTTCATTCTGCAGATAATGCATTGATTTTTTAAAAAAATGCAAAGAAAAATTTTCAGCATTTGACCGTACTGAACACTTTGTATGCATTTAGATTTTGGCAGGTTTTATATAAAAGTCTTGCAAATTGTCAATTGTCAAAATATTACTTACCACTTCATGTTCTTTAACAAAGGCTGCCAGATACAACTGCACATGATCAATTAGTGTCACAATAAACAAAACCTTGCACACCATGCCATCCAAAATACTATCAAAGTTGCCAGTGGAACTATTTTGGAGAAAGGGGTTATCCTCGGAGAAAACATAGGAAATTACAGGAAAATTATCCCAGCCTTTTTAGTAGCACCTTCTTACAAGAGGAGAGGAGAGGAGAGGAGAGGAGAGGAGAGGAGAGGAGAAGAGAAGAGAAGAGAAGAGAAGAGAAGAGAAGAGAAGAGAAGAGAAGAGAAGAGAAGAGAAGAGAAGAGAAGATTAGCCACAGGATGCTGTTGGGTCTTCAAGAGCTCTCCAAATGCTCCAGGACCGCAGTTCCAGATTCCTCCCCATTGTGCCTACAGCAGACTGGAGCTTGTTCTTAAAAAACACCTGCACCCTGCTCCTCCAAGGCCCAACAAGGCGCTCTGGTTTCTGCAGCAGACACACCAATGACTTTCAGAACTTCCGTTAAGTTTCCATAACCAGCAAACCCTAAGCATCACTGTGTGCTAATCATCAAAGGCTACCTCACTTCCAGTTTTATCAAATATTAAGCAAGAAAGACAATTCCTTGTCAAATGGAAGTAGCACATATTTCATTAGCATTTCTTCATTTGCTCTTTTCGGAGAATGGCTGAAACGTGTTGGACATCCCCCACCTCAAATAAAAATTAAGTGTCTAGTGTTTGAGGTCAAATCCTGAAAGTTGAGAGTTGTTGGAAGAATCTGTTTCTGCCCAGAGTAAGACTACTGGCCTATCTAGCCTAATAGATTCCTAATAGATAGAATAGCTGGCACAGCCAAATAGCTTCCTGTGTATCTGTCGGCCTTTAGTTTGAGATGCCAAGGACTGAGCACAAGCCATTTAGGCATGCAAATCATGCATTATTCTCTGTAAGGTAGCAGTGCAGGAGTTGAAGCCCAAGGAGCTCATCCAGCCCTTGGGGATACCAACCTAGAATTGGGGTATTCCATAGAAGGCTGTGCCTCCTTTCTCGAGCCCCCAAACTTTTAGCCACACATCATGTGGTGTTTCCCCATATTTTGGGAAGTTAATTTTTTTACCCCATTCTGACAGAGTGAGACAGCTTTCCTAAGGTTTTGTTACTGGTAAGCTACTAGGAGTAATTCTGATATTTTGGCTCTGCAGCTTTTTTGCTGCCAGCTCGCTCATCATTGGATGGTGGACCCTGAACCTTACCCAAAATAGAACTCAGACCTTGGAGGGAAAGGGGTTGAACACTCCATGCTTTCTGCATGATTCAAGATATGCAACATGGCTGGTCCCTATTAATCTGTATGGGGTTTGATGCAGATTTAAGCTGGATGAAGCAAACTGCTGGAAACGAATCTTCTTCCCTATTTCCATAGTGGCCAATTCAGCCCCCTGAAAATGCAGTGGTGCATTTGAGATGGGCAGCAGTGAGCGAAGGACCCAGCAACAGATCATGGGTTGAGACAATGGGTACGACTGGAGATCTGTCCCTCTTGCGAATTAGAGCGGCTTAGGGGGTTTTAGGGATGAGGTGAAAATGATTTTATTCACCAAGCCTGTAAGAGTCCTGTCTACTGCTGCTTTATTGTTAGAGAGTTTATGACTTTGCATGCTGGTGTAATCAGAGCTTTAGTGCTTCCTTGCCATTTTATTCTGTGCTGATTTATTGTTCCATTTGATGGTTTCAGGGTGTGATGCTATGAATGTTTAGTCAGAAAAGGCACTGGGGGACTTTGGCCCAGCCACAGCCCAACCAACCTCGCAGGGTTGTTGTGAGGGTAAGAGTGAGAGGAGCAGGAGAACTACATAAGCTGCCTTGAGTTCCTTGGAAGGAAAAAAAAGGTGGGATATAAACATGATAACTAACTAAAATAGAAACAGTCCTTGCTGGCTGGGCAATGCTGCGAGTTGTAGGACTGTTTCCTGTCCGAGTATGTATTGGATTGCACCTTTAATATTTTATTTTTTACTATTTATAAACCACCTTAAAAAAACAAAAAATAAAAACCTTATAATGGGCTCTAGAAAATTTCCTTAAAATGGACAAACGCCTTGCCTAATTAATAAAGAAACCTGACCTTTTCAGAGCAACAAAAATAAAAGCTTTTATTTGTTCATTTGAATATAAAACAGGCGTTATCACAGATGTACAAAGCGTACTGGTGGTTTAACATACAAGAAGGTTGCTGTTCGTTTGCACATAAAAATTTTCATTTGAAACTGTGATTGGCTGAGTTACATGAATTTCTCTAACCAGTCACCACACTCTATGAAATAACGCTGCTAACATTCAACTGATAAAAGGGACAGTCTTCCCTTGGGTAAAGTGTCAAGCAGGATTAAATATATATAATAAACAAGCACCATGAGGAATCTGCTCCTGTTTGATTAGTTTTGTGTTTAAATGTTCATTGTGTACCCTCTTTCTTTTTTTAGGTGTGCATGTGCATCAGTTTGATTACATGGTTTTGTCTGACTTCAAAAGCACAAGGTCACAAGACAAACATTTTAATACATTCTCATGAATGGTTTATCTACAGTACAGTTTCTAATACAGAACAATCCTTCTTTATTGCTGAATCTGATGGTACGTGTATTTATTTCCTCTCAACTTGCACGACAAAACTAGGAATCCAGTTCATCATCATTTACCATCCTCAGTTTCAGAATTAAAACAACCAAAGATGACAGGTTGCAGAAGAGATCAGTTATTAACTGCGTCGTGTCACTGCATTGCAGTTCTTTGTCATCTCCCCAGGAGTGGAAAGTTGACTTGGTCAAGGTTAGAAGTGATGCTTTAACGAAATGACAGCTAAATTTGTATTTTTCAGCACTGAGTTCAGCAATAGCAAGGACATCACGAGTTAGTTCATACACTGTAATTATCCTCATAATCAATCAATGGCTTGTCTGAACCTTACGGCAACTTGACATTTTGAAGGGGGAAAAGAGGTTCTAGGTTAGGGGATCAAAAAGCAAACAAAAAACTCCACTCTGACAGAATGCTTCAGGATTGGTCTTTAGAGTATGAATAGGAATATTCACAGGGCAAAGAAATTTGTGAAAGGGATTACTGAAAATTAAAAAACAGAATCATCTGCCATGACAAGATGCTGTGTGATCTACATGCAGACTGAAACCATCTCTCCTCTTCAAGGAATTTCCCCCATCCCTCCTGCCTTAAAAATAAACGGAAAAAAAGTGGGGGTCTTCAAAAACAAAGGAAATTTGCAAAGGTAGACAAAATATTTTCCTTATACATGTTATATAAAGTTCTTGTAGCTTTTGTCCTGCAACTGTCTTAGTCATGCATATTCGGTAATGAATGTCAGCAAGTTAACATTATTTTGAACCATTAAAAAAGCATTCTTGGACTGCTGTTGTTTAAACTTCACCCTCAGATCAGACACAAGTCAAACAGGTTACACTGGGATAAAATAAAAACCAGCATTTAGAAAGAAAGAAAGAATGAATGAATGAAAGAAAAGAAATGGAAAGGAAAGATAAGGAAAGAAAAGAAAGGCAATGAACAACTAGAAATGGAAAATATAATTTACTAGAGTTATGGATTCAAAAAAGGCAGCTGTGATCCATTCATTTCTGTTCGTCCTGTCGTCAGATTCCCTTTAGAACTGAGGGACGGGATTACCAGCAACATCAATTGCAGTTCTTTTGTTTGGCATAAGGACACATTAGTAAATGCACCAAGCTGTGCGAACAGTTTTATACTGCTCTCCACACCAAATGGCTATAAGAGAGCCCCCTTAAAACAACACCTTTCCCCAAACTGTGAAGCAGTTGGATCGGTGCCCTCCCTTACTAAAATGAAACACAGCAGTGAGGCAAACAGATAAAAATGAAAATTCTTGTGCAAAATGACCACCAAAACAAACAAACAAACAAACAATTTTCCTTATCACAAGGGAAAAATAACAACAAAGAAACACCAACTTAAAAAATGATGACAAATATTGTGCAACGATATTATGCAGCTAAGAAAAACAGTGCTATTCTTCAAAACTGCCTTTTCTAAAAGTCTAACAAGTGTATGAACATACATGCCAGCACAAATATTTATTGTCACCTTCATGGAAAAGAAAAGAATCCTTCGTAGTGCACTGTTAAGTCTTTGGCCGCAAGTAAACCCTGCCCTGCGAGGTGCGCAGGAAGCAGAATGCGGAAGGGCTCCCACGGGGTGCCGTGGGGCCTCTCCGCCGGTGCCACCCCTAGCAGGTTGCGCTGCTGCTTTTCAAACAGACCAAGACCGTTCAGTTGCAGGACGGGGCCCTCCCATGCCTTCCTCCCAGCATGGCCGCTCCTGTTCTCCAATCTCAAGGGCACAGGCTGCAGGAGGGGCAAAGCCACAACCTGGGGGGGAGGAGAACTCCAGATGTGGGAGCCCAAAGCTTCCGAAGCAACGGGGTGGCCCAGCTGAGAGGCTCGGCAAGCTTGGAGGAAGAGCAGCATGCAGGATGGGGGGTGGGGGGGCGCTACCGAAGGACGGACAAACTGTATCCACGTGGCCTGCGGGAGCCGGTCTGCACTCTCTGCTCTGCACCAGGCCAACTGGCTGGAGCATGACCTTAAAAATTCCCTCCCTGCCTCACGGGCAGCAGAATTGGTTTCACTTGCTGGTATCTGGAAGATTCTTTTGCGATAGGGATACTTAGCAATCCAGGACTGCTTTTTCCTTGAAGTCTGTGAATAATGTTTGATTATCTACAGTGGGAAAAGAGACACCATGCAAGTGATGAGTACTGCATCTTTTTAAAACTTTAAAATCTTTTTTGTCATTAGTGAATTTATATTTCATATATATATATTTGATGTGATACTATCCACTCAAGATAATACAACCCTTTTGTTTTTTATATTAGCAAACATTACAAGAGCTTTAATATTCTTGAATGTTTCTCTTTTATACTTCTAAAGAGATCAAAATAAATTAAAGGTTTTGTACATAATTACAGAAGTAGTTAACTTATTTTATCTTTTTAGTTTAGTACAAAGATATCGGCAAGTTCCTTGCTGAAATACACCTTATTTATAAATTTCTGTTCATTCTAACACTAATATTCAAAGGCTCTTTTTGCCTTTGTACTTTCAGCATTTCCAGGAGAGAAAGCTGTTAAAAACTCTAATTAGAGAAGGTGCTGTTTGGGTATTTTCCTCGTACCTCAATGTAGTTTCCTAAGACAATGGAATAGAAAATGGCTTAAAATTAGTAATGGATCCATACAGGAAAAGATTTTTATGGACATTTAAAAACAAGCAAACCAAAAACAATTCAGTCACTTTATGAGCTGTTCAAAAATATCCACTTGGAGGGCAGATTAAAAAAAATTAGCTACTTCAGTTTAACATAAAATACAAAGCCATATTACTTAGAAAGCAGTATCATCCCAATAAGCAAAAAATAATCTTTTTTTAAAAAGTCTAATAATGGGCTTTCCAACAAACTGAAGGCAGTACCCCAAAGTCCTTCTGTGCTAAAATGTAGTGGTAAAACAAACACATTTCACATTTTATGTCCCGCCAATAATGAGTTGCTTCAGTAAGTCCTAATAGAAACAGTTCCAATCTGAAGAACGTCAATTTCTTATCAGCACATGGTTTTGTGTACGTCAAAAAAAGTGTTTTATACATCTAGAGTCAAGTCCATGGAAGCCTCCGAGATGCAGGACTACATGTTGTAGGCCACATAGATGGGATCAAGCTGGTCCGCCAGAAACCCATCTCGTAGGTGCATGCGTTGCTTCTCTCCACGGGAGTTGATAGGGATTACACCAACGTCCACTACCACCACCACGCCTACAATCAGGTAGTGCTCCTCCAGGACTACGTTGGTGACCAAAGGAACCAGGTCTAAGGCTTCTTGCTCCGATCCATCCAGCTCAACCACCACCACCAACAAGTTTGTCCAGGTAAACACCGCACTGAAATGCAGAGAGGAAACTTCTATTAGTATCTGGGAAACGATGCGCGTGTGCGCGCACAGGCCAAGCAAAAAGAAACTCCGTGTGCCTGGCAAGGGGGCTCTAGTCCGCAAAAGTGCATAGCGTAGGTAAGTTTGTCCCAGGAGCTGCCACAAAGCTCCTTGGCCATTTTCCCCCTATATAAAACATCAGAAAGCCTGTTCTCCCTCTGAGTTCTGATCCTACCACCACAGAAAGAATAGGTTAAGCCTTTCTTGAAAATACAGAAACTAGCAACTTTTCTTTAATTAGGATAAACACTGCACTTTATCACATGCATTCTGTGGAGTAAAACAGACATTATTTCAATGTGGGTCAAGTGGCTACGTACTTTTTGCCCCATTCGCACTCTAGAGTAGAACCCCCCTTGCAAGTTTGAATTGAAACCCTACTGAGGTTCTGTAGGGGCTTCTATGAAGCAGGCCCTGGTACCTCTCCTAAAAGAAGTAAAAACTAAAAAGAAGATGTAGTTGCTAGACACACATTTAACGTCTGCATGTGATACCTGAAGGAGCGCCTACGTCCATATACGCCCACCCGCCCCCTGAGATCTGTGGGAGAGGCCCTTCTCTGGGAGCCCTCTGTGAAGGAAATTAGGAGGGTAGGTACTCAGAGGAGGGCTTTCTCAGTGGTGGCGCCCAATCTATGGAACGCGCTCCCCAGAGAGGTCCGCCTGGCACCGTCGTTATTTGTTTTTCGGCGCCAGGTGAAGACCTTTTTATTCAAACGTCATTTTAATTGCTAATATTATTTGCTTAATTCTTCGGCCAGGGCGACTTATTTTATAATGTTAATGTGTTTTATATTTTTAGTGTTTTATATTTTAACTGATGTTTTAAAGCCACCCCGAGGCTTCGGCGAATGGGGCGGCATAGAAATTTTTAAATAAAATAAAAATAAATAAATACGAAACTCTGGAGCTCTGTGTTGACCCTGATACTCCCTCACTTTAGAGCAGGGAACCCAAAACTTTAAAAGTTATGTGTGCGTGTGCGTACATGCTGAGTCTGCAACCTTCGGCACTAAGAAAAGCCAAGGGATTAACCACGCATCACGTGCTACTGTGCATTTGTTCAAAAGGGAAAGCAGCCTCACCAGTGGGAAAGTGAGAGCCAGGAAGCAGTACAGGGAAGAGGCAACTTATTGATTGACTGAGTGATTGATTTGATTTGATCCGATTTATATGCTGCCCAATTAGGCATGGGCTAATGGCTCAAAAGAAGTGTGAGTATAAAGCCCAAGAAGGTCTGCTCTCTAATCTACTGCAGGCTCCTAAAATACAAGGCTACTGAAATGCGGAGAGGTGGCACAGGTGGAATCCACAGTCAACGGATGGGACCAATTCCTATGTTTGCATTGTGTGCATGTATGTGTACGGTAAATCGCATGGACCGTCACGTCAAAACTGGCTTGCATGATGTTGGTGTTGACTGAGAGAAAGACATTTAAAATAAAAATATCCTCTGAGACTCCACACATGCAAAGAAGAGTAGGAGGCGTATGCTGCACTGTGGTCCTCTGGCCATTCTTTTAATCACCCAAAGACCCTGAAATACTTACCAGTGACTGCAACAAGTGGAACAATAAGGGCGGGATACTTAGAGGAGACCCACTGAAATCCACAGGCCTTCAATTAGTCATGGTTAACTTGACCGTTTGGCTTCAGGAGGGCTACACCACATGTGTCCACGTCTGGATCAAACTTTACGAGTCATAAATAAAACATTGCAGGTCCGCACAGGTCTACACGTTCACACACAAAAAGAGGCATTGGCACAGGACTTACCATTCCGTAATGCTTTTGTGCGCTCTAATGACAGATGTCTCGATGTCTATGGGGTGGTACCTCATTCCTCGCAATTCCATGGCTTCATCTAGCGCACCAACCACATAAAGTGCATCATGTCGCTCTGGTTTGAAGAGAAGGAAACATAAAATGAAATGAAGGAAACATAAAATGACTTCTGTTAGGGAGTGTAAGGACACTGATGCCATTGGAAGGCTAGGTTTTCTGCTTGTAGTCCAAGGACTTCAGATCATGTGGGTAACTCCATCCAGCTTTCCAGGGTCCCCACTTCTTCCCCTTCTGCAGTGCACCCCATTCAGTGTGATCCCCTGTTTCACCATGTAGCATCTTCAGGAGGTGGTGGGGCTGAGTAGAAGGATGGGGTGGGTTGATCCCATGTAAATCTGGATTTAACCCCAGTTTAATTTATTTCCATCTCATGGTTTCACACATAGCTACAAGACAGCCAACATTGTACAACTAAAAATGTATCAATACAGATTAAGAATATAACAAGAAATGCCATCTATTTTGGTTTTTTAAAATATGCTTTAAATGTTTAAATTTCAAAATAAGGCAAATTAAAAAGATAAGCAGCTAACAAATTAAAAAGAAAAAAGAACATCCGTTTTTCTCTATGATTCTTATCACTCTTTCTATTTAAAATATAAACAAGGCGGCTCATTAAAAAGATATAAAAAGCAAACAGTGAGGCATAAAACAACAGTTACAATGTTCTCAAATAAAATACATTAAGGTTTAAAAGCAGCCATAAATCAAGAGAAGCTAATGTAGGAAAACAAAATCCAGGAATATTCTGTGGGACTAGGACAATTTTTCACAGCTGTCCTAAACACAAGCGTTAGAGGGCATCCAAACCCCAACAGTGTTGACAACATCACAGATCAGATCAGATCACAGTCTAATTCAGTAGAAGGAGTTTCTGTACAGGCACACCCTACAAAAGGGTGTGCCTATTCTCCACCACCATCTATTTGCTCTCCAGTGGAAAACCATGCAAAAAGTCCAGCTTCAGCCAGACACGGCTGGGAAAAACTCTCAAGAACACTGGAACACTGGCAGATGCAAAGATGCAAATCGCTTTTCTATGGAACCTTCTGTGTAAGAAGTTTAGGAAGAGGGCTCGAAAACCGCTTTCCAAATTGAGTCAGTTCTCAGCATATTTGTGCAGAAGAATATCTGCCAAAAATAGGTACAGATGATTTTTCAACATTTCTCTCTCATATCAGATGCAGAAACCATGTTACGGTTTCTAAGAGCAGAGTTCAGCGATGCAAGGCAGTGTGAGGGCGAGAGAGAGCTACGGAAAGAATACCATGTAGCTGGCAGGCATTATATAGGAGACTTTAAAGCTGAGCTCAACTCACAAACTTTTGATAAGCAGCGAGCAAACTTACCCCCATTTGCATCTGTGAGTTCTGTTCTTCTCAGGAAACCCAAGTAGCCAGTCCGCGCCCAGATGGTTTGCGTGTCTCCAAAACTAAGTCTTGAGTTAAAATGATCTGACTGCAAGGATTCATCACCATAGATAGTAAAGTACCCACTGGCATTGTGTGCACTGTGAACCCATATCTAGGTGTGAGGAGAAAAGTTACGTTTTTGTTGGATGAAGGACTTTTGACAATACTCTCCCGCAAATACTTTCAGCGCTTTCCTCTCTCTCTGAGTCTTTCAGCAAGAAAACGAGCAACTCAGTAGCCAGTTTTCCTTCATAAGGAAAGCAGGACCTTGTACATTTTGTGCACACACAGGCTTACAAAGGCAGGCAAGCAGTCCTACCAAAGCCAATTCACAGCCGACTTTTGCAAATTACCCCAATGTGAGATCCTGTCTCCTTGCCACATCTGCAATTCACCATTGGTTTCTGGAGGTTAACGCCTGCCTCACAGTGGTTATATGTTCAAACCTTAGTTGCAGAGGGTTCTTACAGCTCCTTATTACAGCAGGCCCAGTAACCCTGATGCTGCTATGGGAAGCACTGATGTGATCTGGGGAAATCATAGGATTCTATGGGCATTCTCCTGTCAAGTCGTTCTGCCACAGCAAGTTACATTATACTGGTGGAAAGGACAGCTAGGCCAATGCCAATGGCATTCATTTGTGCCCCGATTCCTCCAAAAAACCTACCAGCACTGCACTAGGGGGTCCCTGTGCTATTGTGATATGCTTTGCATTAGCAAAATGACACTGCTGGATACCATCCTGTGACACCACCAGGAATAATAGCAGAGGTACTTTTACTCATCCCTGGACAGCAGAGAAAAGAACTTCTTTGGATTTGTGTGTATGTGCACAGATGTGGCCATTTTCTCACACAGTGCCCTTCCACTAGGGCCATTCCACAAGCAAAATGAATTTTCCCTAATGGAAGGGTCCCAAGCCCAGTGACAGCAATGGCTGGAGTATCACAAGATTCATTCGCTCTCTGTCTCCATCATCCGTACGTCCGTCCATCCATCCATCTTATCTATTTCCCACCTTTTTTTCCTTTCAAAGCAGCTCACATAATTCTTCACCTCCTCTCAATCCTATCCTCACAACAGCCCTGTGAGGTAGGCTGGGCTGAGAGTTTATGAGTGGCCCAAAGTTATTCAATGAGCTCCCTGGATGAATGGATCGCCCGAGTCCCAGTCCTGCATTATTAACTGCTGTAAGACACTGGCTCATTTTCACAATATTAGTGTCTATTTTGCTGTATATTAATAAAATGATGTGTGTGCATAGCGTATGTGTGTGTGTGGGGGGGGGGGGGAAGCAAGCTCTGCAAAGCTAAGAATTTGCCTAAATCAGTTACATACTTGTGAAACTGTGCTTGAAATAAGAATTAAAGAATTAAGCAAAAAATTGAAGAAACAAATGAACTTTTAAAGCAAAGAAATGGTACTCATTGTTCTCAACTGTGTCAAGGCAAGCTAGCTTGTAACTTTCCTATTAACTTCATAACTTTGCATAAAGCTGCATGGTATGAACGTATTAGTGTGGGCTCTTTGTCATACACTTAATAAGGAAACCTGTTAGGGAAGCAAGGAAGGAGAAGGAAGGAAAGAAGGTAGGTAGGTAGGTTTCAATCCAGTCATGCAATCCAGTACCAGTCAATGCACTGTTTGTGACTCACCTCTCCGAGATGAGAATCCCCCAGGGGCCCCTTAGTTTCTGGATTAGCAATAATGATGCGAACTCCTGGGAGGATCTTTTGAAAGACAAAATGAGTCATATTTGGTTAGGGGCAGATGATGCACAGATCGGTTTTATGCAACCACAAGTTTTCTCCTTGTCCATAGAAGCCTTTCCAAAGACTCTTAAAGAAGGCTGAAAAAAGAATGAGGTGGGCACCCTAGCTAAGCCTTGCAAACCTGTGGCAAACCTGTATTTTCATCCATGAATTGCATGGCTCTTCAGTTTTCATCTTTTCACTTATGCCTAAGACTACCACCACCAATAGCTATGACAGAGAAGGCCACTGTCCGGTGGTACAGCACATCTTTCATGGGTGAAAGGTTGTAGCACCGATCCCCAGCGTTGCCCGTTCAATAGACCATTGGTCTGTTCCATAGGAAGCAGCTTCCTCTGCAGCAGCTTCATACTAGGATGAATTCTTGGTTGGCTGCAGGCAAGCTGGGAAAATGTAAAATGGCGAGTAAGGCACTTCTCTGGGATAATCAGCACAGCCCACAAGCACATTTTACCCCAGTGGACCATGAGGCAGCTTGGCTGACTCCAGTGACATGGGCCTCAAGCATCCAGAACCAAGCTGCTCCTCACAACAGTCAGCATCAGCAACCTGCATAGGTGTCCCCATCTAAAGAAAATCCGGCAGGTATGCAACCATTGGAAAGAGACTGTGCTTAGCATCACAGCTGCAAAGGAGGACCTCCCTAGAAAGAGGTCTTAATTAAAATCCTTACTATAGTATTCCCATTGAGGTCCCATGCATCTAGGGGGCTTTAAAGGGCTGGTAGGGTCTACCATGTGCCAAAGGCAACAGTTCTACTGGACAATTGAAAAGTGGTCTTTAATCTACACAATTATTTGTAGATCAACCAGCCAAATTATATCTCGCATGTTGGTTTTCAAAAAGCCATCTCTGCTAACTCTTACCAAGCAGGTTTTGCAGATCACCCAACACATTTTATACACCACAGAGCCACAAAACAAAGAAAGGGAATTATGTCTCCTTAGGTAACTCCTTCAGCTCACTAGAGATCCTCCCACACCCCACCCAAATCTAGGAGGATTAATGTATATGGATGAATTACTAGAAACGCTTTAGATGTACCAAATGTGTAATGTTATCCTGGGAAAACTGTATCCATATGTATTATGGCATTGACATCATACCTTATCCAACTAAAAGAATGTGAAGAGAACACGGTGAGAATTACAACAATCCAGCTGCATCTGAGTATACAGGAGGTGCCACTGGAAACGTGGCCACAGAACAGCCTTTCAGAAACTCTGTGCTGGTTGGGAATAATGGGAATTGAAGTCCAAAACATCTGCGCAGCAGCAGACTGGGGAAGGCTGCCATGCATGATCCCTGTCAGTGGAAATGGCTGTGCACTTGCCAAAGGCAAGTACTTTTCTTTGTGTAGCAACTCCCACTCCATGGCACATAGAAATAGGTGTAGAGATATCCAAAATTTGGTTGCTCAGTCCTTTAAGATACTCTAAGTTTTAAACAGTTTAAGTGGTTACCTTTCCTGATTCCATGAGGGGCAAACTATGAGGGGATCCTCTTTCTACTAAGCGCACTCTGAAAAACAAAACAACAATGAATGCACAACATTTGCAGTAATTCCATATAAATGACTTCAGGCACCCTGAGCCTAACCCACTGCCATTCTGCAGGCTTCGTTCTGGTTCTGCCCACAGCAGCCGGAGCAAGATCGCCATAGTCTTTCGTAGTCAAAAGGTACCACTTAGAATAGCAAAGCTGCAATCCTACACTTCCTTACTGGGGAGTCATGTTCACAGAACACAACGGGATCTCATTCCAAATTGACATCTCTGAAATTCCACAGCTAGCGGGAAAGTCCATAAGGCATTGGAGAGAAGCGGGGGGGGGGGGGGAACAGATCCTTAAAGGTCTTGGGTTCCCATAAAAAATAGCACAGGGGAAACTATACCTGTGGACAGGCTTGGGTGGAAAAGAACGTGAGTGCCGTGGAAGAATGAAGGGACAGATTGGTTCTCTTTTTGCATGCCCCAGTCAAACTGGAGATGCTCAGGGCCAAAGTACATGTTACATTACCTCCATAAGGAGTAGCTAAGCCTGATGGATTTCTTTTTTTACTTCACATCACTCTAATTTGGATTAAACTTTTCTCCCACTTCCTCTCAAAATTCCATTTTCTCACTGGGGTCATTGGATCCCCCCGCCCTTTTAAAATCTCCTTGGGTAAATCCACCCCTGCCAGTGCAGGTTGGTCTTGATCTAAATTAGGGCCATGCTTAGTTACACAAAAGTAAAGAAAGCAATCTGACTCAGATACATGCTACACAATTGGTTTGGCCCTCAGTTCAGTAGTCTGGCCCTCAGTTCTTTTGCCAGGAGTGATCGCTGGCCTAGTTGGAACTGCTTGCTTACCATCTGGAATAGTATGCTTTGTACATCAGAGCTGCAAAGCAGGAAACCTGAATAAGTTCTATTTACCCATTTCTCCAGATTAGCAGTTTTCCAGACGAAACAATATATTGTGACCTGTATAATCTCTCTTGCACACACCCTGCTCCTTGTCTGAATATTCCTATGGTAATTTAAATTATGTGTAGTTTTAATGGAATTTAACAAATCATTTTGTCTGTATATGTATTCTGAAGTTGCCCATCGCTTTGTGGGTTTTCTGCAGTCAAGGAAAGTAGCATGACAGAAATCCCCAATGTAAACTTATTTCTGCAAACATACACACATGAACTTGTGAAGGACACATGGATGCTTTAGTAAGTAACTTTAAAAAATTATGCTGCAACTCTTGCAGGCTTCTTCGTCTATGGTGTTACCTGCCAACAACCTTACAGGGTTCACTGACAGACAATGACTGCCAAGATGAGGCTTTGTGGCTTGATGGTGATTTGTACTCAGGACTTCCCTGGTTAAAATGCACACCACACTTTTCGCGAGAGTATAATGGCTGTGTCCAGAGATGGCCTGGGTGATTTACAGAATTCATAACTGCAAGGGGGAGGTAGTAATCAGGTCTTCCTCCTTTGCAGGTGATTAAGAACAATTTACAGTCTGTTTTAAAAACAGACGTGGTAAAGCTTTAAATGAGTACCAGAACTGCCAGTGGGTCAATCAGAGCCCAGGATAAATCCAGAGCCCAGGATAAATCCAGCAATAAACCCTTGTCTATAAAATCAAGGGGCCTCCAGAAAGTGTGTGTGTATTTTAATTGAATCTTAAATGACTCCTACACAGGTTTTACGGGGAATGTTAATCACACTGAGCACCAATTCCTGTTTTAAGAAAGCCCCAACAGAAGGTATATTCAAGCCAAGTCACAAATCCCTTTTCCTACAACATATACTTAAATCCCAGTGCCCAGTGGAGAATCCAAGCTGTGATTTTGTGAGATTTGTCAAGGCAGCGTTTATTACAAATGCTACCTCAAACGTTACTCCAAAGGCAAATGAAGGAAAGCCCAGAAAACAGTGGCAGGAATGGGAAAAGCTGTTCTTGCTGGCTTTTCAGTGAAAGCCCCTGCAGGTAGCACAGAGCAATTTGGTGCTTGCTGTGGGAAACTCATAGATGTGGGAAGGCAGGAGGTAGAAGTACTGAGAGCAGGTGAAAACCTTTGAAATATGGTTTATGAATTATACAAAACATGACCACGGAGGGCCAACGTGGGGTTATTCTTCTATAACCAGCCTGTAATAACCATCAATCTAGCAACCCAGAAAGACCATCTGAAAAACCAAGCTCCAAACTGTTTCCTTTTCTGTAGAAGTGATTAAAAAGTGTTGATACACCAACCAAGTAATGCATTTTCTTGGCCCTGTGTTTGCATTTCACAGCAATCCATATTTTAGCATGTTACTAGTGTGCAAGGACAAACTGTAGCAAGCCCGAAGTTCACACGTCTTCTGCTCTATCCTTGTCATAGTTTGGAAAATTTTGCACTGTCTGGTCATCTGGGGCAGCAAACTGTGGGTCATTTAAACAGGATTAGCTCCCAATGAATCAGCTTCAACAATGGGTTTTCATGCTGGCTTGTGGAAACTAACCCTGGTTGATGTTAACCGCAGCTCTGAATGACACAAGAAATGCCAAGTAACTAAAAGGGGAAGCTTCCAAACTCCTCATTCTTGGCCACATGGGACCAGTGGGGGAAGAGATCTGGGAGCTGTGGAAAGGTGGCCTGTCTCTTGCAAATTTCACTGTAATCAGGTGGATTTGTCTGATCAGGAGATCAAGAGCTGGTGGAGGAGTTGGCAGGTGCGAGATTACCCAGTGAAGTTCCTTGGACAGAATGTGAGAAGCACCCTGGATAACATTTTAGATACTGTTCAGGTCAGGTAGAAGGTTGGGGAGGAGATGGAGGGGACGTTCCTTGACCCTGACAGGAGATGCCGGAGAAGCGAGTGGACTAATTATGAAGTGTCCAGTTCCCGCCATCCAGCCCACAAGCTGCAGGAGCCATCCCGAGTGGGGAGTCAGAGGTCTTGCTGAATGGGAGGGAAGGAGAGGAACTTTCGGTTTGGATTCACCCCTTTACATGGACAGATGTGTCTCTCCTTTCTACAAGAAATGACTCTTTGCTTTATACTATTCCGTAGCCAGTTAAGTTTCAATAAAAGAACTTCATTTCTAAGGGTTTTTTTAAGTCTGCTGAAAGAAAGAGAAAGAAGGAAGTGCCCTCTTCACAACAGGACTGTGCAAACTCAATGCTTCAGAGAACAAGTTTTATGAAAGGAAATTTTCTATTGTGTAATACTTCCCTTTTTTCTTCATAAGCTCAGAGCCTCAGGAACTGGGAGAGTCAAGTTACAAACGAATGGGTATTCCTTGAGATTTGGGGTGAGAAAACCAACAACGGAGCCTTAATTTCATGCAACATTTAACACAGCGAGAAACAGAGTTGTCATCTACAATTGGCTATGAAGTCAGAGGCTGGTTGCCACATCCAGATCCAAAGGCAATTCGGTATCTGATGGGATAGTAACTGATATAGGATTTGGGAGGCGACCAACACCTTGGCCAAGATGCAGCGTGTGACCAACCAAGGTTCCACCCTTACATTGTTCCAGCAGGGTTTGCGATATGAAGCAATCATGGGCCAATTCATACTTTTGGGAAATGAGACTTCTCTACTTGTGATGCAAACTACACCTGCATGAATATACAGTCTGCATCCACCAGCCCAGCTGTACATGTCTCAAACTGGACCCAGCCCTATGTTTCTAACCTAAATACATGGGCAAAAAGCAGGAAATAAAACAGTCCTCACTCTCAATTATGGTATATAGCAGGTGTCCAATATTAAAAAGGTACACTGAAATGCGTGTGTACACACACTCCCTGTTTTATGCTAACCCCAGCTACTTAGGTGTTTGTCAAACTGTCAAAGCAGAAGATGCTTAGATTCAGACTTTGGTGAATCCAAGAAGGGAAAGAATTCAGATGCATAGAACGTCTCTGTACATACAGGAGATAGAGGAGAATCCTTTCTAAACCATTCAGGTCCCAAATCATTCAACATTTTTGTGTTGTCCTATATGCACTGTCATTCATTTTCATCTTTCCTTATTTTGCCTACACCTCAATTTCACTGTTCTATTTCCTACTATACTATTTTTGCAAACAGCCTTCTCCATTTGATGTGCCATGTTCCTGACCATTTTCTGAGACTATTCAAGTCTACGCCCACGTGCGTTTCTTAATGTCATGGGCATGCCAAATAATACAGACTGGGAAAAGAGCACTGAAGAATGATTCATGCACCTCTGCTATAAAAGTCGCATGGATCATATCCGGTAATTACCAAGAAGGGCAGACCCAGTAGGAGCATTTTCCAGCTCCCAAACCCATGCCTTGCTAGCCCAATCTCTTTGACGACTGAAGGACTAGAAAGAGGTGCTTTAGCTGTAGTCACAGACGCATTTGAAGGCTTTGAACAGCAACCCGCTATCCGGAATTGACCGAAGGCTAAATAGACTCTCTTGCTTCTGATGGTTCTCCAACCAAGGCTCCTTAGCCTTTTTCCCAGTACAAGGGAAGGAGCTTGGGAGGGGTTTTGGCGGGGCTCCTGTAGCTGGACTCAAACCACCAGGAGTGTTTCCAGGTCACTGGGATGGGAAGGATGACAGGGTGGCATTTGGACCATACTGTGATCTCCATGTTGTCACTAGAAGCTTGGTGGGTCTCAAAATTCTGAACTGGGATTCAGGAGAAATAGAAATATCTTCCAAATCTGGGGAAAAATAATTACTTTCCAAACTGAATAGAAAGCCAGCATGGTGTAGTGGTGAGAATGTTGGGTGGGATCCTGGAGATCTGGGGTCTAGTCCCCACTCAATCACAAAACTCATTGGGTGACTTTGGGCCAGTCAGTGATTCTCAGTCTAACCTACCTCACAGGGCTGTTGTGAGGATAAAAATTGAGAGGTGGAAGTAGATTATGTAAGCCACTCTGAATTCCTTGAAGGGAAAAAGGTGGAATATAAATATAATAAAAACCAAATAGGGAGTGTATGAGTGGGTTTCCCTCATGAACAATTACTATAAACTCTCGGGCACTTCCTCTACTCCATAACTTCCTTCTATTCAAAGTTGGGAGTGAGGCTCAAATCTTAAGGCTTTAGATTAGTACACACAGGAAATGATCTAATTTGCAGATCCCTTTTCCTTTTTTCAGTCAGAAACCTGGATTTCTAATTAAGTCAGTCAGTCCCGGCAACCTTGCATGGGAGAAATTCTGTGGGGGAAATGTTTTCAGCAGTGGTGAGCAACATGCGGGCCCTTGGCCCTTTTGGCAAGAGTGAAAAGGGCCTTTCGCTGAATTTGTCACCAAAAAGGACAACAAGAAGGGGCTGATTTTCCCTTGCCTCAAGGGAAACGAGTTGCCCTTTGCTAATAGTATTTGTAGTGCCGCAGAAACATGGTTAAAATCATCTCTTTTTCTGCCCTGCTGAATTTTGGCAGCACTGCAAGAGGGCAAGTGTGGGCCCCTGTGGATTCTGGAGGGGGGGAAACTGGTCCCTGCAAGTTGGTCCACCTCTAAGTGACAGAATTACAGCCTCCAATTGCTGCCACCTGCATATTTCTACATTCCCTCATTTTCATGGGGTGGTTGGACTAGAAAAATCAACAAGGCCCTCCTGCCCGACTAACCTACTGAGCCGTTTGCTGCCTTCTGGGCTATAGCGCAGCGTAGCTTCCTGCATATTTAATGCTCTCCCGTACTGCCTAAAGTATTTTGCTGAATTCAGCACATGCAGGCGCATGATTTAAAACCCTATAAAAATGTTAACTGAATCGACATTCTGGGAAGGAACGAAGCAGTGCAGCACCAAGCGGAACATGCTGTGGTGAGGACTGCAAAGTGTGCCCTCGGCTTGTTGTAAGATGTCAACGTGGTGGATGGGGTACAAAGGTTTTTAATTAATTAATTAATTAATTAATTAATGGCCCTGAGGGGAAGCCTTCACTGCAGTGACCCGGCAGGGTGTATTAGTTTTCTTAGTGTTGCCCCATAGAGGGGGGAAAAAGAAGCCACGTCCCTGGTTCTCCCTATTGTTTTTGTTTTTTAAAATAATTTTCTTAACATATACAAACACACAGAAGAAAATGTAGAAGAAAAGAAAAACTAATATAAACAAAACAGACTAAAGTGAACAGAATAAGCAAAGTTGCCAAGGGAATGATAAACAAATACAGCCCATATATTGCAGCCCCCCAAACTAATTCTTTATTCTTCCCATGCTCTATGAGAATTTGCAAAAAGAAAAAAAACCCTTACTTAAATACAGACAATTGGGCAGCATCCTTCACTGCCCCTGAGTGAGGTAAGTTATGTCTGTGTCTGGAACTCCCTTTCTAGGGAGGTTAGGTTAGCTCCTTTGGAGCTGAGCTTTCAGTGAGCTACAAAGATAGCTCACTATCTTTGTAGGGAGCTCACTAACCCTTCGTCCAAATCTTTAAAGAAGGGTTCAGAGCTAGTCCTTTGGAGGTGTGATTGCTCCTTTGCTAATGCATTGTTGTTTCAAACGGTTGCATGGCTTGTTCTGGCCAGTGTCTTAAAGGCCTCTTGGCCCAAAGGTAGTTTGTAACTGTTCTAATTAACCAGTGAATGAAAAGCCTGCCCTCCAACTCTTTGCTAACACTTCCCATTCTCCTGCAATGCTGCCTGAGAGGCGCACCTCTCCCTGCTTAGTGAGAGGAATGGTCTTTCAGTACCACCTTGATGCCATTTCATTAGACAGAAACAGTAGAGCAATAATGGCCAACAAAGAAAAAGACAAGATAAACAGGGCACGAACGTAGCCATGGCTTCTGGGTGCAAATGGTAGGAAGGCAAGATCTTTGCCGCATGATTTTTGCACCGAGAGCGAGGGCACTTCCCATGGCATGATCATTCCTTCAGCACCGTTACCATCATCATCATCATCATCATCATCATCATCATCACGACATGGCATTTACATCTCTCCTGCGTTCCTCTTGCAAGGAACCCAAAGCAGCTTGCATGGTCCAGCTCGGCTTGGTTTCATCCTCAGGACAACAAGCATGTGAGGTAGGCTTAACTGAGAGCAAGTGACTGGTCCAAGGTCACCCAGTGAGCTCCAAGACTGAGTGGAGACCAGAACCTAGATCCCTCAGGGCCCCAGTCCAACACTCAGCCACTCCACACTGGATCCCTGCACATGTGCACAGACACCATAAAGCTAAGCACAGAAGCAGCAGCGGTAGACACTCGTTTGCCACCTTTGCTACTTTTCTGTGTGCCAAGCTGCCTTCCCCTTCCAAAGGTGGCCAGGCATAATTAAGCGTGTACTATCCACTCTTAATTCACAGCAGCTAAATTCACTCATTAGCACTTGGTGATGGACCCTCTGGAAAACTCTCCAAGGAAATAAACTTTCACTTTAGTCTCTATACCAGTGGAACTGCAATAACAATTAAAAAGCTTACTGAAACATAGACTTAAGTAAACATATATAATAACCCCAAGATATCATGGTGAGCATTCATAATTATGGTAGCTCCACAAATGAACACTCCTCATCAGTGAATTACAAGTCAATTTGCCCAGCGATATTCATTTCCCACATCAAAGTCCTGCCTCACCCTTCATTTCAAGTTCTGAAGGACAGCTAACCCTTTCAATAATGTTCTTCCTGGTAGTAAAGAAGGTTAAAGCACTTGCAGGAAAAAAATATGCAGACGATTCTTTGCTTAAAGAATTTAGGTCACAGCTGAGCAGGCTTCAGGCTTGTAGGATTACGGTAAAGCCCATGTTTCTCTGGTCCCACTCTATTTGCAATTCACGTTTCTGTCCAATTTTGCTGAGCACAGTCTGCACATCTGCCTAAGGTATCACTGCTGTTGGGGCCAGTCACACATCTGCTGAGCACTCAGTGCACATGTAACGCTTTAACCTATGCAACCATTCTTCCACCAAATGCACTCATCGCTGTTGGGTGTAATCGACAAACCAACAAATCCTTCAAGGCGACCTGACCCGCTGCCTTCTTGCATATGCATCTCTTACGTGTTCAGCATGTTAAGGGCTCTCCTCCACGCTCCTTTTAGGTTATGCAACTTGCTGTAAAAAGCAGGGCCTTGTCACCTTTCCACTTGACAGAAGATCATTTTTCTTTAGCATTGGCAGAACTGCCCGACACACACACACACACCTCTGGACCTGGATTCTCAGTTTAATACTGTGAAGACTTCAAGGAAACTTACAGAGCTGCCGGAGCCGGACACACAGTGCCCAGCCCTGTCTGAGTGAAGCTGAGCTTGCTGAGTCCCCTGCCTGTGGTGCACCCTTGCAGACCTCCGAGGAAGCATCTTGTCCACTCCACTGTCCCGCAGCAGAGGGGCACAGAACTTCAAGCGGTATCAACGGCAAAGCTATATCCTGGTTAGGGAACTCTGTCTCCTAGTGGCTGAAGAAGTTACTAGTGTTTCTCCTTCGTGGATGCATTAAAACTAATTTAAATTAATATGTTTTAAAAAGAAATAACTCCAAGATGCACATTCAAAGCACTCCATTAGTATCCATACCTAGGTTTCACAGTCTTGGCACACTGACCTGGACAGCGGAACATAACTGAAAGACAGACACTCTCCTTTATTCTAGCCATCTGTTAGTATATCAAAAATATTCAGATTTAAATGCAGTGGGCATCATTCTGAGTGTACAATACATGTTTGTATTTTAAGATGTGGGCATAACTTGGAGAAATAAAGAAATACAAATTAAATTGCATTCATTTGCTTTCTACTACTGCAGAAGGGCAAGGAGAAAAGACAGTTTTCTATTTGTATTTTCTTTCCACCATTCTACAACTTGGAATATTGCAATATTAGAATCCAAGACTTACCTGTCATGCCTGAGGGCCCTCATGTCAACATACACAGTGGTTGGATCTGGGCCAGACGTCCCCTGCAAAAGAGCACTCGTTAGTTAGCGCTCTGCCTTGAATGGGTGCTCTGCATTCTACTTACTATACAGTTAAAAAAGAAATATTAGGCACAGTGCAATAGTAAAAACATGGAATGCATTAGTACCAAGGGGAGAGCAATCTAAACATATCGTCCTTGGCAAACCCATTAACCAGTTGGTTATAAATATACATTTCCAGTTGCCTGTGTTATTCAAAGCTTGTGACAACATAAAAGTCATGAAAGGTACACGAGTTTGGCAAAATAAAGAGGGAGGCAGAATCAGCTGAAGGCACACAGTTCGTAATGGTAGAAGCAAGAGGTCAAGTGGGATGCGTGGACTGCTTGAGACACACATGCAAAGTCTGATTAACAGTCGATGGTATTAAAGAGTTGGACATGTGGTATTCACAGATATGGACTGCAGAAGCACTTATTCTGTTCCTTTTTAAATCATCCTACTGCATTTTATTAATAAACATTGCTGTTTTCCTGGAAAGCTCTTCTAAAGGTAAATTGTCCATTCGTTTGAAGCATCTTCTTTCGTAGATGACACCCCTTGCCCCGTTTTACTCCATAATTGTCCTTTCCTTCCCCAAGTGCTTAACCTCCTATGGAGCAGTTTCCTTCTGCTTTTGCTGCCAAACTAGAAGTAGAAAAGTAGGAGAGCACGGTTTATAGAACAAGACTGAGTGCCACGTCCAGCCGTGCCTGCTGCAATTAGACGCTGAACGCGTCGAATGACGTGGTTTCCTAGGCAGTGTCAGGATAGGATGCTACACGGATGGCCTGTTTCTCGGCACCCATGTGTGAGAGCCACTTGACCATGGTGGATACTTCGAGTGTGCAACAAATGTCTGTAAACATGTGGAAAAGATGTGCCCACAGAAAAGGTAAGCCCTAAAAGTGCATCAGCCAGGGGCCAGGATTTGACTCCATGAGAAGTGGTTGTACGCTTGCCAGCAAAGCTGCGTTTGGATCAAGGCCGTTCTTCGGCTAGGAGGGAACAACCGCTGTGTCAGCACCATGTTAGGAAGCAAGGATCCTACCCAGACCGGAGCGAGGCTGACTAGACAGCACACAGTGAGGGTTAACACGAGACAACAGCACATTCCCTTCTGAGGTTTCCCAGGTGCTTCCTGGCAGTTTATTTTCTCCTGTGTGCCTTCCGTACACGTTTGATACCAAAGGGAGTACAAGACATCATAAGCAAGGAATACTTTTTAAACACTTTTTAAAATCAGCACCCACCACCAAGACAGCAGGAGAGAGTTACGGGAGAGGCGACATGCACATTAGCCACTTCAGCTTGTTATAAAGCCAACACAAGACACCAATCCTATCTAGCTGGCATAGAAAGTACGGTTTTCAGTGCGCTAATAGACTCAGCAGTGTAACAGACTAGTGCTGAGAGGAGAAGCTCGTTTCAAGCATCGTTAATGGAGCTCGGAGCGCAGGGCTGGAGTCAATCTATAATTACCACCTTAGGAAATGTTTTCATAGTTGGCCAGAACCAGTTTATAAAAATCAATTCTGACAGTTTGAACATTGATGCTAAACCTATTTTTTGTTTGTTTAATTTCAAGGGTGTTACTGAAACGATGGCTAACCTTGGATAAGGCTGCATCCAGGTCAAACCTGTGGCTACTTCCCTTTCCCTTCCTGCACAACAGCCAGGGTGGAAGGGGTTTGACAATGCACCAAAGATCTCCAGACTCCATCTAGTCTGTCCCACTGTTAGGAGTGGAAAGGCGGATATTTTAGGGAACACAAAAATCCCCTACCTGCTCGGCCAGTTTCCCCAGCCTGTGTGGCTACAGCAGCAGAAACAGGAGGGATACCAGGGAGAAGGAAAGGCAGAAACACATGGAAAATAATAAAAAGAGGGAATGAAAGGTGGGAGAAAAAAAGAGGATAATGCGAAAAGCAGGGAGTAAAATAAAAGGAAAAACCATGTCAAATACAGGAATTGTATAAATTAAGCCATTTTACCATTTAAAGGTTTAAAAAAGAAAAAAATGAGATGTCAATATTTTAGTAGAGCAAACAAAAAAGACTATAACAGACTCGCTGACCTTTGACATACGGCGTTAAGCAATTTTGGAGACAGTACAGACAATATTGTTAGTGGACAGCATGTGCTGAGAATCGCTCCATCTGTCAAGTGGAACTTAAGGGCATGCTTCAGCCTTGCTCTTGCTCAGCTTTTCCCAAATATCTGAGAGACATACTGGCACACCTTTTGGGGGGGGAGGGGGGTTAAAATTAAAAAGGCAGGCTCCTTTCCACACCTGAAAAGTCTCTCTGTGTGCATGTGTGTGTGTGTGTGTGTCTGTGTGAGAGAGACAGAGAGAGACAGAGAGACAGAGAGAGAGCAAGAGCTACATGGTCTTAGTGAATGCCAGTCCCTTTCCCATTCTGTAGGAGTCATCCTCTAAGCATGCCTTCTCTCTGTGCAGGTAATTCTGCAGCAAGAGGACTGAATGTAAGAACATCAGAAGAGCCATGCTGGGCTCAACAAAGCTTCACAGTGGCCAACTAACCGCCCATGCGAGACCCACAAGCAGGACGCGAGGGCCCAACACCCTCCTGCCCCATTTCCCTAGCAATGGGGGTTCTCCTACTGGTAGCAGCCTAGAGCCGTTGGGACAAGTGGCCGCTGATGCCTTCTGGTCTCAGTTTGTGCCGAGAGCGTGAATGGCCCATGTCCTGTGAAGGCTCCTTGGAAGGGAAGTGGGAGAATGAACCTTGAGTAGCTGGACTGAGAACCCTCTTTTGCAGCCAGTTCCCATGAAATCACTTGTTCTCTTAGGGCGGGGATGCAAAATCTGCAATCCTCCAGAGCCTTCACTGCAGTCCCATCAGGCTACCCTGGCCCCATCGCCACCACTGAATTTCATCCCCGCCGTCCCCGGACTTGAAATCCAACTGCACTTTCTCCTCCTGTACCCAGAAACCCTGACGTGGGTTGTTCTCTCTCCACATTCACGTGCACATCTCATTTGCATGCACACTAAAGGGCCTTGTGTCCTCGGACACCCCTGTGTGTGAAAAGGGGCATGTGGGCAGGGAAGAGGAGGGCGTTTGATTTCAGGAAAAGAAAAACCCTGGCAGAAGGGTCAAAGCAGGGCTGCAGGAGGGGAAGCACATGTGGGCAACAAGCCAGCTAATCTGGGGCTGGGGTTAGGAACAGGTGCAAAAGGGCCCCCCTCAGGGTCCCCACAGTGGGATGTCTGCCCACACCACCTCTGAATCAGAGTCCTTTTTGTATGTTGAATTGCAGGAAGAGTTCAGTAACGCCCATATTTCACTGCTACAGAGCACTATTTTATGTCCACACATAAACTGAATATGCCTTTGTCGGTGTCATGGTTGGGGGTCATCAGCCCCTGGTCCCAGACCCATAGCTAATCAAGGGGAGAGCTGCGTGCCAGGCCAAGACAGGTGAAAGGATGTGGCTGGACTGAGGCTGTGGAGACAGGACATCCTGGAAGGCCATTCGGGGAGGTGAGGCACACACCACTTTTCAAAATGGCCCTTTGGCAAAAATAGCTGATAATCAGGGCCATGTCCTTTCACTGGCCTTATTAAGGTCCTGCAATGGCAAGCAGTAAGAGGACAGGATGATGGATGTTCTTACTGGGGGCAGCATCTAAGGATAGTCCTGTGTAGACCAACTGAAAGGACTGAGGCTTAAGTTTGTCACCAATAATTGAGGGCCCATTCATTTCCACCACGCAGGACTAAGACTGATGCTCCCCTGAGCCAGTGAGTCCATTTTAAGCCTGTCCCTTTCCAGCCTGCAGGCAGGGCTCCATATAAATGAATGGGTCTCCATATAAGGAACTTCCTGCACACGAAACTAGATGTCCAGGGAGATGCCTTCACCTGATTTCTTTTTGTCATGCTGTTTCCTATATATAGGGACCTTTCCCCCTGGGTGTATCAGTCTATCACAAAAACCCTACACCTATAGTCTGCACAGAATTACCATCATGAAGGTAACTGTAACATAAACTCCTCCAGTCAGGGAATGAGGAAAAATTAATGTGCTTCTCATGTCTATGCAATTTTCTTAATTTTGCACTTTCTAATCCATATGCAAACCAAACCACGGTTATTCTTTGTAATTCAAATTTCTTCACATTTTGCAATGGAGTTCTCCAAAGAAATGCATATAACATGAGTATATTATAGGAAAATGCACATAAAATGTGTATATTAGTGAAAAGAATGTTAAAATGCATTGTATTAAGAAAATTACTTGCACAAAATGTGTATGTTAGACATACAATAATGCACATATTAGAAGTATAAACAAAAATGTGCAACATTTTCATGCAAACATTTTTTGTAAAAACTGTTAACATTTGGGACAATCTGAACTCAACATGGGAACAATCAGAAACTGAACAAACTGAAACTGTCTGATTTGGCTGTTGTCAGATATTACCAACTAATGGAAGCCTGCATTCTCCAAACCTAGTCTAATTTCTGTGAAGTAATCTGCAAAATACTTACTGCATTTATACCTATAGCACTTTCTAACATTCAGTTCTCGGGATCTCCTTCTTCCTTCAGTGAGTGGCAGAGAATAAGGAATTGTGGCTCACAGAGGCAAAACTGGTGGTGTGAGCTATTCCACTGCTTCAATGTAAGGTTGCCAGGTGGCTTGCATTAGACCAGTCCGGTACATTTCACTCTTAATCCCAAGCCCACACTCCAATGATTTACCAAAGAAAACAGTGGGATTCAAAATTAGCAGAACATAACATTTGGGTAAACAACCCCATTATTATTATTAATGCAGTGGCATCTTTTACATTCATCCCTGCTACCCAAATAAGAGAGCAGCGGGATGTCTTTTTATATTACACCCATCAGAGCTGATCAGCTGATACTACTCTGCCTCCCTCTCTCTCAATAGGAAGAGGAGCGTTGGCTGCAGAAGGAAGCTCCCCCCACAACTGCAAAAAAGACGGCATGTTCTTTGCAGCTTTCCAAGCTGCTAACGTAACACAGGATGGCACAGAGATGCGCCACTCAAGGTTCCTGACAGTCAGCGGTGCCCCAAGGAAAATACTGTTGCCCAGCCCACGCTCCCCCTCCTCGACAGCAGTGCCATCCCTGCTATGCCTACTCAAAACACAGGGAGGTCCTGATCCCAACATGTAAAGCATTTTTGCAGTATATGCACCTACAATTCATTTGGTTAAATGCAGTTTGCATTTACAAGCTGTGTTTTCTCAGTGCAGAAACTGCAAGGTTACAAATGTGAATAGGAATGAGAATGTAAACAACAATAACTTTAGTATATCTTCAGCACCTTATGCTGAGATCTTGACCCATGCAACACATTATTGTTATTGTTATTACTTCAATCCCACCCATTTGCAGAGACTGGGAAGTATTCTCAACTACAGGGCCATGAAGCTCAGGTGCATGGGCCAAATCTGGCCAGATAAAGTCCCAAAGCAGACCCCTGGGATCCCAAAGGGAGCTCTACTCCCTTCCCCTGCCCTCCCCCGACCCAAACATTCGGTGGTTTCTTGGCTGTTGTGCAGCTTCATAACCCCCTTTTCAAAGGCTGAACGGCATAATCTAAGGCCTATGTATTGGCAAGAAGAGCTTTAAGCTCTACCATGCTGGCATTTTTGGCACTACTGTTTTTGTCTTCAGCCTCCACCAGCACTGGAGCGCAGCCCCAAGAACTTCTCCAAAATGGAATCTGGCCCTCGGACTGAAAGAGGTTCTACACTGCCACACTGTGTCTGGCAGTGGCCTCTCTCAGCGACCTTTCCGAGCTCAGCTCTTAGGAATGATTTAACTGGATGCACAATGGAGTGAACACAGGACCTTATGCACACGGAGCTGTACGTGAATGGGCGCTGCTCTGACTGGTGGTCCCTCCATACTCTGTGCTCTTTTATGTTCTCTGCAAGGCAGGCGCTTCCTCTGGCCACATATTATTTTCCCAGAGCGTGTGGAATGCCACTGATGTTCTATATAGTCTGCCATAGCACTGTTAGGAGGGTAGGGTATCAAGGGCGATGATTTCCATAGTGGGAACTCTTTGGCATCAAGGAGATAAGACTGCCAATGGTGTAATAAAGCCAGTTCATACTAGTTGTCACTGTGTCACAGAGAAAGGAATCATTCTAAGTGTGACACTCAGATGCATATCCAGAAAAATACCCAGGCACAGCCAGAGGTATCTACTATGGGTATATATCTGAAGAGTACTGGTAGAGCAACAGCTTTTCTCACCAATGGCCAGAAACAGAGTGCAGCCTTCCCAGAGCGCAGAAGCGTAAACACTTGTTGGACACACCCAATAGTATCAAAGCAAACACATTTCTTTAGAAGAGAGAAATTGTTCAACTCAAAGCAGGACTGTGCATTCTCAGTTACTTTATAGAGCTGTGAGGAGTATTGATTCACAATTTCAGACTAGGGGCTAGTAACTCCTATGACTCAAATGAGAATGAATAGAACAGCAGCACTGGCATTCTTGGTAGACTCCCTGACTCAGCCTTGGCCAATGCAGCAGCCTTCTGATGTGCTGGGCTGGGGCTACAATTTCCCATAATCCCTAGCAAGCCTGGCTGACGTGAATGCCTGCATAACATTTCTGAGGCTGGCACTGTATTCGTTTTGGCTGCTATTTGCCTCCACATTGCTCTGCCACTGGGAGAAGCAGGCCATGATGGAGACTAAGACCTATGATACTGCTTGATGGACAACAAAAGAAGGTGGTAGCCTCTGTTCCATCCACGTTTACTCTTTTGCTGGGGTCCAGAACAATTAGGGACAAGCTTCGTCCCTCTGTAATGCAGCAATGGGTGGAGAAAGGAAGAGTCAGGAGCGAGACCTCACAATGAATAGGATGGGGAACCTACAAGGAACATGTGGGCCTCGGTGCACTTTGCAAACGCCACCCACTGCTTAGAAGTAGAACACAGCAGGTCTTGATCAAGGCACTGAGGAACTGGAGAAAGTAGAGGGTTTCCATCCCCAATGCAGAAAAAAGAACGCCTACCGGGAGGCCATCAGTGAAATCTTTTATAGCATTCATAACCAGAAACATTTTAGGAGAGAACAGCAAAGCCCCATGTGCACTGTGAAATGGTACAGTGGAGACAAGGACTGTACCATGTGATTTGCTTCTTAGCTAAAGAGGAAGCTGGAAGTTAGAGGTGAAAATAAATACTCAATACTCAGTTGGTAGTAACAGACACAGCCATGAACCTGCAATAAAGGGTAATAAACTACTAGCATGGTTTTCAAGTGATGCATGTGTGAAAATAAAATCAAACAGGAACAGCACTGGAAAACAGTGAAGAAACAGGTGAAAGTCCCAGGAGCCTGTCTCTTGAAAGTAAAGAAAAAGGAGGAGGTGGGCATTCGACTCTGTTTTGTCACAAGAAACACTGTAGTTGGACCCGATGTGGCTTTATGACAAATTATTATTCCGATCTTGTTCATCACCAGCCCGAGGTCTGCTTCTCCGCCGTTTGTCTTCCTTCTTTACCACTTTCATTTAAAGTTTTTTTCCTAGACTGCAGCTTTCGATCAGCCAGCAATGTTTGGTTTGACGGAAAAGTGCCGGCCTCCACTGGGCCCTTGGCATGGGGCTGCGGATCCGCCTGTCCAGCTGGCACTGTTGCTGCGCTTCTTCCAGTCCCTCGCACTCCGCGGTGGTAATTCTCACTGCAGGAGCATCTCGGCTCCCATTCAAAGCATTGCAGGCACAGGCTCTGTTGCAAAAGTACTTCTGAATGCGCTCGCATTAGAGAAGGGAACCAACTGGCTGAGCTCTCATCTCTGCCATGAGCTCCGTAGGTGGCCTCTTAAGCAGATCAGTAGCCCGAGCCTCAGGTCTGCAGCTGCAACATGGTCACTGTAGTACAGGCCTGCCTTATAGAACTCTTGTAAGGATTTCTGTGATAATGAGTGCAAGGAACTGTGAACAGCTGAAGCTTCTATGTAAATGCTTAGGGTTACTATTAATTCTGCCAATTCCTACGAAAGGATAAACGCAGACATTTCATCTGTCCTTGACACATGCCGCAAGAACTTCAGTCACTCAAGTGTGATTTTAGGTGGTCTGTATGAGTTGGATAACACACATATATGTCCGTTTCAAGTTACTATTCTACACACAGGAAGAAACTGATTTTGAAATACGATACTTAAAGCACTTGGAAGACCAGCTTTGTCTACAGCAATAAGATAGACTTTTCCAAATTTAGTAACTCTTGTATAGACTTTTTATTCCATTGCTTTTTAAAACCAAGGCAGAATAAATGCTACAGATGCAATGTGAAGGCTTTATGGAAAATGCTCATTAACAAAAATGTAGAGAAAAGTACATTTATTGCCATATGAAAGAGGAATATTAAGTACCCCATGCATTGGCTAACCAAGCTGACTTGTGAGCAAAAAGAACAGAGCCTTATGAAAGTGCTGCTTTTAAGACAGTTGCCAGGAAAAGAGGATAATCTTACCTGCAAACATATAGCCAGGTTAACTCTGCAACCGAATGATGTACTGACGGCCCTGGGGTGTAGGCCCAGATCTTTAAAAAGCTTTGAAAAAGACTGTGTCAGAGCTATGCGTGGCCGTTCTTCTGCCACAACCACACACGTACGCACTCTTGAGAGGTCCAGACCCCTAGCCTAGAAACAAAGCACAACCTCGAGTTATCCCAAGGATGATGCTGTCGTTTAGTCGGTTATTTTGGCAATTTTAGAACCAAGTGTATTGAATGCAGGGCAGCAACCATTAAATAGCAGGCTAAGAACCAACCTCCCACCCCTTTGAAAGGCATGGGGAGAGGGGGAGTTCTAAACAGTTCAGTTCTGCATTTCTGATCTCAAAATTTCAAGCAAGAGTTGAACAGAACAAAGTTTGCATTGTAAAAGAACCTTATTTTGGGAAAAGGGGAATATTATCTGTAACAAACATTAAAGAGCAGATATGAGGGGGGTTGCTTTCTCTTTTTTGTTTCTTCAATATAATTTTTGAATGGTGACCTCTTTGGGGACAAATTCAGATACTGATCAAACAGTTGTAAGCAGTCCAGAATTCATGGTAAGCTGGGACAAGGATCATAACGTAGCTTTTTTGGTAGCAGCTTTTAATATGATCTCTTCAAAATGGAGGATTAAAAATCTAGAAATGGAATAAAATGTCTGGATGCTTAGAAGTATTCTCTTGTGTAACAAGAACTAAACCTAATACTAGCCCAGGTGGGAGACTAAGGGAGAACTATCAGAGAACTGTGAAACGCCTTGAAACAGTGCTTTGGACATCTGTACTTCCGGAATGGTTCACTCATTTCTTGGGATTGTCCATTCATTTATTTGAATGCTTTATCCTGCTTTTGCATCTAAAGTCAGCTTACCGTAAAGTATTAAGAAAGCCTATCCAACAATATACTGACCTTGTTTGGACTGTAGTTTATTGTTACATGAGCAAGACTGGACTTCCTTTGGGCATTCACTTCAGTTTTCAGTGGAATTTATTGTAATTGTGGTTAGTCTTAACAATAGTTTACCATTTTTCTGAAACTGGCTTATTGCAGTAACTCATAGTTTTAATGATCTACACTTTAGGCCCATGACACACCACTAAACTAAGGTTAATTAAGAATGAATGAATGAATGAATGGAGAATGAAAAGGAAAGCTGCAAATTTCCTACTTGCTGCTGCTTCAGAAAAAGAGGGAAGCGGGGTATGAACTTGAGGCTCACCTGGTCTTGCTCCTGTAATGCTAAACCATAGTCTTAATGAGGCCAGGGCAATGCTTCAGATGTGGTCTTCAGCTAGCATAATTTGATAAGCATGCAGCAAGTGCTAAGTTAAACTTGAGTAAGTATGCAAGGCAGGCCACATTTTTTTCTGAAGGGTTCGCTTGCCTCCTAAAGATGCATTTTATTAAAAACATATGCTGGTGTTCCTCTGAGGAACTTGCAACAGTTTGCTCTATGGCTCCTTGGTGTCTCTCAACAGGACAGCTTTCAAAAGCAGACCTATTTAGCTATAATGGTTGAACTGCATCATGTTCCTGCTGGTCATTTTCTGGCTTCCCTCTTTGAAGCTTCTCCTAAGACCTATTTTTTTGCCTTGATTTCAAACAGTGGGCCAATATGCATGATACAGGCAAGCTCACTCTGGGTTATTTAGCCCATTTCAATATGCAGTTCCTGAGTCCTTCAAACATGGCCACTGAGTGTTATTTGAGGATTAAACAGCCCCGGCATAATCCTACAACAAGCCAAGGTGTCATTTGACCCTCAAATAACACCACGTAGCCAGGATAGGGAGGAGGGGAGGAAAAGGCACTTGGAGCAGCAAGTTCCACACAGTCTGGGTGCTGCCACCAAAAAGTCCCTCCCCTCTGTTCCCATCAACTACACTTTAGCTGGCCCATCACAGAAGCAGCTATTATTCTAAGTTCCATTTTACCTGGGAGTATAGAGGACATCAGGACAAATCACAGCACTGTATGCTGGCTCATCACTAGTTCAGATCCAGTTAAGGAACCATCCCTCTTTGATGCTGCCAGCCCTGCTCGCCAACACCCAATGAAGGGACCTACTTACCTGAGGGCCACCTGGCCCTGTACAAGCTGCACAAGCTACCCATGGTAGATAACAGAATAATTCACAAACAGCAGCACCCCCGAAATCTGTTTCTATGAATGTATTCCGAATAGCAAAACAAATACTGACGGTAGGCATCATGAAGCTAATTTACTTTGCAGCCCAGTGCTACAGAAATAACCAAGGAACAGCAGGTGAGAAGCTTCCTAGAAAGAGGAATCCCACTAGCTCCACTGAAAATTTCTCTCACTCCTTGATTTATTTCTTCTTGCTGAAGCTGTTATGACTCATAATGATGACATGTCGAAGCGATATTGTTTGGGGAGTGGGAAGGAGGGGAAGGGAAGGGAAGGGGGAGCACTGGCATTCCTCACCTTCAGAGATTCTGTTTGTGATCCAAGCCCCTTGGTGCAAAGCTCCATCACGGAGTAAGAGCAAAAAGTGTCTCTCACTTTGTACTGACTCACAGCCAGAAGCCAGAGAGCAGGTGTGGTCTCCAGTTCTGAGGGAGGAATCAAAATAGACTGGTGTCCTGAATAAACGCTGCAAAGATATAAAATTGGTTAAACACAAGGCTGGAACTCCATCAGGAGAAAAGAACTGAAAAGGAAATGATTTATCATGGCCCGTGCGATACAACGCTGCACAGTCCATAAAGCAGAGCAAAGAATGACGCAGCAAAATCTCTCGGGGGTTGCTTTGGATCTGCTTGGGTGCAGCCAGTGGATCTGAGCCACAAGTACTTAGTTTTCCTATAGCAGGCAGGATAATTTCAATAGTGTCCTGAGGGTTCTTTGATGGACTCTTCCTATGGCCATGAGCTGCTGCTCCCTCAGGAGAGAGTCTCCAAGCAATTAAGGGTTGAATTATAACCTTGGCAAAGTACCTTGCCAAAGCTGTACATCTGTTGCAAGCTGAATCTTTCTTCTCTTCTCTGTGCTCAGATAATTTATGGGATGGCCCTGGGAATTCCAGCCAAACATGGCTCAAGTGAGTGACCAGCTCACATGGCACATGGTAAGTGTTAACTCTGAACAGGAAATTGCACAAGAGGAAGCACAGCTCAGGGGCAGAGCTCTGCATGCAGAGGGCCCCTGCTCAGTCCTTGGCATCTCCAGGTAAAAGGAACAGGTGATGGGAAGGACTTTGCAGCAAGTCAGCATTGAGCTAGGTGGGCAAATGCACTTTTACCGGGTCAGCTTCACCCATTTCTAGCTAGCCTGGCTTCTTCTGTAAACGACCACAGAAAATCAACTATCTTGGTTCTTCTTCTAACATAAGTTATCATCACCCCACTCAATGAATGTGTATATACGGATGGGTGAAGCAGTCATCACAGTGCAGATGGACCAAACCGACTTTCAAATCACCTCAAATTACAGTCCTAACACTTTTCAATGGAATTCAGTCAGCGACTGAATAAGCCAGTGAGGAAGATGCATCTGTTGGCCAGCCTGATTTTGTCATCAGAAAGACAATTTATGAGCTGTCGGATCAAAATGGCAACCTGCATTTACTGTGGTTGACTAAAAGGAAGTCTGAGAAGAGGTTAGGAATTGCACACTAAGGCAATGGCTTCGAAGAGTCAGCTCTCCAAGTAGAAGGAATATACTTAGCCTAAGGCCACTGGTACACCTAACTCAGTTCCGTGAACACGGAATGGCAGTGCATGGCATTACTGGCCCAGCCTATTGTTTTTGGCCCTGTCCAACACTAGAAGACAATCCTTGGAAGCTTCTCCAAAATGAAATGTGTCCCGCAGACTGGCTGAAGGACATTCAATATTGCCGTTCTACAAACACAATGCCAATGTTTACGCCTTCTCTCAAATTCAGCCTGTGAGCTCATCAAGCGAAAGTGTGTGTTCTAGTTGCCGATAACTGCAATAGGAGTTAAAAGAGCAGTGTCAGCCCAGATAAATAAATAAAATGTTGTAAGGGAAGGCCGGTTGACCCAACATTAAAGCTTTGGCCAACTGGAAAAGTCTTGTACTGGTGCCAAAACTACATCAAAGCTGCAGCCAAGTGCTCCTCTCTGAGGAGAGCTTTCAGCACCTGGAGCACCTCAACAGGAACTTCACAAAGCAAAATAGATTTAGCTGCTATTTGAACTGAATTATTAAGACATGAGCTCTGACGCAAATATTTGGCAGGGGGAGGGGAATCACACCACAATGAATTCCAGAATTACATGATCAGCACAAACAGCTAAAAGTAAAAATACAAGCATCCATGAACTCACGTTGGCCTGACGACTGTTGCTATGCCCCAGAATGCACCATTCTTTGACAAAGATCCCCAGGAAGTCCTGTTGGAGTGTGTGGCCAATTGAGAGGAATCTGGAGAATTTTCGGTAGAGGTCTATTGCTCTGCTTTGCAAGATTTCTTTTCATTATTATTTTATACCCTTTGGGGACATAAAATAAAAACAAAAACAAAACTTTGCAAAACCATGCAATACACTCAAGACTTACCAATGGGCCGGTTCCATGCTCCAAGTAGGTTTTCCTTAGTGGTTTAGAAGTCTCAGAATGTTGCATTCTGGGACATCACAGTGGAGCAGGCCAGCACAACTTCATAGCATCTAACAACAGGGATAAGTAACTAGATGTGTTTTGGCTGCTTGTGCCCAGATTGCAACCCCTGGGCAGCTAGGGATTCAATCACTCTTTCCGCCTCTAGCAGTGAAGGATGTCCATCATACTGTGCCCATTTCAGGCTCCATTTCCCCGATCTGACTTTGGTACCAATTTAGATTTATTTCAGATTTGTTTACATGATCAAGAGGTAAATCGTGGCTTCAGAGAACTGAAAGCGGGGACGGCAGGAAAGAATGCTATTGCTGCAACCGAGAGCTTCAAGTCTGCACCATCTTTACACATGTAATTAGAAAGTACAGCTTGTTAGCTTGCCTACACAGAGCGCACAGTATTCAGAATGCCCTTAGAAGGGAAAAAATATTTTGCTACTGCTTTCACAGTGGTTAGAAAGGACTTGGGCAGAGCATGCTCGGTTCACCCGCATCAGTCATGAGAAGCATACACACACCACGATGAAATGCGGGGGGGGGGGGGGTTGGCACATCCCCGCACTCAGAGCCTGCTTAGAATGTTCTAATTTGCAGCTTTACTAGTGCCTTATTTTCAGAGGTATTTTCTTAACTAAACAGAAAAACTTCCACATGGATAACAACCAGTTGAGATTTGTCAGGAGGTAAGCTAATTTCAATTTTCAAAGTCAGATTTTAGGGTGTATACTCTCTCAGATAATAAATTGAAGATGCTTCTTCTTTTTCCATGAAGGTATATTTTAATACCATTGCTGAAATATCCAATAATCTGTACACAGATTCTTTTTTATTATATTAATGGAGTAGGTTTAATGGTGAAAAAATGAGCAGCTATTTTTCAGTGGCTATCTTCCAAAACTATAGCACCTTTTCAGAATAACAGTATGGTATTTAACTGAATAAAGTAAAATTTGTAGAAAACTCAAACAAAGTTTCTCTTTGCTTCTCAGTTCCTTTGAGACCTTGAATTCAGCCATTTAAAATAAAGTTTATAATTTTCCCCTGGGAGGCTATCCAGATGAGATGAAGAGGGGGCTCTAAGGCCATAAGGTGCTGAAGAAATGCTTCCAGTGGATTCTCTCTGTCTAGTATTCAAATTAATCGCCTGTGCTTACTTGATACCCTGTGCTTGCATTGAAGAAAGGGGTAGAAGACATGCCCTCTGGGGCCACTCCGTTACCTCTCATCCTGCTGTGATCCTGCACAGGCACAGCAGCCCTTCCTTAGTAATCCAGAATGTGAACAGCAAGTTCCTGATCCAAGTATGGATCCTGTCGCAGCCCAAACAACTCAATCTAGGCAAACAGGGCGCTCTCAGTGGGCTTAGGGGAGCGCCCACATTTTCAGAAGCACACAAATGCCTCGAAGGAAAAAGACCCCCTTTAGGGACCCCCCTTCCCCAAAAGCAGCCTGGAAGGACCAAGCATGCCCTGTAGCCACAGAAGGCATACTGACAACTGTGGGGACAGCGAGATTAAGCAGGTGTGCATTGACGAGATGAAATGGAGTGTTCTGGAAAAGAGCTGAGTAGAAGCCTGAACAGGAGCACTCCATGCTACAAGATTTCTTTATATTAAAGAGAGGGTATGGCTTTGTTTTAGTTTATCCTATGCATTTACTGAAAACTGTTCGACAATGTATGTATATTGTCAAACGTAGTGTATTTTTTCACCCTCCTCTCTGATGCACTGGTTGGGCACATCTCTTTGGTGAATGCGCGCTCTCTCTCTCTCTCTCTCCCACCACTCTCCCGCTCTCTCACACACACACTACCTAGCAGCAGCAGATCTGTTTTCTGATTCTTGGTAGTTCCAAAACAGGAAAACTTACCTACAGAGGCACCAAAGGACAAACCCAAGTCCACAGTAAGGGTCCAGACAGATAGCAACTTCTCTAGAAGGATAAAGCTCACACTGCAGCTTAATGGAACGACAGAAGGCACTAGTGGCTGCATGAGACATCTGGAGAAAGATAACAGGGTAGCAGTCAAGATGATGAACCACTTCTTCCTGTAGGCTTGCTGCTGAACCACTGTCAGGCCTTAAGTCAGTAAGAGGATGGATAAAAATAAGCATCCTCTCTCTTCTCATCCTCCCTACAAATGCACACAACGCATCACTTATACATAATGAAAATTAATGTTTTCCAGTGAGTGTACTCAATCAACCATGTAAAGAAACCGAAGAGCTACAGAGTGTGACTCATCATTGCTTTTGATTTCTAGGTTATCAGCCGGAATCCTTGGAAGTTACGTAAAGCACTGAAGAGAGCAGGCTGCATTTTATAAAACTGAGGAAGGAGGAGAGAGTGCCAGATGGGAAAGTCGAAGCACAGCACCAGAGTTCATGTTTTGCGTGGGGCCACTCCCAGGGCCGGCTCCTCTGTTTCAAGGATCTGACAAACAGATCGGGGATGGATCACCCCTCCATCCAAGCCCGTGGCATGTCCCTCTCCATTGGAGCAGGCACCACTGGACAACATGGGCTATTGCAGCCTCTCTCTACCAGGCCTCCAGATGTCATTGGACTGCAACACCCATCATCCCTGAGCACTGGCCATTCTGGTTGAGCAACCTGCCACCCAACATCTGGGGACCCAAGGTAAGGAATGACTGGGCAACTGGCGGAACTCATTAAATGGGAATGTTGTAAAAGTACAGAGGATTCCCTATGATAAGGAATGCAGAATTGTGATCTTGTTGTAAACCGTCCCGAGATGCCAGTAATGGGATGGTATATAAAAGCTTTACATGAATGAATGAATGAATGAATGAATGAATGTGGCAATAATCTGCATGGCATGAATTCAGTTTCAAACCAGGAGTTTGAGACTGTGTCCTATATTCATTCCACAAGGACATCGCAAGAACTAAACTAGCTCCAGTGAGACAGCTTGGCATACTTCACACATGTGTCTTCCCCATTCAATATAAAATGGGGATGGGATCAGGTGTTCAGTTTTGAGCATGTCAGGAGCATGAAGAGGAGGGGAAGCCCATTTTGCTGGGCTTCACTGCCTCTGGTCTGGGAAGCTGTGTGGGGAGAGGAGCCACAGAAGGTAACATGGTAAGGTCTGCGGAACGCCCATGCCCACATTCCATGAAAAATGAAACAGACCTCTCTCCCACTCACCCCCAGTTCAACACATTGCCTCATCTGGAATATTATTAGACATTCTTTGAGGAAGGTTCAAACACATGCACACACACAATCACACACGCCTGATTGTCCCATCATGTCAAGCTTCTGAAACTTCAAGGAAATCCACAACCTCTTGCAGGTTAGGGATGCGTGCAACTGTCCCATCATGTCCTCAGGTGCAAATAAAATGTGTCTTGCTCCAGAGGCTTGAGTGACAAGCGTTACTGCTCTGAGCGCAGTAGCCCTGTCCTTGGCTGCGTGGGCCCACACATGGTTCTATTCAGCCACACACCTTGCATGTGTGATACACTGCATATCACATGGGAAAGTCTAGTTTGGGCATGGAATTCCTACCTTCACCCCAGCTAGCATTCCAGTTGTGGATACACTGAAATCGAGATATGCCAGCATGTCAGGATTAGAAGGTTTGTAGATCTGAGGGGGCCGCTTCTTTGGCAAATCATCTGGGAAGAAAACGGAAGGCATGATTCCTCCAGTGCCTGCAAGACGCATTCACACCTACAAACCGGGGGAACAAAGGAGAGCAAATACCTGTGTCTAATATGGGAGGCCAGGTTCTGACATCGACTGCTGCTGCAGCTTCTCGTGACCGCAACAATTTACATATTAATTGTGTTGTCATTAAACAGGCAGAGCGACTCACCTGGGAGTTTCGCAAAAGGAGAGAAAAAAAGAAGTCAGAGTAAAGTAACCTTCAGGCTATTGAGCAGTTTAAAAATGTAATAAATAAATAAACATTGCTTAGCAAAATAATATTTTTACCTTTTTCACATTATACAAGAGCAACTGATTTTGAAATGTTTCTGCAGTTACACAGAATGAACACACACACACGCACAATCAATGAAAAATGTGTCTAAGAGAGAAGATGTACAATTTTCCATATGTTGGTATTTTGGGACTCTATTAATCTGTATTTTTAAAAAAGGCTGGGAGGGGAGTGGAAGAGCAAAGCTAGGGGCTACAGAGGGAGAAAGAGAGAGCTAAAGAGGTGGGTTGGCAGAAATAGCAAGGCAAGAAAGGGGAAGAAAAAAGTTCTAATGTGTTCCAAGTTTATATTCCAAAATATTTTTGAATAAGGCATGCAGTAGATAGTGCGATGGGTATCCCTGGAGAAGCATACATCCACTCTAGAGGGTGCTTTCCAGTAGTGGACCAAACCCAAATAATATTGGGAATGTCCAATATCCCACCTCGTTTTAGCATGCATCTTTTACTGCCTGTAACTAAGCTCAGGGGCAGGCTAAAACTTCTGCAAAGCCGGGAAGCCACCTGAAGACTGGCACAGGCCTTTGGAGGAACAGCAGAGGGCTGGATCTGGACCTCAGTGCTGAAGCTCTGCACCCCGTCTTGACCTGTGGACCACACTGGCTCTGGATCTGGGCTCGCTGAGAAGCTACCCCCACCCTGCTCTGAAACCTTGAAAAAGAGTTTCCAGAACATGTGGTCTGCATGAACGACATCTGTTCGAAATATGTGCCTGGGGCGGTGGAATTGGCCGCACCGCAGGCATGCCCGAGGCCCTTGCTGAGCGAGAATTTCAATGGCTCTCCACCCTGGGTTGCTGTTGATGCTTTCATGGAACAACTTTTATTAGCCAGCTAACCTCCACAATCATCTTCACTGTAGGCAACGTCGTTGCAATGTTTTGCGGATGCGGAGGTCGAACTGTTATCGGCACGCAGCCCGCGTACAGGCACCCGTAAAATGCAGCAATCAGATCTATTCCTGCACAAGGAAGAGCAGCAACAGAAGTAGTTATTTGAGCTCAAGGGAGAAAAATGGAAAGTGAAATTATTTGACAAAGATGTCAATGGCCTCATAAATAAGTTGATATAACCTAGATAAAGCTACACTACCAGACTTGAGCAAACAGCTATTTCTGAGAAATCTGCTGGGCTCTCCTGCCCTATCAACAGCCCCTGTAACAGGGCCTTCCTAGTCACGGCACCCATATCTAGAAAGCCTTCCCTGAAACCCCCCCTAGAGTTAGCTTCGAGTTGAGCATCACACAAAGCACTTTTGAGTTGCCTGGACTTTTTAACATATAAGCAAAGTTGTTTTTCCCCATTTTGTTGAATTGTATCCATTGGCTTTGAATGTTCTGCAATTTTATATGTTGTTGTACTAAATGTTATACATCCATTCAGGTTTCGGCCCACACACATTTAAAGTACTCTGCCCTAAGGGTTTTGTACTGCAGAACAACATAGACATCAGTTATCTAAATAAAAATGTCAAAAGTAATTTTCTTGAATTGCTATTGATGTTCTGTATAAGCTATGAACAGAAGTCCACATATGGGTAAAAAGTGTTGTGACACCGAAACCTTTACATCAGGGATTTAAAAGATTATAAGAAGAGCCCTAATTGAATAGACCAATGGCCCCGCATTCTGTGCACACAGTGACCAACTAGCTGCCTGCAGAAACACAAAGTTAGCATTTGAACTAAGCTCCTGGTTTGAGTTGTTGGCATTCCCCACTTAGTAGCATAGCTTTCCATGAGAAACTAGAACCCTACAAACTAATTGCACGTGGTCATAGCCTTTCAACCAAGAATGATTCATATGCAGGACTGGCAAACTGGCAAAGAGTTACAGTCTCTAGTCAAAACCACGAAAAAACATTCTTCTTTTCTTTACCTGGGGGGTAAACCAAAGCAACATGGTTGCCATCTTGTAAGTGTCCCCTTTCCATCAACATAACTGCAATCTTTTCAGCTCGTTTATGTAGCTGAACACACGTTAGAGAGTTTGCGATTGTCCCCTGTATTGGGAAAATGACAGAGGCATACAATCCGTATACATATAATCATATATAGCTTTTAATTGACAGATCAAGCTATTAAAACTATTTCCCCAAACTAAGTCAGAGATGGAAATATTATGTATATAAACATTTTTCTCAAGGAAAAAATATCAGATTTAGTGAGAACACAACACTGAGAATGAGGGTGCAGGTCAGATTAGGATGAGTATTATGGCACTGCAGTCCTATTACAACTTTCTACCTCCTGCAAAGAATCCAAAGCAGCTTGCAAGATTCTCCTCTTCTCCATTTTATCCTCACAACATCCACCCTATGTGGTAGTTTAGGCTGAGAGACAGTGCTTGGGCCAAAGACACTGAGTGAGCTTCATGGCTGAACGGGGACTAGAAGCCGAATCTCGACTCTGAGCCCAACCCTCTGATGAGGGTTCCTGTAACTCGTAACTGCTATACCACACTGGCTCTCATGACAAACCAAGGAATCGCCTTCTCCTGGGTTGTGGTGAGTCGAGTCCTAATATGTTCAGGACCTGGGCTGACTACACTGAGGAGCTTTTTCTGCTGCTTCCTTTTCCACCTCTCGCAGCAGTGACAGGCTCTTTGTGGGGCCTCCATAAGACCATAATGCTGATGACAAATACACAGTCCTTTTCTGCTTGCATAATGGAAACTCAGTGCTTCAGAAGAAAAGCCCCAGAGCAAGTGGAAATGCTAATTTCTGGAATGAGGCAAGGCAGCCGAATTCCCTTATATAAGGGCCACCAACTTGCCCCGCTCCAGAAATCAGTGTTTCTGCTTGGTTTTGGTTGCTGCCAGAAGCAGTACATCTGCACTGTGTTAAGTGGGGAGCCCCGCTTGTGCAAGGAGATCACTGGAGCTGGCTGCTTGGCATAAATAGAGCCCCAGTGTGTGTGATGAACAAGCCCCTTTTTTGTTATTTTCAAGCATATAGGAATTGCTTTGCTCCCAGTTTGCTAAAGAACCCAGGAATGCCCCCTGCCTGGGTTGTCCCTGCGATGTGTGAACCTGCATTTTTGCTTGTTAAGGAAGAACTAATCCAAGAGTTCTAATTCAGAGTTCTAACCCAAGAACAAACCATGGGTTGTCCCAGATTCGCATGTCAGGTAAACTGAGGGATGGAGTTTTCCGGGCTTCTTTATCCAAGTGGAAGGAAACTGGAATTGGGTGAGTGGCTGGGAGGCAGCTCATTCACTTGCTCACAAATAGCCAATGGTTAACAAATTGGGTTGATTAATTACGAGAACTAGGTCCGCATTTAATGTTTTTCAGACTCGGCTGATGGAGCCTGTCAAACCAGAATCAGCCTTTCTCCAGCACAGAGCCAGCCCTGCTTTCTCTGGTGTCTGCTCAAGAGTTCAGCGCTTGCATAGTAACATAGCAATCAAATAAGTCTGCCTAATAGGGTGTTCCTGGAAGTTTCCCTCTTCATTAACTTGCAGACTGGAATGGAGCCAGCTGGCAGGGGGATTCTTTTAGGAGAGGACTGAAATGCTTAATGAGGACAAAAGAAGAGCTTACATCGAAATTGTTTGGCTGACCCAATTTTATCAAAGAAGGAGTTGGGCAGGAATCTTCTCCCCACACTGCGTGGTGGTAGGACTACTGGTGGGCTTTGGGAGAACTGGTATTATATCACGGGCCAGCCAGTGCGCAAACCATTAAAGGCTCTTGGGAGCCCAAATCACCCACCAATGCTGGGAGGCTCTGCAGCCTTGCCACAGGTCAGTGGCTCTGAAACACATGGGCTGAAACCTGAGTCAACAGGGTCTGGCAGGCATCACTAATGGACAGAAAATGTCGTCACGAGGACACTCCTACCCTAAGGAGAGGCTCTGTTGTTGTGCTCCATCTCTGAAACATGGAGCTGGGGAGGGAGGGCAGAAATAAGAGCCCCCCCCCCCCGTAACAGTTCAGAGGGGTGCTCTGCCATGGCACCTGAATTTGGAGCACCTGCTGCAGGCAGGGAGAGGTCCAAACCCCTGCCAGCAAGTGGAGAAGTGACACGAATTCCCAGAGAGGCCATGCCCTTCCTCTCCTCTTCAGTGCCAGGGCTGACAGAGGTGGGACCATCCCTTAACAAGATGAGGGGAGTAGACAGGCAACTCTTGGGTGATGCTGACATGCAGGACACGCCAGATCTACCCCATCCATTTCTCCCTCTCTCTGAGTTGGAGGCAGCTCTGCGTTCACCAGAGGGGTTTGTGGGAGGCATTTGCAGAGAATAAGCAGCCCCAACATGCTCATTTGAGCCCAATGGATGGGCTCTTTTCTTTTGCCCTACTTGGCAGGGATCCTGCTGTGCCTCTTTCCCTTCTGCGGTCATGTAACACTGACTCAGTCATCACTATCACAGAGAAGCTACCTGTGAAAATAACTGAGGAAAAGGCGGATGATGTCATTACAAGCCGACAAGTCACCTCCAACTTATGGCAAACTTAGGAGTGAAAGCCCTCCGAAATGCCCCATCCTTTGCAGCCCTGCTCTGCTCTTGTGAATTCAAGGCTGTCTTTCTAGAGTCAGTCCACTGGTTTTCCTCTTCTTCTTTTGCCTTCTCCCTAGCCTGATTGTCTGCCCCAGGGAGTTCGCCTTCTCATGATGTGCCCAGAGAATGACAGCTTCAGTTTTGCCATTTTGCTTCTAAGAAAAGCTCCAGTTTGGTGTGGGTCTTAGATAACCCCCCCACCCCCTTGAGAATTGACCAGTGAAAATAGTGGGGGGAATGGATAACTGTCATACACTGTCTTCCTATCCGGTTTAACCATGGAGTGGCTCTCTTACAAATTATTATTATTATTTTGAATTCCCAGTCCTTTACGTACTGCAGGAGAACAGGGCCTTCTGCAAGGAGCTTATGGTATAAATTTGAGATGGGGAAAGAAGAAGAAGGGAGTTGAGGCAAGGGTAAACAAGGGAAGCGAATGCAAATTTTCATTCCCAAATTACAGGCTCAGATATTAAATGTCTCCCACCCTGGGAGCTGAATGGCAAAAAAGCCATTTCTTGAAGCCAGGTGAGATATTTCTAGCCCAGCAAGGAACAGTGTCTGCAAACAGAAAAGCATGAGAAGTAGTATACCATCTGCGCTTAGGGATGGGTGGGCAAGCAATGTTTGGGATCCCTGGGATTCTCCCAGCACTCTCTTGCTGCTCTCTGCTTGCTTTACAAAAATAGGAAACTTGTGCAACCAGATGGTTCATTGTGCAAATCTCCCCACATCTGAGCAAATTAGAAAATAGGTACAAATTGGTACCAGTAAGGAGATGAATGTGTACAACAATTTGTAAACGTGTTTGGTGGAAATTTGCTTGCATTTGGGGCTTCCTGTAGTGTGTGCCTACATGTGTGGTAAGCCAAAAGGTTATTCTCTGACATCTCTATCTGGCCTGCTTCTTTCCTGGGGCCAAAGGGTTCCGGCCTCAGTCCCATCTGGAAACTTCTGTAACCAGTGGAAACTTGTTTAAATGGAGTGCAAGAAGGAAAGAAACTAAACCAGTGAAAGTAAGAAAGACAAAATTAACTGAAGAAACGTTGCACCTCTGGGGGAATCTAAAGCTTTCCATTGTCTCAGCTAGAAATGTAAACACCCACCCTGCAGTTGCGAATTCTTATTCACAACATGCATCTCTTGCATACATAATGGTGGAATTTATTTAACTATCCATCTCATAACGTGAAGACTTCATTGCACAGTAGACTGGCAATAAACTCTATTATCATGCATCAAGCGCTTTTATGTACTAAAAGGTTCAATTATACAGATTAGAGGGAAAGTTTGAAAAAAGCTTACTGAAGACATATGGGAAAGCAAGATTTGGTGATCTTCACCATCTTCTCATTAGCTAAGAAGATGATAATTAATGAAGTTGATGGATCTCAGGGAGATCCTTGCAATTTCCAAACCGTGTGTTTTTTAAGGCAACCCCATATTTTAGCATGGACAAGATTTAACCACGCTGTCTCTTGTTATTACGTTACACTCTTGAAATGTTACAGCCTTGGAGGCCTGTTCCATTTGATTTTACTCACAGAGAATCAACAGTAGCACCTACCGGAACAAGAGGTTCTGCCCTCTAAGGTGGAAGAACTGGCATTTTTTACAAGTAGGAAAACATATCACAGGAGAACAATGCATAGAGAAATAATTCCTTATTAAGCTCCAAGCTGTACCAATCATTCACAAAGTTTGTGTGACAGGTGTAAGGAAAAAGGCATTCCTAACCTTACAGAGAGAGAACTCTACCCCAACAGAGATTTTGAGAAGTCTGAAAATCTTTTGCAAGTATTATAAATAATTTTCTGTTTGGAGCATAGTTGATTTACTTGCTTCTTAGGAATTGTGGTTTGTTTGTTTTAACCAAGTTAATGCTTTCAGTGGACTTGCTTTGTGCCCCAAGCTTTACACCTTCATAATGTAGATAAACTACAAATATCCTTACCCTACAATTTAGCAACGTGTAAAGCACATGGTCAGGAGTTGTCTGCGCCCTCCACTGTAAGACTTCTGAGAGAAACAGGAACTAGGGAGAGAGAAAAACAGCACAGATCTAAGAAATACAGTAATCTATGAACCATTATTTAGAACTTGTGCATTGCACCCTACAGATATTTACTCAGAAATAAATTCAGTAGGACTTGATGCCAGTTAAGTGCAAATATGTTTGCACAGCTGGAGAGCTGTCCTTTTCACATTCAACATTAGGGTCAGTTTTACACGTTCACATAGTGTATCATTGTAAAGGAAGAAAATAAAGAGATTTGGAAGTGAAGGACCAAAGAAGAAGGATACAGTATTTCAAACAGATACACTAAACTAAATTGCTATGCTCCATGTTTGCATGAATCAATAGAGCAAAGGACTCCTGTCCTACGTGCCTTAAAACTCTTGTCCTATGTGCCTTTGAAAGTCTATTAGGCAGGAGGACAAAAGTGTATACTAGGAAATTCTTTGAATTAAATATTTGCATTTCTAGGCATTAGCAGGTCAATTTTAAAACCGATTGCAATACATGACTCATGCAAAAATTTGAAAAATAAAAATATATGTGCAATTTTGCATTATGTCTTAAGTTCCGCATGGTGTCAACAACATGTGGTTTCTGTAGCGCATGGTGGCAATGGAATATAGATTTATTTGCATAATTACTGAAAAGGTGGTTGTTGTTGGGAAGGTGCATGAAATTCTTCAGCGTGCTGGCATCCAGTCTCTGGAAAAGATTGTGCCAACACATCTACATGGCATATGGGGTATTAGCTGGCACACATTTGCCAGCTGTCCTATGTTGGCTGACATGTGAGTGACCCACATTTTGCTTATGGTTTATATTTATGTACTGCTTTTTCCCCAGAGAATTCAATGTGATGTCATTGAGGTCTCCCATTCAGACACTGACCCACTCAGACCTCCTTAGCTTCAGCCACGTCACATACCTTCAGACTGTGCTTTACAGGTGCAATAACATTTTTTTCTTTTTGTCTTCCAATACTTGCAAACAATTTTGGTTTGAAAAGGCAAAAACAAGCTTTTAAAAGGACACTCTTAACACAATGGAATTCATGTTAGGCAATCTGGCACCCTGCAAATTTTGGATGACAACTCCCATCAGCCACAGCCAACATAGCCAATGGTAAAGGAGTATGGGAACTGCAGCCCAAAGCACCTGGAGGGTACCAGTTTGCCTATTCCTGCTCTAACTAAAGCAATGCTTCTAAAGTAGGAAGCAATATATCTGCACTATGATCCTGAGACGCTTTCGTGTGAAGGACACCTCATCAGTTCAGCGGGGGTTTGTTTCGATAATATATTTATTTATTTAAAATGGAGATTCCTATTCCTTGATTTTCCAGCATGTGCTCAAAGCAACATGCAACCTTTGTCATCACTCTGGAGATGAAGTGAGAGCAACTTCTGTTCTGTCCTGGAGCAGGCTCCCTGTGGCCAAGAAACATTGCAGGTAACCATGCAGGAGTTCCCCATTGCCCTGAGTCCCCATACTGAACACATGGGAGGTTTGGCACTTTACCTTTCTGGCTTGATCATTATCTTCTATTTGTCCCAAATCTCTGCCGCTTGCCTGAGCAATTCTTTTTCCAGAGACCAGATTCCCCACCATCACAGAGGCAGGGCCAATTTCTACAGTGTATCAGAAATACGGTCATAAGAGGGTTAAAAGCAAACTTGTGCAAGTTTTAAAATGTAAAATCATCACTTATGCCCACTCTTATTCCAAGAGAGTGGAGACTGTCATTGAGTGGACAACAAACTCTTCACTTCCTACTCCTTTCAGAAAAATAAAACAATAAATGCTTCAGGGAAAAAGTAACGGTAGTCCTTTTCTCTCTCCCTTTCTAGCCTTTAGCTTTGGCCTTTTGTTCCCTTTGCTAGCTGTTTCCTCCTCCCACCCAGCCCTTGCTTGCTTGGCTATTTCTCTCTCAGCCGCTGCCCCCTGCTGTTACCTGTCCAGCCTCTAGCCTTGCTAGTGTCCCCTCCATTGCAGACCCTAGCCTCACAATTTCTCTTTCTTGCAATCTCGTTCTCTATTTCCCCTTCCCTCAACATCCCCACGGCAGCCATTATGAGGCTGGCTACATCCTTCATGGACGCTACCTTGCAGTGGTGTCCACAACCGTGTCCCAAATATGCCCAAGGGTCCCAAAAGGTTGAGGCTGCCTGTGTTATAACATCTTTTGGTATTATAGGCACAGAATGACAATGTTAGCCAGGTAAGCTCTGGGTAACCCCGGTTATGTAGCACAATGGGGTCTTTCTAGGAATAACTGGGCAGCAGACATAGGTGGTTACATCTTGAGGGCTGTACAGCCAAAGAATGGTTCTACCAGATGACAGTACCAGTGGTCTTTGAAGGGCTGTGCCATGCCAGACATGGGCACTGACAAGTACAGACAAAGAGACAGCCCAGGATGACTAAAACCTAATTCACAAACTGCCACATGCACACTTAAGTAGCACAATGCCCAGTTCATGAACACAGTCGCAATACTGAAAAAGGAAGAGGTAGGATTGTGGACTACCCAGAGAGCTTTGGCCACTGGGCAGTACAGACATATCCATCTGGCTACATCATGAGCATCTTGGGAAAAGCAGTTATGTTTTAAACTCTACACAGTTGCAAAGACTCCATCCCGATGCTGGAAGAAAGCTTTTTCGAATCAAAACCACTGGGAAGGACTTCACTGGCCCACAGAACTGTATTGCTGGTTGTCGTCCTGAGCTGATCTCCCCTATCACTGGAGGAACAGGGGGAGATTAGATTAGCCCAGGGAACCGGTGATAAATGATGGGAACAGGACGTTAGCCCTTCCTTCACACCAATGCTTATTCTGCTTCCCTTCAGAATGCTCAGCTTACGGAACCTGTCTTCTTGCATGACGAATTGAATGCACACCGGGTGCACAGAGAGGCAATATCTGGGTATTTATTCATTTGATGGTGGGCAGATATTTTGAACCCCAGTGGATCAAAATCTTTCCTTGGCAGGGAAATCCACCCTTGCCATTGTCTAGGAGAGCCCTCCCCAACTCAGTGCCCTCCAGTTGTGTTGGGCCACACCCCTCATCATCATTTTCAGCCAGCATGGCCAATGGGAAATAATGGGAGTTGTAGTCCAGCACAGCCAGAGAATACCACCTTGGGAAGTGTTGATTTAAGTACAACGGCTAAAGAACACAGTTATTTCAAGGGTTGTGTCATGAACATATGGGGCAAACAGAAAGTGTATAATAAAAGGATTAATGGAACAATATACACAGATGCATTATGCTTACCTGGCTGTTTTTGTCTTGGTTTAGGCAGGTTTGTTACACAGGTGTGTGGGCACATCAACACATTACAGGGATGCAGGGCTCCTTCCAGGAAAAGCTGTTTTGTTTCAGATAAGTGGATTCCACCTAGAGGAGTCTTTGGGAGCGTGTTCGCTGGTACCAGGGCTAGGCAGTAAACCCCCACCTGGTGAATACTGTCTATAGCCTAGAAACATTTAAACAAGGAAGGTTAATGCAAGGGTAGTGGGAAGCTCCTTACCCCTTACAATTATGTGCGTCTGATAGCCCACCTGGGTGTAGAAAAAGTATTTGGGATCATTCATTTTGGATTCAGAAAATGTTCAAAGCAGAAATGGGATGTGAGACCCATCAAAGCACTTAGAGCATCAAAGCCACACTGATGGAGGCCTCAAATGAGCAACTGCAACTCATTTGAGTATTTTCATAGACTGAAAACATCTGAAAGCCAAACACCCCATGTTCCTTTCTTGGTTTCTGTGCATTTGCAAACTGAGCATAACTTTATCTGGAATAAAACTTGAGTAACATGTTCTTGTACAGTTGAGCAGAAAGAGCCTCAAAATAATTCAACGAATCCCCTCTCTGGTGATAGCCGTCTCACCCTGCCGTGCCACCAATTATATTGTCCTTTCAAATTAAGGATTTTGCATTGCTGAGAAGAAAAGGGAAGGGGGAGTGCACATTCCATTATAACTCAGCTTGCCTGTTGTGTACGCTGAATTCTACATCAGCCACATTGGAGAAATGGGCACCTTCGAAACTTCTCACCATTGCAGACTGTACTGCCGTGTTGGGCAAGTAGGAACAATTTCTTATCGGGACGGATATTTAAAATAACACAGCCAGCATCACAGAAAAGAGCCCATTCTCTGCTCCCCAATAATGGCAAAGGTAAGCACGTCCTAAACTCGTATACTCCATATATACTGGCCAGTCGTACTGACATCAAGCTCACTAATCCAGACATACCTTTAGCTACTAACTGTGTATGCACAAGTGGGGGTGGGTGGGGAGGAGGGGTATTTTTCATATGATTTTAACTTTCCAGATGGTTCTTAACTGATGACAGAGTAAAACAGCTACTGCATATACAGAACTCCTCTACCAAAGGTGAATTATAAAAGCATGCCATGGGAAACAAACCACCTCTGGAGAAGCAATCCGTGCAAAACAAAAATGCTAAACAGAAAAAAAGCAAAAAACACAACGCCATGAAGGTGTAGGATTAATATGTTAACTCTTGCTTTTCTTATATTACATTGCATTTATGCTCTGCTTTTTTCTCTTGTGAGGAACTCAAGCTCTGTTTTGCGTTCCTCCATTTTATCCTCATAACAACCACCCTGTGAGGTAGGTTGGGCTGAGAGTTTGGGACTCTCAGTCACCCAAAGTGAGCTTCATGACCAACTTGGATCTAGAACTTAGATCTCCCAGGTCCCCAGTCCAACAGTCAAACCACCACACCATCTTGCAAATGCTGTCGTTGCAGCGGGCTCTGCCACACCCAGCATGCAGTTTGGTACAAAACAGAGCAACATTTTCCCCCATCACCCAGCACCATGCCTGACGGTGAGCCATGATCTGTGTTTCTGCCAAGGCTCAAGACAATCTTGCATCACTTTTTCCCTATGTGCAGATAGTTTCCAGATGGCCAAGGGGGTGGGAGGAGAGAGATGAAGGAAGAAGAAAGAAGTGTGCATAGAAAAGCATCCATTGTTTCTCTCTTTCTTCTTTTATTGCTTCCCACAGGTTACATTTTAGACCAAAGACAAGCAACCTTTTCGGGCTGAGGGGCACGTCTGGCAATTTTGAAAACTGCCCTGTCCCCCCCCCCCCCCCGCAATGAAATGGGCTCACTTCAGCTACTGAACATCTTCATTTCCTCAGAAGGTCTCTAAGTCCAGGGGCTTCAAGGAGATGGGCACAGCTGCAGGGCCTCACTTTGTTTTCAAGCGATCCAACAGCTCGAGGAAAATCCCCCCCTTTTTTTTAGGTGGGAGGGATAGGACATGCTGGAAGGAGCTGAAAAAGGGCTTCCAAGGAGCACTGGTATCCATGGGTGCCATGCTGCTTATTCCCGCCTGAGATCCTTCAGGTGGGATCAGTTTTTAAATTGATTGCAAGTTCCTTGAAGCAAGGACTCAGCTTACTATGTACAGTGCCCTATACATTATAATGGACCACATGGAGGTAGCCAGATTAGCATGTAGCAAAGACACAACAACAGGAGTGTTTATTTTGTTGTGCTTGAGTCATTCGTTGTCTTAGTTGGCAGAACATTTTTTATGCAGATGGGTAGTGAAAAGGAATCAGAGCAGTAGGAGTAAAAGACTATAAAATACAAAGAGAAGCAGTAGCTGGTGCATTCTAAATAATAATATGAGTACAGAACGGCCAAGTATTTGCTTTGCTGCAACGGCAATTGCAAGTGTTGGGAAGTCAAATGTATAGAGCACAACACAGGCAAATGTGACCATGTGTGAAGATGCCCTCAGACATTACTGAGCTAGAGAGCAGAAACTCTTGAATAACCATTCAGGCAGCTTCATTTGCACTGGCTCTACAGCACCATGAGTGAATGCAAGCAGGCTGGCCAGGCAAAGAAAGCAACACAAAAGGTTCATTGCAAAAGCAAATCACAGGTTTGCAAGGCAGTAAATAGTAAAGTTTATTGCCCTTTTTGTCATTCGCATGGGCATCTTTGAAAAACAAATGCTTTTAAGATTCAAGGGCTATACAGTACATGATATACACAGCACTCTCAAATCGGCTGGCTGGATACTCGTAAGGCTTAGGTTTGTAACAAATGGAGGGCTTATAGAAGGCATGGCGGAAAACAGTTTGGGTCAAGAGGCAACCCTGTTATTTTACCAATATTGTATTACATTTACATTCCACTTTTCTTCCTCAATCAAGGCATGCAAGGCAGCTTGCAAGGTTCTTCTCCAATCCATTTTACCCTCACAACAACCTTGTGAGGCAGGCTGGGCTGAGAGTTAGCAACTTGCCCAAAATCACCCAGTGAGCTTCATGGCTGAGCTGGGGCTAGAAGCCACCTCTCCTGAGCCCCAGTCCAGCACCACCACACCACACCACACCAGAATCAGCAGAAGCCATTCTAATGAAGGCAGCAAGCCAATGATCCCTGCTCCTTCCCTTGAACTGTGAATGCCCTTTTCAGTACACACAACATCCAGCAAGAGCAGCTGAGTGGCATCCAGCTGCCGCTGCTACAGGATTGTCTGCATGGCCTTCTAACTCAGGTCTGTCCGAGTCCTCCCAGGGACAAGACTTTTCTTTAAGAGGTAAAAAAAGGTAAAGGTAAAGGTTTCCCCTTGACATTAAGTCCAGTCATGCCTGACTCTAGGGGGCAGTGCGCATCTCCATTTCCTAGCCAAGGGAGCCAGCGTTTGTCCGCAGACAGTCTCCATGGTCATGGGGCCGGCATGACTAAACACCGAAGTGCACAGAACACTGTTACCTGCCCACCGAAGTGGTACCTTTTTATCTACTTGTATTTGTATGCTTTCGAACTGCAAGGTTGGCAGGAGCTGGGACGGAGCAACGGGAACTCACCCCGTTGTACAAATTCGAACCGGTGACCTTTCGATCTACCAGCCCAGCAGCACAGTGGTTTAACCCACTGCGCCACCTGCAGTCCCTCGTTAAGAGGTGCACATGTTAAAATAATCCTGAGGTTTTTGTGTAAACCTGTTGTGAAGGAGCAAAGAAGCAGGGAGAAAAACCTGGTACTGCAGTCTCTCCCGCAGCCAACAAAAAGGGAGTGAAGGTTCAACAATGCAATGCTCGGCTCTCTGCACAGAGGAAGGTTCCAGGGAGGGTTGAGTGGATTGGGTTGGCCCTGCCATCAAGCAGACTGAGGCTGCCGCCTCCGGGGGCATATGCTGAGCGCCAAGAGTAAGCCGAGCTGCATGCACCCCACAGCCGCCCTGTGCCCCCTGGGGGACCCCACTTCCCCCAGGCGGTCCAGTCAAGGTACGAGTCCACTGCCAGACTGATGGGCTTCCTCATGTGGAAAGGGGGCAGGCTCCATCACGGCCAATGAGCGCTTGAGGCCAGCCCCGCAACGCCGGACAGAGTGGGCAGGACCAAGAGCGGCTTCCTGCTTTGCATGTGGATGTCTCACCTCTTGGTACGCAGATGGCACAACTGGGCTTATGCTTCCAGGACAGAGGTGGCACATCTGGCTACCAGGCCTTTCCATTTGACCCTGCTGATTCCCTTTGAAGCAAATGTACCTGCAGCACTCGGCTCATCCACTGAAAGCTGTCTTCCTCCGTGGAGTCCGGCCTTTGTTCAGCAACAATAACTATCCTCTCGTCATGAAGGACACTCACTGAGAAGACTGCTATTCTGTGGGATGTGCAAACCAAGACCGTCAATCGAGCAGTGCTGCCCGGGGCAGAAGAAACTGCATCACATCGTCCTCTCTGACTTATACTCGTTAGCTATGCAAAGGAGAAGTCTGGGCTCTGGCTCTTCTCGAAAGAGACAGCTGCACGGAATACCTACCTAAGTTTAAAATAGAGCCCCACTATTATGAAAGCCCTCGGATGCCTGCTCTCCACACACAGGCACCGCAGAGTATAGTTTTGCTTTGCAAAAGGACTGAGAAGGCATTTATTAAGAGAAGATGACAAATAAGCAAGGCTTAAAGCTACAGGATGGCAAAAGGCCAGTACTTTCCACATTCTATTTAAATTAAGGGGAACATGCAAACATGTGTGATCCTTCAGGGAACCCCAGCAGTGAAATGCTTGGTGCCTATTATAATATCATTTCATTACCAGGTGGAGGTGTTTCTGTTCCTCCCAGCCATTAAATTCATTCCAGCTTCTATCTGCTTTTATCTTTGCTGCTGATTTTTTAAAGTTTTTGGCAGAGAGCTGCTTTTTAATGTTTTACTGAGATTCGTTTTATTGTATTATTTTAACATCAACTTTTTTCTTGCTGTAAACTGCCCTAAGAACCAGTTTATAGGGTAGTATATAAATACTTGCAATAAATAAAATGTTTCTTTGTTGTTTCTTATGGCTTCATCCTGATAGATACATGGCAGCCCTAAGGCTAAAACTTTTACTATAAATTATTATGGCTTGGTTTTATTTTTGAACTCTTAGCTATAGAAAAACTTCCCACTGCCACTAAATCTTCCTGGTGCTGTGAACACATGCTTTGGAAGCTACTTGAACACCAGAATATTTCACATTTTGCTCTGATCAATGCAAGTTCCTTTTCCTGTATCCTGCTTTTTAAAGGGTGGGATAAGAAAAATGGAGCGAACCTTCCCCTGTAGACAAACTTCATTGGTTCCACTGCCAGTGCGGTAGCTACAATGTCGTCTGCGTTGTGCCTTCGTCCGCTGACCACCATCAAACCATCCATCTTGCCAACCACAAAAACAAGTCCACCAGGACCAATAAAGCCGAGGAGCCCAGTTCTTATAAAAGGGTATTCGCTTATTGGTGCACCAGAACTGGTCATAGGGAACACCTGCGGAACAGACAGAGTATGTGTTAATAAAAGTCACAGGTTCATTTCCACTTTGGAAGGGGGACAGAGCTTGAAAGAGTAAATAATTTCGGCTGTATCCAAAGGTCCTGGTGGTAGGAAGCACTATTTTAATATGGTTTAGTATAATTTTAATTGCATGCTTTTTTAAAAGAAAAGTTATATTGTTTAATTTTATGTATTTGTACATAAAAAGGAAAAGTGGGGAGAAAAGACAGAGAAGTGCTGGACTTCAATTTAATTGCATCAGTGGATTGGTTTAGGAGCTTCTACAGCACACTCCATGAAGCAAACAGTTAGAGCTATTTCGGTTGAAGCATCTGTTTCTGGCTCCCATCTGTTTTCGGGGAATACAAATTCACTCAGATGCCCCCAAAGATCTACAATCGTAAGAAGGTTGCAGTGCTGTTTTTGCAAAGCTGTTGGTAAAGCTAATCCTTCAATGTTGAAATCCTGGACAGAATCCCATCAGTAAGTTGTTGTATAGGGTATGCAGCAGAACGGGCACATTTAGGGTGGTAGCTTATAACGAAGTAACGATGGCATTACAGTACCAGCACAAATGACACTGCCTGCCGATAGAACACCTTTGCATCAGCACCAGGTTTGTTTCCAGAACTACAGATGCCCTGGAGCATGCATGCAAGACCTCTGCCTTTTTTACAGTGGCTTGACTTAATAAAAAGCTAGTTTCTCATGTCTGTGAGAACACCAATGGAATCATTCGTATCCCTACAAATCCAAAAGCAATTTTCTGGAAATGCAATTTTGCCTCCATAAAAAAGCATTTGTTTTCAATGGATAAAAGCGTTGCCATCCAGAGATGGCAATACTAAGCTCAAATCCAACTTAGCTGGAAAAACGAACTGAGCAGGTTTTCAAAAAGAAGGGTAAAGTACAGACATGAGAATTAAGGAAGGGTCACGTTAAGCCAAACTCTATTCACAGGTAGATCTTAAACTAAGACAGTGGTGGTATTATATCCCCTTATGGCTAGCAGGTTAAAGTTTGAGGATGTATTTCATGCCTTATCTAATAAAGATCTCCCTGCAGCTAAAAGAGAAGCAAGAGGCCACATTCTTCACAGTTATGCGCCAGAGATTACCTGTTTGGCCTCAGTGCCCAGGTTGTTAGAACCTTGCCTGAAGCTATGCTAAGGGCTACATGAAAAGAAACTACCAAATAACACAGCAGATACAGCAATAGACAGTTCCATTAAATAACTGATACTCACATGTACTTCACCAATTTATCAAATCTACGCCCTGCTTTTCCTTCACCATCCTCTTTGCGTGTCGTTCCAAGACAACCTTGGATCCAAGACGCTTACACAGCCTGCTTAAGGCAGGAGAGATTTAGGAGAACTGATTCTCCTGCATTTCAGACCAGTGTGAAAACAATTTCATGGATGCTGATAATATAAATACAAATTCATACATGGAGGTATAGGCGAAGAGGACAGTAAGTGCCTTTCTTCACTTCCTCATAATTTCCAGGATAAAATACCATGATATCTCTGTTCTGAGGAGTTCTATCTTCCACCCTGGTTTGCTGCTGCCAGTCAGAGCATATAAACCAATAATCTAATGCAACAAACAGACAGCATCATACATGTATAAAACTATACCTAGACTCACTGATACCTCTACTAATACAAAGGCATTTTTCAGAGGGCTAAGGAGAGACTGTTCTTGCTTAACCCCAACTCACCTCAAATGTGTTTTTGGTCATCCCAGAGAGTCCGTAATATGATGTGCCTGTTGCAATAGCACAAACGCAAAGCTCACCCACTTCATCTGTTCGGCAGAGCTGAGGAACTCCGTCTGGCTTTACTGCACACATTATGGCTACGAAGAGCAAGCAAGAGGTATTTCAGAAATACAGTCTGTCTGTCTTGCAAGCAAATATGCAGAAACAAGGAAAATAAAAGGGTTAATGATGATCTAGCGGTTCTATTGTAGCTAAACAGTTTTACTTAATATAAACATCAGAGACGCCAGCATCCAGTACTGCACAGTGCATGCCGCATCAAAGGGGGTGATGCCCACGCGGTCTTTCACGCTTTGCACGAGATGACAGGGAAGATGCCGTGGGATAGTGTCTTACTCATCACTGGACTTCTACTCAACATTCATAAGGTTTATCAAGGTAACTGCTGTTGTCTTCCTGCAACTTGCCCAAGGAAGCAGATTTTGAGTTGGCATGCTAAGAAGGCAAGAGACAGAGGGAATTCCCCTAACAATATTGCATTACATATTTAATTGAGATAAGATAGACATACTATGCCTTATGGCTAAAGTTTACAGCTAAATCTGTGAGGAGAAGGAGGCCTGCAGAAAGATACATAATGCAAATAAAGATAAATAAATACAAACAAAGGTAAATAATAACTATTATTAAGGGTGAGAAAAGGGGAGGGGAGAGCCAGCACTGCCAAATAAAGAAGTCTGTAAGAATGACCCACACTCCAATAGACAGCTAACTAGTTGGGCTGCCATGGATAGGAACCTTTGCAGGGCTTTCATGCATGAGGTTAGAGATGACTTGACCACACCAAAAAACAATAACAAGTTCTTTGACTGCATTTACCAGGAATAAGTGCACACAAAAATGCATGTTACTGGTAAAAATAACATACAAAATACATTACACTGGTGGGGAATTGCTTGGCCAAAGTATGTTTATAAGGAAACCATGAAGCCACTTTATCAGAAGACTTGTCTCAAAACTAATGTGCAAATTGCCACCAGAGCCCTTATAAAAAACTGGACCACTCTAGAATACAGGTGAGATACCATGAATACAGGTGAGATACCTCACTACAAACACTCCTTGCATGTAGAGAATTTCCTCTTCACTCAGAAGCTTAGTTAGATCAATTCTTCTTGAAGGGCTGACTTTCAAAAGGCAAGGAGTTTTTTCTTTAGAGAGTAGTTCCTCGCCTGCATTCTGGAGTGGTTATAAGCACAGGAAGGCTCTGGTACATGATGTTCTGAACATGTGGAATGAACCGCAGCTTGAGAAAATAAATATTTAAGCATTTGGATAATGAGAAGTCAAGGTGAGCAAATTCAGCTTACTGATATTACAGACTTAAGCAACTGGGGTTGCATTACGTGAATTACCTGCACTTGTACGATAGTCTTTTCATCACATCAAAGACTAAACCTAGATGCAGCCAGATGGGTTTAGTGCTAAATGCATCTTTTTTAAAATATCCAGAATTATCTGAACTTTTATATACTTATATAAAAGAATAAGTGCATGTGTGTACAAGGTGAAACAAGGTGTTTTCTTATTGCATGTTCAGAGTTCTGTCAGAAATTTCTGCGCCTTTCCAAAATCTACAATTTCCAAGACTCTTTAGGAAGAAAAAGATACAGTTAATTTATCTTTGCTGAACAGATCTTGCAGGCTGTCAGATAGCCATCTTTTATAAAACAGGATGATTACACATTTTCTAAGGAAACCAGTGGAACGCTTACCTCCAGGCATCACCAAGCCAACATCCTGCACAGTTAGAACAGAGAGCTTTTCTTCAGAATCCACCCGAATGACGCCATAGGTAAGACCATGCATGGATAGGACACCCCGGCCTGGTGGCTGGTTGCTATCATCCGTCGGCCTACAATACACAGAAGATGTCAAATGCATTTGAAAAATAAAATGAGCATCAGTTCTTACCCTGTAATTTTCGAAGAATAGACAGGCACACAGGATGAGGATGGTTCCAGGTTTAATTCCCCACCCCAGTAGCAAAGTAACTATGGTCGTCCCTTCCAACACCACCCTCCTTGCCCTCAACAAACTGTCACAATCTTGTGTTACATTCCGGCACAACAGAGAAACAGAACTAAACTAGATCTCTGCAGATGTAGGCTGGGGAATTCCTCTGAGACTCCTCTTGGGTTCTGTGGATTAAAGCACTCTTGGGGATTATGTGAAAAATCCAATGGAATTGAAGGTGGTGAGCAGCTAAAAGAGGCCTTGAGGTACTGTGAATCACAGTGTTTTTCAATCTTTTTGCCAATTTGAAGATAGCCCACCCTTAGACCAATTCTGCTTGGTTTCCACACAAACATACATCTTGAAACACCTTCAGAGGATTTTGGAGCGAAACAACACAAAGGCTGCAACAGATCAAACGTTTTGTTTAGTGGCATGACTCTTCCAAAACAGCACTGTCTTTCAGTTATGGCAGATGTTCTCATACAATGCAGGCAGTTTCAAAACATATTTCATATAAAACAGAGACACTAGTGTGCATCTCTGAATTCCACAATCTGCCATAAAAATGCTTGCCCATAGGGTTAATCTTTAATTGCTATGGTGTTCCTTTGATGTTCGAAATACTAGAAGGGTATTAGCTAACCGTGTTCATTAAAAAATGTAACAGATGACTAGCTCCATAAATTTCAATCAAGGGGCTTTATTCCCCCTTCCAGCATGACACCAGCAAAAAGGATCGAGTGTGCTAACCGCAAGTCGGCTTGAATGAACATGAAGGCATAACAAACGGGGGGCTGGTAAAAGGACGGTGATAATGGGTGGGTTTCCCATCCTTTTAGAGAAGGCTCAGTTACACTGTTGACCAAGTCCTCTAATCTTCCACACATCCTGTGCTGCTCATATGATCACGCTGGACCTGAAAACACCACGCTCCAGTTTCTTTTTAAGTTGCCCTTTCATCAAACAAGCTACAGGAATACTGCAAAATAACTTTAACCCACAAAGGGAAAGTCAGCAAGGATTTCAATGAGCTTACTACACACAGATTCTTAGCTCTTAAGTGTATTTCCTGCAGAAATTGACCAATATTATTGTACTGTATTCAGTAATGTATTTAGGTTTCAAAAGTACAAACTCAGAACATTATCGTTACATTTCCAGGTGGTAGGAGAGAAATGCAAAATATGCACATGGATCACAAACTGAAGAAGTTAGGCATACTTCAGCCCTGTCAAAATCAGTACTGTTCTAACTATTTATTTGGGGGACAGATCAGTGACTGAACACACATTTTGCTTGCAAAAAGTCCCTGGTTCCATCATTGGCCTCTGCAGGCAGGGCTGGAAAAGACCCATGCAAAATCCCAGGGAGTTGCTGCCAGCTGGTAGACAATATGTGATCAGATGGACTCGCTACAAGACAGATTCCTACTGAACCATCATCAGCTAGATCAACCAGGTTTCTGTGCCATGGCAGGCCTGCTATTACAGATCCAACGCAAGTTAGGCTACAAGTGTGCAAAGACTACAATTACAGTTGTATCCTGAAATTTATCTGAGACCTCAGAGTTTTTCCCCATTCATTTTACGCTCACAGCAAGCAAGAGAGGTTAGTTAAGTGGAGGCTTAATGTTAGCTAATAAGCAGCGATCACAGTCTAGGCCTCCTTGGTCCAACCAATTAGTCGCTACAACACACGGGCTCCTTCTAAGCAGGAAGTTAGTGCCTGAGGCTGCTGGATGTCACTCTAGGACACTTCTGCAACACGGCACCAGTGTATCCGCAGGTATGGGATTTCATGTATGCTTGGGACGTGTAGGGAGTTTTCTACGAATGGAATACAAAAACTTTACTGAAAATCATGTCAAGCTGGTGACGGGGATAAAATGCAGTGCAACAAAAACTTCTGAACAAACTCCCCAAAGAAAGCCATGCATTTCAGAAGGATGCAAGAAATCATTTGCAGTCTTGTAAATGTAAACTTCTGAAATAGATATAGAAAGAATAGGAAGTTATGGAAAGTTATTTGCCTCACTACAGAAGTCAGGTGTTCTTTCCTTTTTTATAAGCTGATTGAATGCAATGAACTACCTTTAAAATCTGCACTTTTAAATTAAAAATGATCAATTAAAAAAGAAAGCAGTAAAATAAAGAATGAGATTGGAGGAGCAAAGCTCTGATACAAAGATTTGTCCCGTGATTAAACATTGCCCCATGCAACCCATTCTGGGATAGCTGTACACAGGAAATGCTAATATCGCTTCCAGAATGTCTCATTTTAAATTTAAACATACAATACCGTCTAATAGCCACTGTGAGGGCCTCAGGTGAACTAGCACAGGGACAGATGACTTCTTGTCTTAGGCCTTTGCTTTGGAAGACATTAAGAAATGCATCGCAAGAGGAAATAGACCCTGAAGTTAGAAACAAAAACAAGGAATCTGACTTTAATATAGATTCTGTGTGGGAAAAGAACATTTCCAGGACAAAATAGGGAAGCTCCAAAGAGAATTAAATGTAATACGGCCCAACTACAACTAGCAGGCATTTGGGCTGTGAGCTACCAAACTGCCCAGCTAGTTCCAGGTACTCAAGACAGCTTCTAACATATCAACCCAAATTTTCATTCTGAAATATGGCCCAGGAGCCTTGCGGTCCAAGAGCATGCACAGAGAGAAGCCTGACATTCTGTTAGGCATACCTTAGGCCTTCTACAGATCTAAAAGAACTCTTACGAAATGCCCAGCAATGGTAAATTTATAATTTTTTTCCTGAGTATTTTGTAAAAATGGATGAGAGAATCCTTGAGTTTTAATTATATTGCAGGGTGCTTTTAAAAAATTAGTTAATAAAACCCCATGAAGAAGAGGAATTTACTCTAGCAACTCATAACACAATTCTAGCATGCTAAGAGAACAGTCATATCTGGTACCCCCCAAAAATATACGGAGAAAATGTTTTCAAATCTGAACCTTGATGGATGGCTTCAAGAAACTGAATAGCTGCTTTCACTGAAGCTGATTCTAATGGTTTAAACTTGCATTTCTTTCTGTATGCATATTGAACTGAATATACTTCTGACATGCATATCAAGGGAGATGGTGATGTAGGTGTTTTCAAACAGTTGACTGGTCTCCCAGTCAACTTCTAGTCCAAATTCAAGTTTCTGGTTTCCACTTTTACAAACCTAGACAGGTCTGAGACCTGGGTACTGGATATATGGCTTTCCATATAAACCAGCCTAGCAAGCTGGTCATTTATGAAGGACCTTCTCTGCATCTCTCACTGGTATGGAATGTGGTGTCATCAAGCAGGGTCTTCTTGGTGCTGGCACCAAGACTATACATCTGCTTTGTTCCTTCCTCATTAGTTTTCAGGCATTGAATGAAAACATTTTTTGAAAGTAGAGTTCATGTGAAATCCATGTCACAATTCTATGCATGTTTATAGGGGGAAAAGGGCTACAATGCTAAGTACGCACCAGCAAGCATGGGTGTCTGGGACACGCTGGGAATTGCAGGGGCTTTTTCTGCTAAAACATCCCTAATAAAATTTGCAGGACTTTTTGTTGGCTATTGATTTTGATTCATCTCTTTTTTGATATTTTTATTTTATTTATGCAAGTTCCTTTTTGGACACATTTGAATCAGCATTTAGAGTAAAATATACCCTGATAAATAAAATGCAATTTGCTACCTATCCCTACCCTGAAGCTGGAATTTCTGAGGAAGCTGGAAAAAGAAATTGGCTGTGACTCCAGATATGCACTCGTGGCACTTGATAGAAGGACCTGCATTCATTTTACACTTCGGTATGTGCACTCAAGCATGAAAATAAAATAACCCACATGTTTCAAATGCTTTGCTGAGAAACCTCCACTTTTTATTGCTTAAAGATAGAATTTATTCAGCCTTTACATAACAGCTTGTCATCTCATATATAATTGGATTTGCTGCAACTTGCATTAATATGGAGTATCAGGTTTGCTTCCAGAGTTTGCTAAAGAAAAGAAACTTTAAGAAAAACTAATTCAAAATGAATTGTTATTTCTGAAAAGCATTTGTAGCAAACCTCAAGGAATTGGTTAAACTTTCCTTGCTTAGGTTTTTCTCTCTCATTCGCTCTCTCTATTTGGGAAAGTAGAAATCATTCAGAAACAATAACAACAGCAACAACCCAAACACAAGGACTAGGAAGCACTTCGGTCACACGGCCTCATTTAGGGTGCCACGGTTAGACATTAAAAAGTCCTACACCACCCAGTGTTCCCCAGCCACTGGGAGCTCTGGACTTTCCTCCTGTCTAAACAAACATAGGCTAGAACCTTAGCAGGTGGCACTGTGGACGACAATAGGGAACTTCCAAGTGCCAAGCACGCTGCGCCACGTCCCTGAACTGTTTTCATTCTACAACCATCACTTACATGGATTGGCACCATCAGCTACTATTAGCATCCGGAGTGAGGAGAGGTTGATATCCCGTTGATCTCTGTGTGCTACTAATGCCCAGTGCATATCCCTGGATTTCACACAAGCAACTTTTGCTGGTGGGGTGCAGGGTGAGGAGAAACAGAGAAGAGAGAGAATGAGCCAGTGGAGAAGACAATTCGACCTGTGCATGTTAAAGATCAAAATCCGTATGAGCAGATTGTAACTATCCTACATATAAAACAAGTACAAAGAAAATACATCCATACAAACAAATAAAAGGAAGGTAAAATCTGTGCTTCTTCACACAGTAAGAGCATAGTTAAACTATGGAATTCACTTTGGAAGGAAGTAGTGATGGCCATCAATTCCACTGGCTTTAAAAATGACTGGATAGATTCATGGAGGAGAAGTCGATCAAGGATCACTATGGTTGAGCTGCTTTTGGTACCAGAGAAGTACGCCTGACTGCACCCTTTGCTGGAAGCTTGGGCAGGAGGGAACTGGTGTACCCACACTGCTTGCCATGAGAAGCCAATGTGCTACCATGTGAACAGAATGCATGACTTAACTTATGGTCCTATGATACCCAATAATATTTATTTACTACAAAATGTCTACCTTATACCAGGAATCCAATCTCAACTTCCACATTTGATGGCCTCTCAAACTGGTCATGGGCAGAGACAGGGGAGCTGAGTGCTCATTAGACGTTTAGACGTTCACATAAGGCTGAGCTCCTGTCCTGGGAACGCATGCAGGGAAGAACATAAGCCTTACCTTTGTACTGGCAGACCTTCTGAATCCATGACAACGGGTTCACTTTCATTAAGGAATATGGGATGCTTATGACATGCATCATATTCATAACACTCTGAAATTAAGGAAAGGGAATATACCTTTCAACAGTAATTAAACGCATCGTTACTCTTACTTCAGGTATTACACATTTTGGTTAGCAATAAAAAACATGGGTTTATAATCATGAGTTAATACGTGAACTCATGGAAAAGGGATTGTCACATTTCAGACACAGTTCTAATGTTCTGACTCTTAAATCTTATTTTACAGTTTAGCAACGAAGATAAGGGCCATTTCTGCAAACACACATGTTTGACAGCTGGACAGTATCAAATGAAGGAATGTGTTTTGCCTTGCATTATAAATTGTAGATTCTAAACGTCAAATGCTTTTCATTATTTGCTGTGTCTTTCAATTCAATTTATTGGTGTTGCATGGGAAAAGGGTACTGGAAATATTCAGGAAATTGATTAGGCGGTACCCTGTGCCATCTCAAAGAGTGGCAGGCAGCTGCACAAGCAAAACCAATAATTCAGTTACAAAACTCTTCAACTCTTTGCCCATGTAATCCTTGTGCCTGAAAGCAAGGAGGGGTTTCCCAAGGGAAGGGATTTCCATAACCGGGAAGCAAAGTCACCCAACAAGAATGCTACTCCATGTTTGATTTAATTGCTTTTTGTGATGCAATATGCATCGGAAAAGAACAAAGAAGTTTAAAACAAAGTCAGCTCTGTCAGTTCGAAGGAATGGCGTGCCTGCAGGAGCTGCTGTGTGGGCAGTGAATCCAGTGCTGGCTCCTACTGGCCCCCTTGCCCCTACTGACTTGCTTCCTGGAATAATGGGTGGTGTGAGGCTTCCTTCTGTCTAAAATTGCATACATAGGACAGTGTCCTAAGCTTGTGTTTTACCTCTTCCTTCTCCATCCTTTCCCCCTGTTCTGTTGTGTCTTTTAGATTATAAACCTGTCTGCAAGGACTATCTTAAAAAAAAATAGTTAAAAGCCATTCCTGGAACTTTTTCCTTTTGGGCAGTGTAAAAATCCTTTAAAAAACAAAAACATGCACAAAACTGGCTGCAGATCAAAATGTTGAGACTATTTTCATAAATGCTTGTTCAGTTTATTGAGACTACCTTTCATGGTTGTAAAAGTTTATGTGGGAATAGCCCTGAGATCACAGAAGACCAAGTAAAGCAATTCAGAGCACCAGGACAATAACCTTTGCCCTTGTAGAAAACAAGGTATCTGACCCATTATGTCATTCCCAGTTCCTTATCACTAGTCAGAATAATCTGCATCCTGCATTATAACTCGCTGAAGATGTTGCCCTTCAAATTCCTAGGAGTTGCAGGTTTAACGCAGGGCAATTTTCATGCTTCTGTTCTCCATAAGGGCAACTGAAATTTGAACTAGTATCTGATGACTCTTAACTGCCTTGGAAAAACACTTTGGCAGTCAATTTATGATGTACAGAAACGAAATGAAAGGAAGCAAAATTAAACTTTTTTTGTACTGTTCTCATTCAGACAACCGGGGAATCAAAACAATGGCTGCCATGTATAGAAAGCTGTGAGATTAGTGACCAGGCCCGCTTCGGTTCCTGCCTTTCATTGTCACCCCCAAACATAATACTTGCAAGATTGCATTACTACCTTGCTATTACTGGTTCAGGGATTCTTCTCACCTTCTGAGGTTTATCTCCCTGTCTTACCAACACAAAGAGTATTGCTTCTACCTAGTATTACAAATATATTCAGGTCAAAGGTGGGATAAAGAAAGTATGTTCTCTTTCCCTTTTAAAAGTCCTACACCCAGAAGCAGTCAGGCTAACAATTCTTACATGCAGAGAGATGAACTGCTTACAAACTTCCTTGGAGTGTCCAGAGTCACAGAAAGAATGTGGGACCTGTAAAGTGCATTTCTCATGCTAGCTGTAGATACTTGCTAGTACAAAAATCTCTCAATATGGTTTTCTGCAAGATTGGACTGGATCTACTGGGCTTCCTAATATATATTTTTCCAAAGTCATCTCAAATCAGATATAAAGCCTTGAGAGTGTCTCACCTTCCAATGGAAATTAAAGCACACAAATTCAGTTTTTAAATGGTTACTTAAAAGGATAGTTAACTTACCGTAAGAATCCCATGCCACAAGCCAACATCTTTCTTGAAATCTAATACGTTCACAATTGTTTCAGCTGCAAAAGAAAATAGAATTAGTGCAGTTCAGCCTGAAGAAAGCTTCACTTAAAGAAGTAATTGCAATAAAAATTTCATGTTAAAAAATTCCCAACAGATCGTTTTCAGAACAATTTGAGATAAATCATGGGATTGTTTTGGGCCAGACCACTGCTTTGTTTCCCCCCTTACTCTTGGTTTTATTTGCACTGCATGGCATAATCAATGGTTCATTTGAAAAAGGGTGTCTTTTAAAGTAAAGAAAAACGCTACCAATAAGACACTACCAATCTTCCAAAGGAATGGAAACTTCACGTATACAGATGTCATCAACATATATTGCAAACAGGAAATACAACACTCCAGGCCCTGCACTGCTCATCTTGGAATTCTTTTCCCACTTGGATTTTAAAGCAAAGCAAAGAACAATTGAATTCCTTTCCAGCTCTCATCTGGCAGCCCCCTACTTACCCTCCTCTTTCCTACCCATGATTTTCTAAATTGTCTTCTTTCCCACCCAGTTACCTGGGTGCTGCTGCTGTTTTCAGTATGAACCAGCACTGCCTGCAGGTATTATGCAGTCTACCAGGCCTGCAAAGCCCCTGGGAAATACAGTTTTTCCAGGAACTACTGCAATGCTGGGAAGGCTTGGAAACAAAATCACCCTGGCTAGGAAATAAGGTGAGCTATTTCCCAAAAGGGGTGGGGGGAAGGGCAGCATGGCTTACCTTGAGCAAATCCAATTACTGCTCATTGGATTGGCTCCAATGAGATCTCCCTTTGTTAAACAATTACCTAGAACAGGGAGGCAGGATGGCTGGTGGACCGAATCTAGACTGCAGAGGGTCTGAATATGGTCCACAGAGCCTTCCTCCAAGAGCAGGGAAAGCCCTCATGGAAATTCTCCAGTGTTATGACAGATCTCAGGCTGGACAGAACAGTGTGGGCAGCAGGGGTCTTGGAAGGACAACGCAGCGTGAAAAGGCTCCCCTCCTAGCTTCCAGCTATTAGGCAGTGTGGATGGCTGATGTAAATAATGAAGGGAGCGCTTTCCTAGCAAGCATGCAGCATGTACCACCCCCATGGGAGTGCTATGTGCCAAGCAAAGCTGGGAGATGGCCAGTGCCAGTGTCTGGCACCACCAAAGTCCCTTCTCACAGCCACCCGCCCAATGGGGACATAAGGAGCCAAGCTGAGTCAATCTAGCCCAACGTTCAGATCACACAGTGGTGGACCAGCTGTCCAAGGAAAACCGACAAGCGGCACACGACTGCCGCAGCAGCCTTCCACCCAAGTTCCCCAGCAACGGTTGCAGGTTGGCACGTGGGCTCAGACACTGTCCAAAGAGCACTGCGCAAAGCCAGGGTCTTCACTAATGTTGGGAAGAGCACATGCTCTGCCAAGTGCCAGCCAGGTCCCTTTCTCCATGGAAAGGCAGAGCATGGAACCAGACAAAGTGGGTGGGGTAAGAACCACATCCTCCAACATCCAAGCTGCAAACAGGGAGCAATTTGCCCCCTGCACTTCTTCGGCTTTGTACCCTGATCGAGGACACAATAACATCGTTAAGTCCTTCCATCCTTTGACATTATCCAGAACAAAATCCCAGGGAATTATAACACATGCTACCACTTAAAAACATGCTTCAGGATTGCATTTATTTAAGTGCCGAAATACCTTCTGTGTATCCACAGGCCTGTGTAAGAGCTTGACAGTGGGTCAGTAGTGCAATTCTCGTCACAGTAACCCCAAGAACACTTCCATCTTTACACGTTTTGTACTGCAAAATAAAATTTTCTCATCAAGATTCAGGGAAGCAAAGGACCTTGAGAGGCTGAAGAAGCAGCTACCTAGCACAGGGCAAATGGGGTCCTCAGGCCCTGAATCCCAAGGCCTCTGCTGATGCATCTCAACCAGCTCGCCTTCCACCACCACAGGCAAGTCTTCCCGTCAGGGAGAAACGTCTCTGTGCAGAAAGGGCTTTTCCTCCTGCACAACCTGAAGGCCTACTGTTATTTGGCAGTGACTCAGCTTCAGCAGGGCATGTGTGGCTGATGCAAACAGTAAGGAGAGAGTTCTGCCAGCATCCTCCATGCCAGTGGGGAGGAAGTGGCTTAGAGAGACCTTGACTCATGCTGCAGCTTATGCAGCAGCAAGTCAGCTGGCTACCCTTGCTGGTCTGCAACACCAATTCAGCAAAAATAGATGGACCACGTTTTAAAAAGTCATTCACTAAAGCTGTATATTGTTCAGGCCCCAGCTTCTGCTGACACATATCCTGCTAATTTGCCACAGATCTGCTGCTCCCATCATCCCGTGCTCCCTGAAGATCTTGAGGCCTTTTCCATCACCTATGTAGTCTTTCTGAGCAGAGGTAGCAGGGATGGAAAACAGGACCTTCTACAAAGGAAAAATGTGCTTTACCACTGAGATATGGCCCCTTTCCTAGTACAATTAAGTATGTTGTGTCATTGACTATTTCTCAACTAGTCTATTAACTTTTCAATGGAGAAAGCTACACTGAACCCAACATAACTGGGACAAGCCTGGTTAAAGAAGGAAGCCTGCTTAATATTAACTAGGGTTTGTGACAGCGCAGACAGCAGCACTACAGATGGACTTCGTGCCAGAGAGAAGATGGGCTAATGCAGAAGGTGTCCTGTAGCCCACTCAAACCTCTTAGCCCTGGAGTAAGTGACTGAGTGCATTCTGTGCCTTTGCTAGTTGCTGGTGGAAACCTATGCAAAGTGGCTGCTCCAAAGCTGCTGAACTCTCTTTGACAACTCACCAAAGCTGCATTAACTTTTCAGGACTACCTGTGGGAAAGAAGTGCAGAACTCGCACTCGAGCAATGGAATCCCAAAGTCTGCGTGCAAGTGAGTCCAGGATACTGCCCCCTGTCTGAAACCCTGGGGAGCTGCGGCCAGTTATTCTGCATTGCTGGGCACCAACTTTTGGCAGCACTGACTTTGTTTCGCTCAGTTGTATTATAGTGACTGACAATTGCAAAATAGTGGCCCAGGAAGACAGAAGTAGATTTTGAGGAGGAATGCCTGGGCACAGATCAACCCAAGGCTTTGCTTTCACTTCACATGCCCATCTCATCCTGTTTTATCTTTTGTGATCTCAGCAGTCCTATTTTGGGTAGAAAAGTTGAGTATCTCTACCGTTAACCGCTGGGAGTCAGACACCCTTACTAATCAGCTTCAAGTAACCTGGAGATCTATCACTAGATCTCTGGTTTACTATTTGCCCACTCATGATGTACATAATACTGAGCTAAATGGAGCAATGACCTGATAGCTGCCAGGTTGCTGACGGGGACGGGGCGTTATGCTCACATGACTCCAGTCCTCCGTCAGCTTCACTGGCTTCCCATTGAAGCCCGGGCCCAATTCAAGGTGTTGATTATGACCTATAAAGCCCTAAACGGCTTGGGTCCTGGCTACCTGAACGAGCGCTTACGTCCGTATATGCCCGACCGCCCTTTGAGAACTGCGGGAGAGTCCCTTCTCCGGGAACCCTCCATGAAAGAAATTAGGAGAGTAAGTACTCGGAGGAGGGCTTTCTCTGCGGTGGCGCCCAACCTATGGAATTCACTCCCCAAAGAGGTCCGCCTGGCACCGTCGTTACTGGTTTTTCGGCGCCAGGTAAAGACCTTTTTATTTAAACATCATTTCAATTGTTAAAACATATGATCTGGCCAGGGCAACTTCTTCTTCCTTCTCTTTCTCTTCCTATATTTTTATTTACTTAAGTTGTACTGATAATTTTAATCTTATATTTGTAAACCAATGTATTTTTTGTATTTTGTATTTAATGGTAATTTATTATGTGCTATTGTATTTCAATGTATTTTATCGTGTTGTAAGCCACCCCGAGGTTTCGGCAAGGGGCGGCATAGAAATGTTATAATGATGATGATGATGATGATGATGATGATGATGATGATGAAAATATAAGTCTGTCTACCTAAGTCTCCAAAACTTCACAGAAGGCTTTCCTTTAGAAGCAGGCCCTTTAGCAGTTTGGCGGATGGTGGCAGCGATCACTTCCAAGCTTACTGTACTTTAAACAAGATTTACTATTATGCATACATTCACGGCTCCTTTGAAATTGGGGTGTATCAAAACTCTAAGGAAACTAAGATGGTTTAAAGAATGTTGTGTAGCTTTACCTCTCTGAAAATTGTGAATGCCTACTAAGAATGAAACTAAAAACTCTTCCTGACTTCTAAATAAGATATGGGGCATGCAGTGGATCCTACAGCATCCTAAGGCTGTGATTCCAACTGACCAGGAAATCTGGAAGCCATTCATGGTGCTATACCTTCCTCCCAGGTTAAGGTTTGCTGATGGTTATTTCAGCCATCATATTTGTATTCTGCTCACCTTTTAAATGGGCTGGGGAATACTATGTAATGCCTTTAAAAGTAAATAGTATTTGGATATCCATACTGCCATATAATAGAGGTGGGCAGCAAGTAGATCTTCAGAAGTTTTGGACAATTGGCTGTGCTGACAGGGGATTCTGGGAGATTAATTCCAAAACATCTGGAAATTTATCTTCTGTCTGTTCTGGAACTTTACAAAGCAGCTTTTTGGGTGATGTTTCAAGCAAGGATTTCACCAAATGTTCCTTTGCCCAAACCACATGGAAGATGTTCCTACACCAACAAACCAAGGTTCTATCATGGTGGCATGGTGGAACAAGGTATTTGAATGCAACCACTATGGGTATAAAGCAGGTGTTAACTCAGCAAGTGAATATGACCTATTTCACTGAAAGGAGGCAGCATGAAATTCAATCTGAATCTGGATTGACAGGAACAAATGGGCAAATGCAGGAAGGGGGTAATACAAACGTGCAAGGAGCTCACCTCAATGTAAGCTGTGTCATTGTTTGCATCTTTGATATGTGGGAACCAGTCTCGAGGAGGTTTAGATAGGTGTTTTGATTCCGTGACAAACCATAGCAGCTTTGGCCAGCCTTGGAAACAAATACAAATCATGGTTTATTTATTTATTCTAAATAAAAGCATTTTTCTGGCTAACCTGCACAATGCCTTTGCACAGGTTTGTTCAACAATATTTCTTTTTATTAAAGAACCTGACCACTGGCTATAAATCCAGGCCAATGCTATCTACTCTTACCACCAGCCAGCTCTCCAAGGTCTCTGGCAGAGATTTTTCCAAACCTTCTATCAGACATACTCCATCACAAGAGATTACTGAAGCCAAGATCTTCAACATGGAAAGTATGTGATTTGCCATTGAGGTACGACCCCATCGTTTAATACCAACATTACACAACTTAGCTTCCTACCTGTTAATCTCAACTAGAATGGAAAGGCCTCCTATACACAGCATGCATGGCACTGCAAGATGAAACAAGACCCACTTTTCTACCCCATTCGTATTTTCTATACCACATATTAATGACTAATGGCCAGTGTGCAAATTTTCCAGCACACAACCCTTCTTCACAGAGCAGTCTAGGGTCTAAATGTGTATTTGGATACACTATCTAGGCCTTCCTATGGAACTGGTTCGGTTTAATAATTTAACAATATTTAAATATTATTTAACAATAGGAACTTTCCATGCAGTCATGGAACGCATGGGCTCAAGCACAGCTGGCACCACTGCATACAAAATCCACAGGAGCAGTGATGTGAAGCTATAGCTGTGGCCACGCCTAGCAACAGGCTGGGCACTGGTCTCTTTCTCCTGCCAGGGCAACACAAAAGGACTATGGGGAGGTTCAGACAACATGATACCCCATACCGAGCGACTGACTATGGGCTGAGTGTGACTTGTTGAACTGTGGGTTATTGCTGAAGAGTGGCGTTGTCTGAACTCAGCCATGCTATCAGATGGTGGTTTATTACCTGCAAACAACCCACTGTCCACAAGCCAATAACAAACCATGGGTTCTTTTGAAGTGCTGTTCATGGTTACCATGTAACAAATAATGTTCAGCAACAATGTACAATCCCATGACAACTGACATATTCAACCACTGAGTGTGGGTTACAGTGTTGTCTGAACCCACCAGTGAAGAAGAATGGTGTGTTTCTATCCAGATTTCTATGTCGCAGATGAAGCGGTATCCACCTAGGAGCCACCACAACCTGCTCTTCCTCTCTGCCTATGTTGTTCCAGTTGCTGGAATTTACAGCCAGTACCATGCCCTACCCTCAGTCCCCGGCTCTAACGCACCATTGCTCTGCTTCTCCTCCCTCAGCTGAGTTTCCGACTTTCCACCACAAATGCATACAGTGGCAGGAAGGGCTAGGAGGTGCTCAGAATATGCACTCCGCCCTGTCCAGATGCCAATGGCCCTCCATCATGGCCCCAAGCTCCAAAAAAAGAGGCGCAGGCTGGGTGCTGCAATTGTCCATAATCAACCACAAGGTGACACCTGCCTGCCTCCACATGAGGGGAAACATATTTAGGCATTTTCAAGCTGCAGGGGGGCCAGTGCAATTCTCCACTTTTCCTTGCCGCTATTTACAGGTACAAACGCAGAGAATAGCCCTACCTTTAAACTGTGGTATTTCCCCAGTAGGGCTCTTAGGCAGTCCTTTATGGCATGCATCGCTAGTCAAGGCCACAGTAACGCCGCAGCTGCCGAGCAAGAAGCCTATCTGTTGGCTTCCTGCATCCTGGTTGAAGACAAAGCATAAAGGGAACCACGGAAGTAAATCACCACATGAGCAGTAAGGAAAAGTCCACTTCAAAATACATTTACACAAAAGGCATTTGCTTCATTGAGCCAACCAAGTGCTTTGCAAGCATGGTCTGAGCAGGGCTCTTGGCATGCCGCGCCTCCGTGTTATTGAGAGAGGGGCCAAACGTAACACCTGCTGGCCTCACTCTAAAGAAACAACCCCGGAAGACCTCAGCACTCCCTCATAGCCATGGCCTGAAGGTTTCTGATCAATTTGGGCTGAACTTAAGAGAAGTTGTGGTGTGGAGGAGAGAGGAGCTACTCTACCCAGACTTAGGAAACAGAATCATGCAGTTGTATAAACAAGACTGCTCTAGAATGTCATATTGTATACATAGATGTTTTTAACACTGGGCAGTATCCAATGCCATTTCACCACTAATTTAAATTGCATTCTGCTAGCATAAATAACTGCTAGCAGGAGACAAATACTGCTTGCTGGTACAGCATGCATTCCCGTAAGGCCCACTGAATGAGCAACTGCCATTAGCCTCCCAGGATGGCTAGTTTTCTTAGCCAGCTGTGATTTACATTAGTGATAGTCTGGCACTGGATGCTGCCCTCTGTCTCCTTCCTCCCAGAACTCAGGTTGACCAAACCAGCACTGGATTCAAGTAGACAAAAGGAAGCACGACACACGAATGAATGCATGGATTCCACAGCCATGGGATGTGGGGATGACACTGACCTAGACCGCTCGGAAGGGTTAGGACCAAGTTGAGGAGGACTGGTCTATAGACATTTACTAGCTGTGAAGTTCAGAGAACTCTGCTTGGGCCTGGCAGTGGCAGAGGGCTATTGCCTCCTTGGCACTCTGCTCTTTGGAGACTGATGAAGCAAGGACTGTTAGTCCAGATGGCTATAGGCTACCTTTGGGGTCAGAGGCAGTATGTGGTATGGCCAGGAGGACCAGCAGCTGGTTGGCCATGGTATGGACAGAATGCTGGACTAGAAGGACCTTGGTCTGATCCAAGCCAGCTCTCCTCATGACCCCTGGCCTGATTTGGCAAGGCTTTTACATACAGAATGAGTACTGATCCCAGAATTTCCCTGACATCTATTTGTGGAGCAGGGAGAGCTGGATTTTATGTGAAACCTACACAAAATGAAACATAGGAACAGTCAATCGATTTACCTCCTCCCCGCTTCTGCCTTTCAATGCACATTGTAATCAACACTTTCTAGTTTGGAAAAAACCTAGTTAGTCAGGCAATGCGGCTGCTCCTGCCTCGGTTGTATCCGGCTTCCACATGCGATGCACACAGGCAGTCGACATTATAAAAACAACCTAAAATATGCATACAAGGCCTCAAATACGTCATGTGCATCTGTTCAAAGGCACCAGCCAATACCCAGATGCGATACAGACACATTTTAAAAACCAACAGTTCTTGAGGCAGAGAAGGAATTCCAAACAAAACAGAGAATTTTGCAGCGAGAATTAAAATATTATAATATTCTCATCACAAACCAAAGAAATTGTGCAGTGGAGAACTGAAGCGAAGAAGATGGAGCAGGTAAGGAACATTCTGGCTATTGGGATTGGTGCAGCTTTTAGATCCAGATGTATGTTTTCCACAATAGGTCAAATTCAAGTTTATTTTTAATGTGCAGTTGCAGCGGTTAAAAAGGTATCAAAACGAGATATAAGGCATGCATCACTCCCCAATGCTTAGCACCAGCTTTTCCACGCTTTTCCAGATTTGAGAAAATAATGTTTTATTACATTGATGGATTTGTATGTGCTGATCTTTGAATTACAGAGTGGGATAAGAAACTGGTTTATAATAGATTTGCTTAACCTTTTCAAAGCTCAGACATCCAACACGTTGTCAGTTTTATTTATTTGCATATTCTCTTTATTATAGTAATTATTAGAGATTTACTTCCAGCTTGGCAAAGTTAAAGACATACTTTTGCAAGAAAAGTCTTCAGAAATGAGCTCTCATTTGGTTTGGCTTCTATGAAAATCCAGACAGAAGGAGGAGTCCCCTTTTTAAGATAAATAGAAAGAGACAAGAGGATGAAATCATGCCATTTTGGGGAAAAAAACTCTGTGCATGCTGCACTAAGAAGCACCTGAATTAGGCAGGCCCTGGAAAATGTACAAAGATTAAAAGGCATTAATAAATGCTAGCAGATATGCTAAAAATGTATCCTACATTAGATAGTTCAGTGTTATCAGTTTGCTACATCCTTCCTTTATAAGTTCCTGAAAATATGTACAAGTGCTTTCCTTTTCTTCTTTGCTGTTATTAAGCCTAGCTGCCAAGGTCATCACTTACAAGCCATCTCCGTAATTTCTCAGACGCACACTAATAGCTGTAAACGTGAGCAGCAGAGTTCCAAGGACAACAGAGTACCATGATCTTCTTACATAGATCTCTCCTGACTTATCCCAAGGCAAGTTATAATATATAATTTTATGTTGCCCAACATCAATGTCAGAACAAGGACCTCAACCTGTCTTCAGAACAAGCTTTAATTGCTTGGGGCTGCCACCAAGCAGTCTCCGCTTAACCTTCATCTCAAATACAAAGCTCAGAGGGAGTCCAAGAACAGAGAGGTCAGGAAGGAATGGCACACAGTGAGAGACATAGGTCAAAGGGCATGAGGACAGTTCTCTCTCCTTGCAGCTCATCACAGGAGAGATGGAAAGGCAACCAAAGAAGAAGTGACTTCTAGGTGCATGAAGTGTTATTTATTACCCTCAATGCATATAAAGTAAAATTTCCCTCAGGACACTGTTAAAAACATGTAACATCTATGTCCTGTATTCTTTGACTAATGCAAAGAAAGTCACTTTTGTAAAAGACTATTTGAAGAATACTGAGTGCTGTATAAACACACAGGGCCTAAGAAATATGTTTGTAATGCACCTAGAGGTTTTGTTTCTGCTTTGTGCATGACCCACTATTTTTTTCCATTTTTTAAAGCAATCTAGCATAGATGTGCTCTCAGTAGACATTACTGACACAAATCTCTCCTTAAGACCTCACTAGAATAGTGCCTTTCCTCTGAGATTCCTGGATTTGTTTGTATTTAAGAATTTTCAGTGCAAATATTCACAGACTTTGACACTCAGTCTGTTGTTGGCCAGGTTGAACTACAAAAAAAGGAAAGTGACCTTTCCCCACAGACAGACTTTCTCCCACCACTTTGTCAACAGAATTCCCCTGGCCAGAAGCATATACAGTAGGAGTGAACACTCGAAAGAAAGGCAGAGTCTTTGAGTTGCCTGAAAACCAACAAACACTGTGAATTTTGCTGTGCCAACTGCATTGGTGGGTGGGAGGAGAAGAGAAGAAAGAAAGAAAAGGAAGAAGAGTATGTATACTGAATACAAATCAGTAAGATTTTTTATTCTAAAACCTGGCAGTACATCACCTTCAAAAGCCTTGAAATCCTCCCAAGGTTTACAGAAATCATTTTTAATAAGACAAGAAAGCCACACACACACGCACACACGCACAGGCATATCCCATTACACATTCCCAGCCTACAGATGACAGCATCTAAGAAGGGGGAAACAGACATGTAGATCAGATTCCCCTCAGGACTAATATTGGTGGAGGAGATTTGTTTCCTTTTCCTAAGACTCAGGTTTTTTGGCAGGCCGTATCTCAAATGCTGCAGGACTTATCCATATATCAGCCAGCTGGACCTGTCCTGCCTTCCTAGGATCTGTTCCCATCAGAAAGTAAGGGATAAGTGTAGAAAGCACAGGCTTCTCCTCCAAATGTTTTTGATGACCCTCTGAGCATTCCTGACCATTGGCCATGCTACCAAGGACTGATGGGAGATGAAGTCCCAAACAACCGCCGGGCACTAGTTTGGGGAAAACTGGCTGTGCCTTGTGGCACCTCATCTCAGGCTTATTAGTATTAACAAGATTCCAACTCTAACTAGCAAATAAGCTGAATGTAGTTGCCGAGTCTGTGCCCTCAATTCAACTTTCCAGATCTGCTGGGGCCTACGGCTTCTTCTGTAGTCTTGAGACAACCTTTCGTCTACTCTGGTGCCTGTCTGGGTGGCAGAAGCCATGCATGGCTGTGCATGCCCATTCGTGTATAACTGTCACTCACAAGCACACACAAACACACTAAGTCACACACACTGTGCTTGTAGGGCATCCACAGACACCCTCATCGACAGTCCTATTCTCTCAGTCCTCTGCCCACCCACAGTCCTTTTCCGCCACTCACTCACTCAGAACACACCCACACACTCACAGATTTAGCAAAAGGAAAGGAAGGTCCTGCTTCTCAAGGATTGTCTAGGAATGAGGCTTCTATGGTAGGATCCATTTTGGCCATTCCTAGAGTCTTTTTTCTACTGCAGTGACAAGAATCTGTAGCCTGTCAAACACTTTTATACTCCTCTCCCAAGGAACCAGTTACCCACCAATACCAACATTCAGAGAAGGATTAGAAACAACTGATGACACTCTGCTGAACAGAAAACTTGCTTTAAAAATCTGGGGCCCAGGGGACAGGAGGGTGTGGGCAAAGCAGAGCCCAAGGTGATGAAAACTGAATTTGCTGAAGCAGCTGGGGAACTGGGACAACATGAGGAGCCGAGTAGAGACAAGGGAAGCAAAACAGAAAAAAACACGAGCATGGGAGCAGGACTATGGCAAATTGCAGTGGCTTGGTCTTAAATGGGCAATTCAGACGTGTCACCATGACCAAGGACCGACTTACTTCTTGAGGAACTGAAAGTGCCACTACTGGTTTGGTAAAATGAACCAGCCCTGCTATTTGCATGTTTGGAAGCTCCTTAAGGGTGTGACTGTGGATGCAGTCATAAGGAAAGTGCAGGAGACAACAAGGAAGGAGTGTTGTGGATTTGCCAGCCCACTGAGCTACCGTACCTATTTCATGCCCTGTGTGTGACAAGAGAGAGCATCTTGCTAGTAGATAGCAGACAAAAGGCCACAGCAGAAAAGGGAAGGGAACTCCGCACACCTGACGTGGCATCTGTAATGCATGCTTAAGAAGTTCTACATTCTTCTTGGACCACCTGAGCTCCTGTACTGTTCTTGTTGTAGTGACCCGAAGGTACTTGTTATACAGCAATAAAGGGCAGCTGTGTTAGAAAGAACAGCTCCATGCTTGCCTGTATTCCAATAGTCTGACAAAACCAAACCAGACTGTGCTGGAAGGATACACTGTGGGCAAAATGGATCTCTAAAACAACAGTGGGCAACATGTAGTATTCTGGTTGTTGTTGGACTTCACTCCCACCATCCCTCACCAGGCTGGCCAGGCTTATGGAAACTTCAGTCCAGCCACATCTGTACACCACGTTACCCACTGCACCTTAGAAACATATTAGAAGCATGGCTGGGAGGAGCGGTTCCGCTTGGTGAAGCCCACAGGATGTTTCCTCCCTTCTCACCCTCTACATAAATATCTACCATTTAGCACTGCACTCTTGGCATAGGCGTACTGTTGACCCAGAGCCTGCCTACAGAATTTATTGGATGTATAACCCCATCCGTGGCAAATGTGGAATGGCCCGGAGTGCAAGGCTTCCCCTCACTGAAGCAATATTACGGAGAGATCAAATAATAGGGAAACACAAAAGAGTAGCCAAGGCTATTGGCCAGTCAAAGGACATGATACAGCCCCCAGCCGATGGCAGAAGAAAACCAGTGTTGCATTTGACTAGGTAGAACTCTTCCTACATAGGAAATGAAATGTTCCCCTTATTGGTTGCATTCCAGTTCCTGCAAGCATGTAATATGTACAGGCAACCACCACAGTCACTCACATTGCTGCGACTCCAAACTTTTATTAATCACTGACACCAGAAACCTAAATAAATGCTGTAGTGCTCTCCTAAATGTAATATATGAGTACATGCACTCCAAGTTTCCTTGATATTTTTGTAACAGTGTGATATTTGTTTCCAAAAATGGTCTTGGCAAGATTTACTCCAACTGTCTAAATCATTCCAGTTACTTTTTGCAAAATTGCAACAGAATGAGGCAGAGTAAGACTCAGAATTATTTCAGCACAGTTATGTTCAGATGTCTTTTCAATTCTATGTGAAGCAGAAACTCCTAGGGGGCAGTTTTCAAATACAGGACAGAGCAGCTGTGGGAGGTGAAGTCTGACAGGTGATGTTCACCTGTCATTTTGCAGGAATGCTTTAAGAAACACTCTTGGTAATGTTCTTCTGCATGTTGCTGTGGAAATCCGATCTCCAGCCATGTTGCCTTTAGCAGCCCTAAATATGCTTCTGGAAACATCCATACCACTCCAAAAACACACACTTGCTGAGCCCCGATTGGACTCTTCCCGGCAGCAAAGCAGGTTAACCTGACCAAGATTCTTCAATGGGCCCTCTAGCTTCTGCTCATGTTTCCATCGTACATCTGCTACAAGGCCATATAATAATCGGATGGCCTCCTGCCACTCACATCAGCACCTGGACAATTGGAACTTCCTACAAAAGGAAGCTGTGGATACACTCCGTTGCCTGCTAGTATTGCTGATTCGGCATTAAGTCAATGCAATTACAAGACAAAACATACAGAGGAAGAGCCTGCATATTAAAAACAGTGCTAGTATAAGGCACTGTGAACTAATGTCCTGGAACAATGAAAACATAACCCAAGTGTTTCTTTCACAAATGTTTTGAAACAGAAATAGAAAAATATACCTGTTTTTTGAAAGGGTGCTTTCAGTTTTCTGTAACCCTTTCACAGCCTCAGCATGTCTAGAGAAACACCAGCACATTACAGAAATTTCCCTTTTCACTGATTGCAAACAGTGCTGGCATTGCTCTCTACAACTCCAGATACCTTTGCACATTCTCCTAAGAATGCATTCACTTGAGAATGCTTTTGCCTGCATCATTCAAACAACATATTCAAAGCCAGCTCAGACAACCAAATCCATCAACCACTGAACAAGGAAATATTCAACATCTTATACGTGTCACCCCTAATTCAAGGCCCTCTAAGCTTGCTGCATCAAATCCCTAGCTATATGTTGGGCTGGGTTTCAATGTTTACTTAGGTGCTATCCTAAATATTGTATCTGTTGTTTTTATCACAGAATCTAAATAGAACTTGTAAGCGTTGCCTAAAGAGTTGCTCAGAGATTTAAGAGCAAAGTAAGAGGGCTTAGAGTTCAAATCCTCGTTCCATAGCTTCTGAACAATTCTTAGCCTAAATAGACTCCACAGAAGTCCATTCTATTTAACAGATAACCTTGCAGCCCACACTTAGTATCCCAAGCTTAATTATGACAATGATTTTCAATAGGATTTCAACTATCTGAGCATATGCAGACCTTCTCAGCTCATTCATTGTTCTATACACAACTGGTGGCTTCATTTCGTTTTGTTGATAACCTTATGGTTTTGGAAATTCACTTCTGAGACGGAATGCTGGTACACTGGGGAACTTTCAGACACCACTAACCATTGGAAGGCAGACTCCCCCCCCCCCCCATTTTAATGTACTTTTTGTGATAAGAAAAGAAAACATGGGAAAGGTAGAGGGAAAATACTGCAGGATTACAAATTGAAGATGCCGCTGCTTGGACTGGAGCACCCTGACTCTCTCTGTGTGAAGTTCTTAATACCTACATTGCTCTTAAGTTATCCATGGCACATGTAGCTTGCAGCCAATTCCAAAGCAAAATCAAACATAAAGTTCAGAAGACTCCCAGAGGAGCTAACTTAGAGTAACTAGAGCATGTATACGAGAGTGACCTTTCATAAAAAATAAGTTATATAAGATTTCTTAGGCAACTTCCATTTCATCCCCAAATGCTCAGAGGGCAGGTCCTGTGACAATTTGTTTGGACAGCACTTGCAACAACGGCAACGGGAAACAGTTTTGCCTTACCTTCCTGGTAAGTGGCACTTCAATAGGAACAGGGACAACTTCTGCAAGCAGGCAGCCATAAAATGCTACCATGAACGCAGCAGGATCGTTGTTGGGAAAAACTAGTGCTACCTGTAAAAGGAAAGGCAAAAGATGAACTGGGACAGTCTCCAAGCACATTGATTCCCCCTCTTGTAAGGCACATCTAAGACATTTTTCTGCCTGTTGCAAAGAAGAAGGTGGCCCCCGCAACTCCGACGGAAGTTAAATCCTACTTTGATACTGGTGACAGCACAGCAGCCTCCGGCTTTTGCATCTGTGGACAGCAGTATAGCTTATGGGACAAGGGACAGGCGATGTGACACAGACAGCAATGTCCTCCGTTGCCTTTCCACCTTTGTGCTTCTCAGCATCTGACACCTGAGGCAGGTGCCTCCCTCTCCCTCAAGAGAAGAGCTGGCCCTGACCTTCAGCTAATGCAGAAGAAAAGCTACGTGGCTGTGACACAGCAGTACCTCACCTTGGTGCCACAGCCTTTTAGAGGAAGTAAGCTGCTCTAGGAGACCAAGATAAGGGGGGTGGGGGGTGGAGAGATTTCACCAAGTCAAAAAGGAATGTTGCTTCCAGACAGTTTCATGTAAAAGTTAATTATTAATAATGAAACCTTAGGAAAAGATATGCACATCTTCATTTCAATACCATTTCCTCCAACAAAATGAAAAGGACATAAATCCTTTTACATCAGTCTAACTTTAATCCACCCACCACAGTTTCAACTAGTACCTGTCCTGTGTTTGATTCCTTGCCAAATGCCACCCTGGCAGAGTGATTAATTTCAGTCTGCCTATAATTAATACAGGATGTTCTTGGATTTCATTTTGTTTCATCTGAGTGAAAAATCGTATTTCTAAATCAAGCATATACAAAAGAACAAATGCGAACCAGAAGGGATGAATTCCATTACAGTTTTGCTTTACGATATTACCTTTACCCTAATTTAAAAATTGTTACAAACACATTTCCCTAACTTCCCCTTACAGCCAGAAGGCTGTACTTCCATTTACCCTTCTCCCTCAGCCCTCAACCTCACCCAGCAATGATAAACTAGGAATATATCCATGGATGTGCACCAGGAGTGGGCAGGATATATTTTGCCTTTTACTAGAACCCCAAGACCTATCAGCCAGAGCTGGGTGTAACAGACATACTCATTTAACTACGGAACTCTAAGCCAGGGGTTTGTTTTGGGCATCAGAACTGAATGAAGCTCACACTCCCGCTACACGAAAACACACTCCTGATTATGCCATGCTTTCATTATTTCAGCAGGATAATTTGAGGCACAGTGAGGATGAATCGCTGCTAAACTATCAGCAGTCAAAAATACTGGCCTACCTATTAAAAATCACCCAGTGATCTACCAGTAGATCCAGATGTACCTTCTGCTCACTGCTGGTGTACAGAAAGGGAAACTGGGGGCTGTGCATGATGTTTCATTTCTCTAGAGCCATGTTATTTCATGCTTCCAAATATCCCCACGCACATCAGAATGTTCATTGTTTAATAGTTTCGGGGGGTCCACTCTTACATTACTAAGCTAACTACATAATACCCCAGTTGTACAGGGCTTGAGACTAGGGCTGATGGAGAGAAGCTCTCGGAAGAGCGGGATGCTATTTAGATATTCCCAATCGAACCTTGACAACACTTGAGCTCTTCCCTTCCTTTTGCAGAGGGCCATAGCTCACAAGCTTGGCATGCAGAAGGTTGCATCCCCAGCAGCTCCAGATCGTCTCAACAATCTTGAGCCGGAGGGACCAAAGGCAGCTTTCTTTTGTTCCTATCCGTCCCGCTGGTGCTCCACTTTGTGCATTGGCACTGTGCACTCATCCTGCATGGACTTAAAGCCATGTGCACGGTGTCCGTGCAGCCCATATGGGATCCCAAAGGCGCATGGGTCTGATGGGTGCACCAGAATTGCATGCTCAGAAAAGGAGGGGACAAATCAGAGATTCCGCTAGTTAAGCAACCCTATATATGTATGGGAAATTTAATTTTGGAAAACCTGTAAGTTTAATCTCAATAGGGGAACTTAGGGTCTCTCTTTATATTTTGGGATACATGCATGTTGTAACCCGTGCTTACACTTTGGGGTACAGTGAAGTAACAATTCCAAATAAAGTTAAAAATTCATAGCAACAGAAAATAATTTGAAGCAAAGCAAATGCACTCCGAGTGCACAGAAAACAAACATCTAGCTGTGCTGTCATCTTCATAGCTTCCCTTGACTTATTTACTCTGCAAGCTGCTTCAGCCCACTAGGACTATGACTTAGAGATTTAAATCCTGTCATAAATCAAGATGAAAGATTCTGTAGACTCATCCTGGCTAAATGCCAAGCATGCAATGATTTAAATTCAACATCTGCCTGCAGTCCCTTTAGCTTAATTCTTCATGATTACTTATGAAACAAAAATGTGGAAAATCATTTCTTTTCTCTAGGGTTTGAAGTGACAGCCTCAATCCATGTGGAGAATGCTCCAAAGTCAAGTACTTTAAGGCAGAGAAGGCAGGGGGTAATCACCATGCCTACACCCTACTGGTGATGGCATATGAAACCAAGTGGTACAAGATTTGGGTGAAACAAAAGGTAAGATGGAAACTCCTAGTCTCAACCTTTTCTATCATTCTTCTGGGGGAAGAGACACAAGGCCATTGCCATGAGCCAGGCGTCCCTTCCTAACAAAGGCCATCACTCCAGCGATTGCTAAAAGAGTCTTTGTTCCAAACGGCCACAAAGTATTCGCAACACTGAAAATGCATTCAAGGTAGAAAGTTGACCTTTCGCTCTGACTGTCACCCCACGCTTTGCTTATGAACCTTTTGGGGCCTGACTCTGGGGGGAGGTGCACTTTGGATGTGCGCTTGCCATTGCTCCTCGAATTGCGTCTCCAACTGCCCAGCCGACGAGTGCGCTTGTGCGATCGAGTACCCCAGATAATCTCAGGAGCCTCCCTAGCCTGCTCCATGTCAGCTTCGTTCTCACAATTAAGAACAATATCAGGCCCCCCGTCTGCCCTTGGTGTTTCGATCCTGTAGGGTCAGCCTGCCCCTCTGGGGGTAGCTCACCACCCTGCATTCCGCTAGTCATCACATCCGTAGTATCAGGGTGAGAGCTCTACAATGTTGCTGGCATAATGATTATTAACGTCTCCTCTTCTAAGTGTGAGCTATGGCTCTCACCAGAGCCTTCACTCTTGTGTGCATGTGGGGATCTCATCCGAGTGCGCGTGCATGACAGCCATTGCATCTTGGCCACTCACCAGGAACCATCACAGGTAGCTTGGCCAGCTGTGAACCAGGTCGGCTGAGTGAATCCATTTAGACATGCATTCTTGGAGAATGTCTGCCAGATGTAGCTTCAGTGAAGTTGAGCTTCTAGCCCCAGCTTCAGATTTCATGTTCTGCTGGGTTTTCTTTCAAATTAGATGCTAGCTCACCTCAAACTTTCACAAAACAGGGTCTTAAAAATTAATCAGATTCTGTAACAGAGCATTCCATTTTCTTCCACAGCAGAGTCATTTCTATATAGAGTAATGAGCATTGCTTATACAAATTCAGGCAGAAGATACAGCTGAGGGAGACTACCGGCTAGATGCTAAATATGCAGAGTAGCACTAATCCTCTCTTTGGATCAGGACTGCTACTCACAGCTTGAGGAGCTTGAAACTTTCCCACCCAGCCTCTTTTTTCTTAAATTCGCTCTCCCCTTGCCTGCCCTCACTCTAGAGCTTGAAAAGAAATTATTTTGGTGTCAATGGAGGCCTCCCCCACCTTTTTAGCCCCCATATGCGTGAGCACTGCATTTAGAATTCTTAGAACAAGACCTGACAGTTTCCAAGGGGACCTATTTGCATATTTCACACAAGATATGATTGATGTTGTCAGGGCAACATAGTGTGCACACACAAAAACTGGTCTGGATAGTGATGAGGGAAAAGCAGCAGGAAGTTTCTGTGACCAGTCCAGTTTTAACCCTTATGCTGATGACAGCAATTCATGTGGAGAAGACTCCAGGTATGTGAATGGGCAGGAGGGAAGAAGGGCCAGAGGTCCTACTCTGCATGCAGAACATGTCAGAACTGATCTCCAGCATCTCTAAGCAGGGCTAGCAAAACTCCAGCCTTAAACCCTGGGACCTGTAGCCAGTCGGTGTCATCGGCATTGGGCTGGGTGGACCAAAGGTATCAGGCAGCTACTTATGTTCATAGGAAGTGAAAAAGAGGTGGCCATAAGCAACCAGCAAGCTGGGAGACGTGATGGGGGAAACAGAGAGCAGAAACTGGCTGGTGAAGGAGACGAGGGACTGACCTACAGGTTGTGAGAGTGAAATAACAGAAAATCAAATGGACAAAGATGGTGAAGGAAGGTGAGAGCACTCATTGCATTAGACTGACAGCCTTGCACTGGGTTAACATCTGCCTGGAAGGAGAAACGTAAAGAAAAAGGAATGTGCCTTTTCATAGTGTAACAGCTCTCTTGAAGGACACCTGCAAAAGCCTGATCTGACAAGTGCTTGGGAAATGCAGGGGAAAATGTGCTCCTTTGGACAGGGAATTCTGGAAATGCCTTTGGACAGGTAAAATCTTCGGGTCTTAAAGAAGTAATGATTTATTTATATCATTTTTGGACTTGTTTATTTTATGGCTATTACACACACCATCAAAAACATCTGCTAAATCTCAGCAAAGATGGGAAACATTATGCACAAGTATGCTCCTATCACATTATGCAGATGGCAAAGCCAGTATCCAGCACTGTCCAGATCCCAGCAGGAGCCTCTGCTTGCATAACAGGGATGTGGCACTTCACGTGGGAACTGGGAGCTAGCAGATATGGGTCAATGAAACTCCCCTAGCAGAGCTCTGCCAACCTGTTTTGGTCTAAAACTGAACCTGCCTGCTCATTTGGGGGCTTGCCCTAACTCTCGCTTCCACTGGCAGTGGGCTCTGCTTGTGCAGGGCAGTCAGCAGGACTGCAGTGGCCCCATTCCCATGATTCTTGCTGCCTCCCCCCCCGCCCATCTGTTGTCACTGATACTTGTGACTGACGCAGTCAGTGTGCAGCTTGATTCCCCTGTACGCTTTAGCCCAGTCTTCCTCAACCTTGTGCCTTCCAGACACATTTAGATTGCAACACCCAGAATTCCCAGTCAAGGGCTCTACTGGATTCTGGGAGTTGTGGTCCAAATGCTTCTGAAGGCCACCAGGTTGGGTTAGGCTACTTTAGACAGCAAGGGGCAGTGCTTTGTTGATTTCCAAATTTATTTATATATTTATTTATGCAAATATTTATATGCTGCCTGTAACTGCCAAAAGGCCTTCCGAATGTGGTAATCCAGCCCCGTTGCCGCATTTGGGTCCTTGCCCCATTCGGTTGTGCAGAGTCTTGGCCCAAGAACTTGCTCTGACCGGCCCTGTAGGAAGAACAGCACTTGCAGCAAACCAAGTATTGCTTCTATGGATTAAGGAGAAGATCTCATTGAAAGAAAAAAAGAAAAGAGGAAGGAGGAAGCTTTTGAGGGGGATTTTGAAGGGAAGTGCTGGGTGGGTGTCAAATACCAGCCTGAGGGAAGAAGGGAGACTGACTTTACTATAGGAAAAGGGACAAAAGCCCCAAGTTTCCAAGAGAAGCACCAGGTGCATTATGCCCCACCAAGTCAATTGTGGGACTAAACAGAGTTGCAAGAACTTTTCAAGTCTGGCACCAAAAAACCACCCTGACTCAGCTGCAGAGTTGCTATGCTCTTATGCCAACTCTGCCAAACCACCCCCCCCCCCACTTTCAACAAGGACTTTTTTTGAACTGATGTGCCGAGCTTCTTATGAATGACTTGGCAACAGCCCTTCCTTCAAGTCTGGGGCTTCCCCCCACACATGGGGACACAGTTGCGCTACCAAAATGGATTTCATCCACATGATGTGCTCAAATGCTCTTTGTAAAAGGAAGCCTTTGTGGAACAGTTTTTTGAAAGGGTGAAAGGTAATTTTTTATCGGAATCAGTCGCTGTTGCAGTAAATTCGATGCAGCCCATCAACTTTTCCCCTTCCCATCCCCCTTTTTTTACAGAAACACTTTCGCACGCAGCAGCACACAAACATAATAATGTGCTATTCAAAAATTGGGATAACTGCCATGCATTCCAAATAAAACACCGAGCTCACTTCCCTCTGCTCCAAAGGCCAAAGTGAGGCCCCTTAAGGCATGCCCTGCTGAAGACTTACCCTGTCTCCTGGCCGCACCATCGGTTCTTGCTTTGTGCCCAATTTATGCAGTATGTTGTAAGCGACTTTCATACTACGAGTCCAGAGTTTGCCTATTCACAAAACAGTTGTGCAAATACTACCATTAATTGGATTATACGGTTTTAATTTTTTTTAATACAGAGTATTCTTTTCTCAAGTGAGTCAAACAGCAATTCTCATTCTCGCTCTCTCTCTCTCTCTCTCACACACACACAAATGCAAACATTTTCCAAGAGACTTGTACTCTGAAAGAAGTCAAGAAAAAGTCAATCTACTCATATCGGGGTACCTTTCATGGCATGAGCAGTTCACCCACGTAGGCTGCATAATTAGCTCATAATTAGCTCCAAGCAGGAGGCTTTGCTATATGATATCATATAGCTCATTAGCTGTATGCAGCCCCTATAGCCACTGGGAGCCTCCTGCCAGCATCCCAGTGGCCCAGTTCAGAGTATCCCAGAAACTGGCAGCAAACCAGTACTAAGCACTGGAACGGTCGAACAGTGTTCTGTACCAATTCACTGTTGAAAATTGGCCATTTTATTTGCTTTGCCAGCCTGCAGAACTGTGCCAGTGCTACACACAGCAAAGTGTGCTCAGCTGGGGGAAGTAATGTTGCCCCTAGACCACCTGAACTTGCCCAGTCTTGCACAAAACTGTGACTTGCTTGGACTGGTGAAACCCCTGAAAAATGAGGTGCCAAAGAGAAGCAGCTGCCCGCTATCACCTGCTATAACCATATTAAAGTACCAGCAGGTCAAATGACACAGCTGGTAGGTCTGGATTTGGAAGACCTGGCATTATTTGGGGAAGGTGGCTATCCCTGTCCTAAACTCATGTGATTTAAAAGAAGCCACTCTGGTTTCAAATGAATGGACTTCTGAAAATCACATTTATGAGCCCAACCTGAACAGTTGAGCAGATAAGCCTTTCATGGTGCCATGGCATTAAGCTTATATTATGATGATGTTTTAAGAAGCCATCTCCTTTTTAATGTTTCCATTAAGAACATGAATTAAGAACAACAGAAATGTCTGTTATGGCCATATACTGTTCTTTCCTAAAGTGACGCAGGGGAAAAGCTTACTTTACTTTGTTTTGGTTGAAACTGGATCCCATGACTTGATTTTTTTTCCCACAGCAAAGTGCTTTTATTTCAAAGTGCTTTTACTTCGGGCATGGCACTGCTGCAGCTCTGGTCAAATGAATCAGTGGCAAACTGGCAGAACTACGGGATATTTTTCCTTATACTGTCTCCCTTCTTGTGCATACTTTGAACGCTTATCTGGACTGGCAGCTCAGAAGCTTGCATCTCCATTATGCAGAATTCCAGCAGCGCAAGCCCCAGACCTGGAGGGAGGAGGCTCCACTGCTTACAGGGATTTCTCAGCATGTGCACTGGTATCTCAGAGAACTTTGGTGCAAACTGGATGCTGACAGTATATGCAGCAATCATTTTATAAAAGTGGACCAAAACACAGTTTGCCCTGCTGGTTCTGTTGTGGAAAACTTCTTTTCCAGTTCACAGGAAAGCACATTTCGGTCCCATGGACTCCAGGTCAAAATCCATTCTCTGCAGAGAGGATGAGAACGACTGAACCATAATGCCACTATATATTTTTGCTTCCCTTTGTATGATGAGGTTCGAAGCAGGAAAGCAAGGCAACCAAATAGCACAAGAGAGACAGATCAGTTTCAATATGCCTGGCAAACTAGCCTTGTTCTGGGCTACCCCCATTATTGGCAGGGAGTTATCATGGCTACTTAGTGAGGGCACAATTAATAGGAAGTTTTCCTGAGCAGCTGGAAACTTGCTGTACTGGAAGGTGTGCAAAAGCATGGCGTGGCATGTAGGAAAACACTCTTTGGTAACCATGCCCAGACAAGTTTGAAAGGTAGCAGTGTTTAGCCTAAATCCCAGAGTGACTATAATCAGGGCATTAGAACTTCCAGTCCAGATCAACATCATTAGACCTACGGAGAAAGTTCATCACCGTTTCCCACAAAATGCAAAGATGCCTTTCTACCCAATTATGAATGCTTTCCCAGGTTGTTGCTTTCAAGGGGAAACACAACGAAGGGACACTTCACAAAAGTAAATCGATAAATGAAAAATCAAGCATTTGCAAGCAGAATTTAGGGAAGAAGCAAGAGAATGAGATACTCTGAGTCATTATGAACTAGGCTTCATGAAAATGCAGATAAACGATAAAGCATGAAGGGACAGAAATACATCAGAGGGGAGATCAGCTTAAGAGAGACAATTCTCTTTACACAAATAGGTTTAATAGAAACAAAGGAACTGAACTTACTGCTTTGGAATGAGGTAGATGGTGGGCTAGGGAAAATAACCACATTACTCCTTATAGAAATATCAGGGATAAATGTTTTAATCTGGCCACATCCTTAACATGCCATTTTTCTAGATGCAGGCAAGGTTTGATATATCAGAGCGCTCAAACCCACAATCTTCCTCAATTGCACTTTTCAAAATATGCTCTATGTCCTTTTTCAAAATACGCTCTAACCAAGTGTTGCAGAGCAATCCTATACACATCTACCCCTCCTTGCCCAACTAAATGTAATAGGATTTGCTGGCAGGTATGTGGGTATAGGATTCCGCCTGATAGGATTTTGCATCCATTTCAGCACAGTGGTCTAAACATGCTTCACATCTCTCATACTTCAGCCAAGCAAAGTTAGCACATTTGTAGCTTACCAGCTCATAAATCAGATGCAATTAAATAAGTTCTGGAAACCTAAGACTTATTCTTCCTTTTTATTTAAAGACCGGAAGTACACCAGTCTAGGATAAGCAAGGGATGCACTTGGGCTCAAGTTGTCTGCTTAGGCATATATATGTGAAGACAAAATTCCATTTAAAATCCATTGGACTAGCCCCTGAGTAAATGCACTTTTCACTGGGAAGTCTGCTAGGACTTTTAAAGAGCAGCAAGTGACCAAGAGAATGGCATGCTTTTATGAAACATGGAGCAAAGTCTTCTAGCTAGATCACTCCTCAACATAAACGGGTCATGTAAAGGCTGTCCAGGTAAAGCTGGTGGCAGAGAGGTATGCCCAGAGAAAAGCAAACTACAAAATCAGTTTTCATATTAGGTAGAATAAATAGGACTGTCATCACCGCACAGCACCAACTCAGCCACAGCAAGCCGTAAGAGTCTTACCGAACCTGCGTATGGGTTCAGAGCTGGCCAAAAGTCAGCTGCAAACAATTGTAAACTTTTTTCAGTATCACAATATACTTAAGGAGCATAAACATTTCTTTTAAAAAACAGAACTTATCACAGTGCCCTTGCAAAAGAGGACCATAACCAACATTCATCTAACTTAAGCCCTATTGTCTTAATAGATCTGTTCTACATTGCATACAACCTGTAAGGTCTATTATCCCAAACTTTTTATAGGAAATGATCAAGCTGCTAAATACAATGGCAGCTAAGAAGAGAACAGGGGAATGGGCTTCTTTGGAGTAAAATAAAATAAAAATTAGTGGGTTATGTAAGTGCTAAGTGTTACTTGATTGTGGTGGGCTGTTAATGGATTTATACTGCACATCCCAAAATGCTTTCACAGGCATGTCTGCAGAACAGGGAAGACATAGGTTGCCACAGAGCTCTGGGCTTTACCTAGTGCCCCAGGCACATCTCAGACAGAAAAATCGTAGGACAAACATTTGCCTTGAGGAGACATGGATTAATTTAGGACAATGTACATGTTAATTCCCACACAAAATTTCTGTGCTGGAATACATAGGCAAAAATTGTTTTGTGATGGGTATGCAATGAACAGATTTGTTGTTTCATGAATGGACTATAATCACTAAATTGACCAATTATAATTAGGTAGCAGGCTTCATGCATAACCATGCACACACAGTGTTTCCCCCAAATCTTTAAGCATAGGCAATGCTTGTAGAATAAACTTGATTGGGGCTGAGGGGCAGGGGATGGGACTGAACTAAGAAAAATCGGACTGTCTTTGAGAAAGAGCTGCCTCAAGCCAAATCAGACAAGCAAATCCGAATTGACAGTGTAGTTCAAGGAGTCTCAAAAGGTCAAATCCTGTGCGGGTTTAGACAGAAAAAGTCCTGCTTTCCCCAGCATTTCCCAGACATTCAAGGGGTTTGCATCTAAGTGGAAATTGCTGGGTTATGCATGGGGCTTCATGTATTCCAAACATGCATTCATCCACACAGCAACACCCTTTCACATGCTGTGCTTCTGCATACTGGTTTCCTCCTTTAACGGATCAGGCTGTGCTTATACATTTATCTTGGCAAAAAGTAAGCATTACATTTAAACTGTAAGATTGACATCTGACAGTCATCAAATGAATACACATTATTTGTAACATTAATAAATAGGAATGGCATGATTATGTATGTGATACTAATAAATATAAATTAACAATCCAGTTGGAGTCCCCATTATTAAAAAAAGTGAAAAAGAAGTTCAGAGGATTGCTAACCGTAAGTGAGAATATATAGTGGTTTTCCATTGGTGTCCATAGTGGTTAAGCAAGGAGCTTTCGGGGAAATGGTTCCCCATCGCTGCAAGGCTGCCTCGAGTGATGGAGGCCAATTCGTGACCACACCCAGCTGTTCTCCACGCATCGCCAACATCTGTGCTCCCTCTGGCTTTGGTTGGTTTGGGTCTGGCTGTTGAACTTACAGTTGTAAGAACAGGTTACTTCATGTATTTTATACCATGCTTGTGCACATAGAATTAAACAGTTACATTTGAAAAGTCATGTGAGAGGAAGAGAACTACTGTGTTTTGTTCCAGAATATTCTATAGAGCAGGAGTACTGAACTATAGTCCTGAAGCAGCCTTCCAGGTAGGCACCACCTACACCCCTGCCTCCTGGTGGTTTCTTTGTTTCCTTTTCTACCCCACTGTTTTTTCTACAAAAATCCATAATCCTCCTCTTCTTCTCCATTTTATCCTCACATCAAGTCTGCAAGGCAACTTTAGGCTCAGAGTCAGCGATTTGCCCAAAGATACCCAACAAGCTTCACGGCTGAGCCAGAACTAGAATCCAGATTTCCTAAAACCCAGTCCGACACCCTGACTACACCACCACATGGGTTCCTAGCTACTGCCTGTTTCTCTTCACTCTAAAAGGCTGAAAAGTATCTCCTAAACCTTAGCTGGCAAGAGCGTTAAGTCAAAATATACTGCTATTTATGGTCCTTGAGCCTGCCCATTTTTGGCTTCAGTATCGCCTGAGCATGTCTCTGAAAATGAATGTTCACTGAGAGAAATTAAGACAAACTTGCTATAAAGGAACCTCAGGCCCAATCCCAACAACACATCAAAAGCACAAATTAACTGTTGGGAGCACACCATGGACTTCATGCTCTGACCACCCTCCCTCAAACAGATTCCTTCTTCTATTCCCTGTTTATGGGGAGCAGAGATTGCTGAAATATGGATTGCCCAACCATTACTTAAGAGATCTTTTGCGAAAATGCCCAAAGTTCAAGCTATTGGGCATATGCAAGCAGGTTGAGGGGATCTTTAGTTAGTTATATGCAAGCCTATGCATTTTTAGGCAGAAAAATTCCTACAGTATTGCTGGCTAGGAAATGTGGGATCTTTTCTGTCCAAATGTGCATTTGGATTCTGCCCTTACTTTATCATATGCTTATAAAGAGGAAGGCCAGGATCTCTTCTCAATCATTCCGGAGTGCAGAATCCAGAATAACTGGCTCAAGTTAGAGGAATCCAGATTCTGGCAAAATATCAGGAAACATTTCCTGACTGTTAGAGCAGTCTGCCAATGAAACCAATGACTCAGAGAGGTTGTGGTGTCTCCCACACTAGAGGCATTCAAGATGCCACTGGGCAGTCACCTGAGAGGGTTGGTTTAATTCCATGGGCTGCACTGAGCAGGAGGTTGGATCCGATGGCCTTCTGGCTCCTTCCAACTCTACTACTCTATGATTCTATGGTAACCTTACAAAACCAATTTATAAATATACTAGCAAATATAAAATATAAAGCACTGCTTTAAACGGTCTGTCCCAAAAGTTGCCTACAACATTTCCCATCCAGCACAGGAATAACCAACATGAAGGTGGTTGACAGAGATCACAAAAGAGGAGTGAAATACTGTCCTCTTTTCCATCCAACGATCAGTAAGAAGTGGGAAGGGAGACATTAATTATATGCAGTAGCTCACATGTATATATTCATCAAGTCAATTTCATCAGATGGTAACATGTAAATAAGTGATCAATGAACAGCAGAGTTCAAAGTCGTGTATCATCTGAGATACAATCTTTGTCAAAGAACAAAGTCAGTTGACATGGTCTACTGCGTTTATTTATTTTTGAGAAATCAAGTGATGTACATGCAAATATGAAACAATCTCTCTCCTAGTTTCTGTGATGCTCTCTTCACCTTCCTTATTTTCTCCTACCAATAAACCAATCCTTTCTCAAAAGAACAAGACAGCATAACAGAGAAATTGCAGAAGAGAGAAAAAAAAAAAAAACTAAGCCAGACAGTCTAAAGTTCAGTGGGCCTAGGTAACTAAAATAAGTGTATGATCTTGCTGCAGATATGTTTTTCTGCCACAAACAATGAAAAATATTTCCACAGAGCCAATACGAAAACTTGGAAGGTGGGTCAAACTATTTTACCTTCTAATAATTCTTCAAAATCATCCACAAAGAACTCTCGTAACGGTGGCCGTTTCGGTCGCTTTAAGGTGTTGACCAGCTGCTGAATTTTTGCCGACACTCTGCTGCTTACTGGAACTCCTGCAGAAAGGAAATCCATAGAAGTTTTACGCATCAGTCATGCACACTGGCTGTAAGCTGAGGAGAAATGCACATTGACCTGAAGGCAAAGACAGCCAGATTACATAGCTGCAAACCAGTGACAGCATAGTCCAGTCAAGGCACTTTTTAAAAAAGGGTTAACAACAGGGCATGAAGAGGAGAAGCACTCCAATCCCATCCTCCTTCTCCATCACATCAGTTACTCTGTACTCATGGATGGTGACTCTCAGAAGAGGAGAACTTCTTCTAGCCATGGAGGGTGTCCATGTAAACCAGAACCATGAAAAAATCCATGTTTTGTTGTTACGTGGTGAATCCCATCAAAAAAGTTGCCCTCCATGAGTTAGGACACACACAATGGAGGACAAACGCAGGGCTCCATCCTCCATCCTTCTCCTCCCATGCTGATGGGAACCCATTTAAGGACCTGAGACTGCTCCTATTAACCTGTGAACTAAGGGACAATAGTAAACTGACCTTGTCCAAGATAGTCAATAACCTTGGTTGGTTATCACTGCTATAGTTTTTTGCTGGGAATCTGTGGCCATCGGTCATAACAGACCTCCAGTTAATGTCTGCTGTTGCTGGGTATCTTGAGGATAACTAAAATAATATACATCTTTCTGAACAGAAATAAAACAAATTGGCCAGAAGCATGTTGTACACAGGTGGCTCTGACTCCTCCAGAGCATGGAGGAAAGTCCTAACACCCCTTTCAAAAAGCAGGCCCTTTCACTGGGACGGAGTAGGCACAGTCCAGCATCTACTCAAGGTTCACTCACTGGCAGAGGCCTATTGATAAGAGCCTCTTCAGCATGGCAATCTGCATCTTTACTTGCCTCTGGCCTATACCACAATGCTGGTGGGAATGAGAAACTGGAGAAGTCATTGCCTTCTTGCTCACCGGCTTTCTGCCTGTTGGGTGAGTGGCAATGACACCAAGAAAGAGGAGCCAAAAGAAGCTGGTGACAATGGCCATGAGAAAGGAGACTCACTGAGCAAAGGAGCCCACTGCGATTGCCTTGCCCAAGTGTTGTCAAAAGCCAAGAGCTAGCCCAATTGGAAGCAGCTTGTTCTCTTCAGTTCTTCCACTTCAGTACTTAAACTCCTGGATCACATCTCACTATCCTTCAGGATCACATCTCACTATCCTTCAGGAAGCCACTGTCCTTGTGCATCTTTCTTCAGAAGTATAAATTCATGACCCTTCTTATTCATAACTTTTGCACTTATGAGCAGACTGGAGCACTCCTGCCCTATGACCCATCTGGCTACACATACCTTCCCAAGCCAATACATTCCTCCACCATTTTACAAGACGTACCATCACCAGTTTCCATAAGTTCAGCATTTCCATATTTTGGTGCCACCCTTGATGTTGAACCTTGTGGTCGTTCTACTTGTATTGAGTGTTCTGAGGTGTATGTGGTAACATCTGGAGGCGCAGAATGATTTTCTACAAAAATAAACGTAAATCTCTTAATTTCTTTAGGCAGGCTTGAGTGATACTCTCCAATGATATGATCCCTTCAATAAATTAAGATTTTGTTTGTTAGTATGATATTAATTAGTAAATTTTGTATCTTCTATAAGCATTCATTAAGAAGACTGAAAGCCACAACCTTACATTTTCAATTAACAAGATTCCAGGTTTCATTTTCATTGACCTTCTCCGCCCCGCAATTCCAACAAAAATAGTCTCAGTTAAATAAACACGACAAGGTAGGTGCAAGGTCCTTTCTAAGGATAGTCCCAACAAAGTCTTGCAAAGAACAAACATGAATCCAATATACAGGGTATGGGTACAAGCTACACAATGTTGACTTGTACAATATCTGCCCTAAATGCCATTTGGTAGCCATAAATAAGAATACAAGCATACTTTCCACACTCAGATCAAAAGCAATATGGACGTTAAACCAAAATTAAGTTCAGGTATGCATACTTTGAAATATTTTAGATCTTGCTTTTATAACTCTCCTAGAGTAGCCAGAATGAGCCAAAAGCAACAAGCCCTCTGCTTATCTATTTTTAGATGCAGTTACTATTTTTATTCTTTTCCACAAAACAGGCTGCATTTCCAGAAGCAAGCGTGATTTGGTGACCATCCTTGTGCTGTTGCTGAACATTTTGCAAGCTAATCCTCTCCTTTCACAGCTCAGTAACCTGCCATGCTTTCCCAATTTATTTCTTCCTCTCAGTTGCTTCTCAGCTTGCACTCTTGTGTAGTTTTCTGAATCATGCATTGCTTCAGGAAGCAGGAACCAACACCATCGCAGGCTTAAACAAGTTTTCTATTCAGAAGCCTTAGTGATCAAAAGCACAGTCCATCAAGAGGGGCTGGTGCCATGCCCCTAAGCCAAACGGAAACCATCAGAAATAATTGCTAAGGAGTTTAACAATGACAGCGCTTTCTATAGGCTGTGCCATCAGAAGCTTCAAGATGTCAGGGCTCAAAGCAGTCAAACCATTTCTGGGGCAACCTTATCACAGCAACTTCTCCATTTACAAACATCTGAGGGAACTGGGCCTTTTCAGCCCTGAGAGAAGACTCAGAGAACCTGCTAGCAACCTACAGGTATGTGAGGGGGTACCACGCAGAGGTGGGTCATGACCTTTTTTCCCTTGCAGTGGAGGTCAGGATGTATTCCAGTGGAGCAAAGCTCAGGGAATCAAGATTTAAGGTGGATATCAGGAAGTACTTCCTGACAGTTAGGACCCTAGGACATGGAATGGGCTTCCACGCGAGGTGGTTGAAGCTCCATCGGTGAGGGTGTTTAAGGATAGGCTGGACATGCACATGGTAGGCATCATAAGTGGATCCAGAAGGGGCCAGGGGTCAGACTAGATAGTCTAGGAGGTCCCTTCTGAATCACTCTGTTTCTATGCCTCTATTTCTGGTGATGCAGAAGATCACCTGACGGCAACTCATTGAGAGGAGAGAAAAGACAAGCATGCTCAAAATTTACTCTTGAAATTCATGGGTGAGGGCTTTCTGCCAAGGGGCACTGGTTTGCAGTGAGCAATATGTGGGTGTTTGCCAGAGACATATGTGACAGGTCACCCCCATCACATCCAGCCTTTAGAAATTATATTGAGTGCTGCAGGTAAAATTTGACTCCAGGGGTGCAGGTTGCCCAACCTTCTCCTAAGGTGAATAAAGCAGGATATAAAAGTCAAAAGAGATTAGACAGCAATCATCACAGTGGAGTGATGGCTCACAGGAAGAAAACACCTCCACCTTTTATTAGCAGAGACACTGGTATTGCCTGCCATCCCTCAGGATGCCCTGCTACTTCTCAACTTAGCTGTAATTCCTATCTTAGTGAGGGTGGGAAGACATGAATTTTCCATGTAACAATGTATTGCTCCCTGTTATAATGCAAAGCACACTGTGTTCTTGAAGAGGCCATTAAAATCCATTAGTTTTACAAAAGAACTGGTTTGGTGATTGCCTGAATTTGGGGAATGTCATGAAGAGGGCCTCACTTCAACCTTTACCAGTGCACCCCAGCTGTTTTATGGACCTCCCAGGGAGTTTCCTCTGATATAGAAATGTAGCAAATGAAAACACGCTTAAGGGCATTACAAGTGATCAAGGGAACACCTGACAACAGTATGCAAAAACTGAAAGGAGATTTCGGTCAAGCCCAACCGCAGAGGCTTCCTGCTAATGTCACAAAATGCAGCATTTTGCTCAGCAGTACTGCTCATGCTTTGTAAGAAGATGGTTGAAAGTGGCTCCTGGAACTCAGATAAGGGTGGGAAAAAATCCTGGGATGACTCTGCCTGTTTGTCTTGACAGTATAGGGCTGGATATATCAATGGTCATATCTGATGGCTCCCTGTGTCCCTATGGTCAGTCAATATACTTTTTATGTCCACCTCTCTCTCTCTCTCTCTCTCTCTCTCTCTCTCTCTCTCTCTCTCTCTCTCTCTGTGTGTGTGTGTGTGTGTGTGATATTTCAAATTCTTTTTCCAAATATCACAACCATGAGGCAATGAATGAAAACATATTTTGTATTATAAGTGGAGGTGTCCTGAGAGCCAAGATGGCTTTCTATTATTTCTTCCTTAAAGGCAGCACTCCTCTATGCTAGGATGGCAATCAAGTCAAGGGCCCTGACTGTACTTTGAATTAGGAGAAAAGATGTAGCAAGAGCATCTGTGGAACTGAACTTGAACCTTGGGCTGAAAGAGGCCTGATACTCCAGTTCTGAGGCCCGTGCATGCATAACCCTCAGCCCCAACTGCCTCGTAAGAAACGCAGTAACACTTTGTCAGGTCGAGCTAAATAGCTTGCTGCTATGGCAGTAGCAACAGCCCTTAAAACTGCCAAGAAAAATCACCATAATGAAATGCTCAAAAAGCTGGGAAGGCAACGAGGGAGGCAATGAAATGCCGCTCTTTAGCAGGGATGTTGCCTGAATGAATAGCATTAAGAGCAACTGACCCAGTGATACCAATTTTGGAAAAAATGGTGTGGAAGGAATCAGTCTAAGTAAAAGTCTGCAATTATACGTTGCATTATGAGCAGATGCATTTACTTTGAAGACCCATTTGAGGTTATTTCCAAGGGAAGCTCCTTTCTGAGCTGAATATACTAATTTAAAATTACCACTTTCAAGGGCAGGCCAAAAAAAAGGCGGTTAGATTCAAAATGCATGGAGAGTTTGATAGTATGCTTTAATGGGATTTCTGCATTAAATATTTGCAATATTTTCCTACGGCTCAGCCATTTTTGTACAATGACAATTCATTACGTGCCCAGCTGAATGGATCCTTGCTTTTGTCTGTCCACTGATGATGAATTATATCCCAGATTCTGACTATATTTTTGCAAGATGCACAGAATTATCTGGCATTCTTCCGATCTGCTGTGAGATGAACCAGAGCGTTGCCTGGAGGCACAATTTTAGAACATTCGGTTTGCAGGGCAGCCAGGCACAGAACTTGGAAGCTGTCATGGAATTAACCAAGCGTCCTGGTACCACCACTGATTGTGATACTCTGAGAAGAATGATTGGCACCCATTCCTCTTTCTAAACTATGACCATTACAACGGTCAACCTTCTTCTTCCATAACAGCAGGAATACTGAAAAGTGAGCTTCTCCTTTCTGCACCTGTTCAGTTATTTATTATTTATTATTTACATTTATATACCACCCTAGTATCCCAGTTAGGCAACACAGAAAATGTACGCATGCTGGTGGATGCACCATGCATACTGAATCTGCCACTGAAATTGGGCATTGTCTGCTCTGCATATAAGAAAAAGAAAATTAGTTCCAAAGATGTATGAACAGCCTAAATGGCTTTAAGATGACATACTAGACCCAATTTTTTGCAGTCACTTAGGGAGATAGTAGCCATCAAGTTATGCTGAAGATGCATATTCAACAGCTCCATTAAGTAAAATTAAGTTATTTCAGAAGAAAAATGACTCTGATCAACATATGCTTTATGCTGGCGGTAAATATAGGAACAGTGACAGCTGTAGGACTTCAAAGCGCTTCCTTCCCTCACATATTCATCTGCATTGCCCCACATTTCTGCCCCTCTAAGTAGATGCACATGGTAAGCCCACAAGTTCAACAGCCGGTTTGCCACCAGGAATGCAAACATTTCTGCCGAGAGACAAAAAATGGACTGCAACATCTTTACTAGCAAATGCAAGCTGCAATTCACTGTTGTAAAATAAAATGAGGTACTCAAATGGCACCTAGTTTTTGCTGGGATACAAATCAAGTTTCTATCTCACTTCAAGCCTGAATAATGGAAAAGTGAGGATGATGTGGCAGGTAGGCTGCTAACTGGCAGTTTCCATATAGCCTGAAGTGCCTAAACATGCCTAATCTTAGAAGCTAAGCAAAGCTACACCAGGTTGAAACTTGGATGGATGACTTAGAAACAGAGCGAGTCAGAAGGGGTCTCCCAGGCCATCTGGTCTGACCCCCGGCTCCAGCTCCAGACTTCAAATATTGTGAACTGCCCAGAGAGTTCTGGCTACGGGTGGTACAGAAATACAATCTAGTATTAATAACAACCAGTGCATGGTACCAACCACATAATACACTAGTCTTGAAAAACTTTGAACTATTTTACATTGTTTTGCCTGGCCTTGATAGTTTTTTCCTGCTGTTAAAGCAAATAAGCTGCTATAAAAATGTTAGCAACGAATAATAGAATATTTCAGGGACAACAGATTTAAAGGATGTATGTTATGGCAGTAGCTAGGCTTTACTGTCCTAAATAGTGGCATATATTTGGATGCTATAAAGCTCAGATCCAGTGTCGTGTAGTGGTTAAGATTGCAGAGACTGGGACTCAGGTGATCTGGGTTCTAGTCCTTCCTCAGTTATGAACAGACAGGTGACTTTGCATCAATCATAGAGTCTCAGCCCAACCTACATCATGGGGTTGTTCTCCTGAGGATAAGACTGAGAGCAGCAGGA